GGGAGACTCGGGTGGAACGGGCATGTCTCTTGGACTGCATACCATTTTTTTTGGGGGGCAATTGCATTAGCAGTGCCAAATCCTCTAGTTTGTTCTTGTCATTGTCTTGGGAAAGTCTCGGGGGGTTTCAGTAAGGATGGAAATTACCCCCCTCTTCGTCTCTCTCTCTCTCTCTCTCTGCTACACCCCAGAGAAAATCGCGCATAGTCAAGCTGAGAGCAGCTGGGAACCGCACTCGGTAAGGCCAGGAAATCGTTGCGTATCGCCCCATAATGGAGTGATACACACGGTATAGTGAGGTATAGCCAGTACGGCAGCGAACGGTGAGATGCTGCGAGTTGGCCGTGAACCGATTGTACCGACCGTATCGACCGTACCGACCGTACCGATCTTACCGATTTCCATACCGAGTGCCATGTGTGGAGTGCCACTCGGCAGACCAGTGCCGGGCGCGACAGCGGCGAGAAGAGTTTTTCGGCCTCGTCGAGGTGCTTTCTCGTGTATGGGATGTGTATTAATTGTGTTATGCATGGTATTGCCTATACTGAATAGGGTAACTCGCTCCACACGGTTAACCCAATCAGACGGATTGTTGGTGTCGGTGGCTGCTCTCGGTCAGTCCTCCCCGGGGTTGCGCGACTCGTGCTGAACCCGTTGGAACAGGGAGTCGAGGAGGGATGAGGTACAGCTACATGATCTTCCAGAGTGTACGAAGCATAGTTAGCCCATGACTGGGTGATTCCTGCTATGCTCGTACTAAGTTTGAGGCCAGTCTTGGCTGAATAGCAAGGGGAGGAAGATCAAAGAGTAGAGAGTACTGCGTAGAAACAAGTGTTGTATCTTGTATCACGTATCTGTACCGTATTGGATACTGTGTCTTCCCCAGCAACCAGAGTGTCCTCCATAGTAACCAAGTAAGTAAAGTGCCCCGAGTCGTATTCCCCCGTTTTTTATTATTTTTTTTCCCTGGATTTCCCTAATTTTCCCGTTTGTTTTTCTGAATATTATTATTTTTGCCTTTTTCACTCGAAATTTTTTTTCTTGGATATTCTCCAATTAATTTTTTTTTATTTCCCTCACACTTGCTGGCGCATTATCCATAACCCACTCCCGTTCCCTCAACTCTCGCGCGCCTCTTTCCACACTACTCCCACTCCCCCCCCCAGGGTATTATAAAGTAGTCCACTCCCTTCCATCCACCCTCTCTTTTTTCCCCCTTCTTTTTCCATAGGACTATTCCGTCTCACGCCATACCTGCCATTGTGTGTTGGTGTATTTGCATCTGCTCATATCGTTGGGTTCCGAAGGCTTTGTGAGCCGAAGCAGCAGCAACAATGGCGGAGCGGAGGATCTCCTATGCTCCCGATGTCGAAAACGGCGACCGTCACCGCGACGCCGATGTGAACGACGGCGGTAACCTCGATGAGTACTCGGCTCTCAACCGCTACATCTCGACTGCCCGCGATGGCCGCCGTGGTTCCACCTCCAGTGCTGGCGCGCTCAGCACTCAGGATGAGAAGAAGCCCTGGTGGAAGTTCTGGGCTAAGCAGGGTGATGGTGTTGTGGAGGGATGGCAGTGCCCCGATGAGTGGCTCGAGACCGACCTGCGCTCCGGTCTGAGCTCCTCCGACATCGAGCCTCGCCGCAAGAAGTGCGGCTGGAACGAGCTCGTTACTGAGAAGACCAACATCTTCATTCAGTTCATTGGTTACTTCCGTGGTCCTATTCTCTATGGTGAGTGATTCCGTTGATCTCAGGAATTACCTGGTGGTAATTGGACGCGTCAATTGGCCATTCTCTAACCCTTTCTCTTGTGTCATTTTACAGTTATGGAACTTGCTGTCCTCCTCGCTGCTGGTCTGCGTGACTGGATCGATCTGGGTGTCATCTGTGGTATTCTGCTCCTCAACGCCCTGGTTGGTTGGTACCAGGAGAAGCAGGCTGCCGACGTCGTTGCCTCTCTCAAGGGTGACATTGCTATGCGCGCTATCGTTGTTCGTAACGGTCAGGAGGAGGAGATCCTGGCCCGCGAGCTGGTTACTGGTGATATCGTCGTCGTTGAGGAGGGTCACGTTATCCCCGCCGATGTCCGTCTGATCTGTGACTACTCCAAGCCTGAGATGTTCGACGCCTACAAGGAGTACCTCGTTACTTCCCAGGACGACACCCTCAAGGAGAAGAACGAGGATGAGGATGAGGATGACCGTGAGATCCACCAGGGTGTCTCTCTGATTGCTTGCGATCAGTCCGCCATCACTGGTGAGTCTCTCGCCGTCGACAAGTACATGGCCGACACTTGCTACTACACCACCGGTTGCAAGCGTGGCAAGGCTTACGGTATCGTCACTGCTACTGCCCGCCAGTCCTTCGTCGGTAAGACCGCTGCTCTCGTCCAGGGTGCCAAGGACTCCGGTCACTTCAAGGCTGTCATGGACAACATCGGTACCTCTCTGCTCGTTCTCGTCATGTTCTGGATTCTCGCTGCCTGGATCGGTGGTTTCTTCCGTCACCTGAAGATCGCTACCCCCGAGGACTCTGACAACAACCTGCTCCACTACACTCTTATCCTGCTCATCATCGGTGTCCCCGTCGGTCTGCCCGTCGTTACCACCACTACCCTCGCTGTCGGTGCCGCCTACCTCGCCGAGCAGAAGGCTATCGTCCAGAAGCTCACTGCCATTGAGTCCCTCGCTGGTGTCGACATTCTGTGCTCCGACAAGACTGGTACCCTCACTGCTAACCAGCTTTCCATCCGTGAGCCCTACGTCGCCGAGGGTGTTGATGTCAACTGGATGATGGCCGTCGCCGCTATTGCCTCGTCTCACAACGTCAAGAACCTTGACCCCATTGACAAGGTCACTATCCTTACTCTCCGCCGCTACCCCAAGGCCCGTGAAATTCTCGCCCGTAACTGGATTACCGAGAAGTACTCTCCCTTCGACCCCGTCTCCAAGCGTATCACCACTGTCTGCACTTGCGACGGTGTCCGCTACATTTGCGCCAAGGGTGCCCCCAAGGCTATCCTCAACATGTCTGAGTGCTCCGAGGAGGAGGCCAAGCTCTACCGTGACAAGGCTGCCGAGTTCGCTCGCCGTGGTTTCCGTTCTCTCGGTGTCGCCGTCCAGAAGGAGGGTGAGCCCTGGCAGCTTCTGGGCATGTACCCCATGTTCGATCCCCCCCGTGAGGATACCGCCCACACCATCGCTGAGGCCCAGGTTCTTGGTCTGTCCGTCAAGATGTTGACTGGTGACGCTATCGCTATCGCTAAGGAGACTTGCAAGATGCTTGCTCTCGGTACCAAGGTTTACGACTCTGAGCGTCTGATCCACGGTGGTCTCGCCGGCTCTGCCCAGCACGACCTCGTCGAGAAGGCTGATGGTTTCGCTGAGGTCTTCCCCGAGCACAAGTACCAGGTCGTCGAGATGCTCCAGCAGCGTGGTCACTTGACTGCCATGACTGGTGACGGTGTTAACGATGCTCCCTCTCTCAAGAAGGCCGACTGTGGTATTGCCGTCGAGGGTTCCACCGAGGCTGCCCAGGCTGCTGCCGATATCGTCTTCCTTGCCCCCGGTCTGTCCACCATTGTCGATGCCATCAAGTTGGCCCGTCAGATTTTCCAGCGCATGAAGGCCTACATCCAGTACCGTATCGCTCTTTGCCTGCACCTTGAGATCTACCTGGTTACCTCCATGATCATCATCGACGAGACTATCCGCTCTGACCTGATTGTCTTCATCGCCCTGTTCGCCGATCTTGCCACCATTGCCGTCGCTTACGATAACGCTCACTTCGAGGCCCGCCCCGTCGAGTGGCAGCTGCCTAAGATTTGGGTCATCTCCGTCATTCTTGGAATCCTTCTGGCTGCCGCCACCTGGATCATCCGTGGTACTCTCTTCCTCAGCAACGGTGGTATCATCCAGAACTTCGGCTCTCCCCAGGAGATTCTCTTCCTTGAGGTTGCCCTGACCGAGAACTGGCTCATCTTCGTTACTCGTGGTGGTAAGACTTGGCCCTCGTGGCAGCTGGTCATTGCCATCTTCATTGTCGATGTCCTCGCTACCCTCTTCTGTGTCTTCGGCTGGCTCGCCGGTGACTACCCCGTCACCCACCCCCACGACCCTGCCACCTTCTCCACCAACCAGGATGTCGACATCGTTACCGTCGTTGTCATCTGGGCCTACTCCATTGGTGTCACCGTCATCATTGCCGTCGTCTACTACATCCTCACCATCATCCCCGCTCTTGACAACCTTGGCCGCAAGACCCGCTCCAAGGCTGACACCAAGATCGAGAACATGATCGCTCACCTGTCCAAGCTGGCCGTTGAGCTTGAGACTGACAAGGATGGCAAGACCCGTTACACCCTCGGTGCCCGCACCGAGGAAGTCGAGGAGGACGAGTAAAGGATGTGCGCCTTAGCACAATATCTATTAACCCGTTTTCGTTCCTTGCCAAACGGGATAATCTTTCCTGACTCGCTCCTGGTCCGAGGTCAATAATTTCCTTTATTTCTTATTTCCCAATCCATTTCTCTCCCTGCCGTGCCTCTTGGTCTACACTGCCACGCGGATAATGTCTGTTTTTGTCTCGACCATCTGTGGACATGCATACCGTGGGAAAAAAAGGCTGGGTCTCTTGTCCTTTTTTTCTTTCTCTTATTTACCCCACCGTATTATATACTTTTTGTGTTTTTACCCCTTGGATATCTGTTTGCTTTCGAGTTGATAGATCTCTCAAGTTTTCTTTCTTTACGTGTATGTATGTCGTTAATAGTGGTACTTAGTCAAGTCATCGAGGGATTCAAATGATTCATTGTGCATTGTAAAAAAGTCTTTCTATTGTAGCCGTTCAATTGTAGTAACTTGTCAGGCTAAATGGCCTTGGGCTAATTGAAAGCCCTCTTGTAAAGTCCTTTACTCGACTTGGCCATCCAGACTGTGTTCACTACTCAACGTTAGATCGCCAGAAGCTAGTTGGCCATTACTACCATCGCTGCAGCCAGGATATCAGCACCAAGCGTAGAAAATCTCTTTTTTTTCCTAGGTAATTTGGAGCCTCAAATCCCCGATAGCTTTGCAATATTCAATCTCTATTTCGCACCGACAGTCTCCCAATCAATCCAGGCAACATCCCCAAACACACCCTCCTGATTCTGGAAGACCTTGCGCGGCTCACTATACGGCTCAAACCCTTTCTTGTTCAACACAGTAGTAACGTTCCCATCCGCCCTGCCCGTTGCATTGAATCCAGGTCCACGGATATCGTACTCTGCCATCAATGTCACATTCTTCTCATACCGCGCCACCCCGGACACAACCCAGTCAATGTACCCACTAGCCTCGATACTAGCATCTTCGTACGAGCGAGCAAATATGGACCGGTGCTGGGAGTTCCAGGGGCGGCCGAGCGCGCAGGCGCCCACGATACTGGGTGCGACGGAGGCGTTTGCGGCGCGGACGTTGCTGTCTACGATGTAGACGCCGTATTTGTTGGTGAAGGTTGTATTTGTGCCTTTCCAGGCGGTGATGCCGCCGCCGCAGCCACGGAGGAGCACGTCCGAGGATTGGATCCAGGCTGTGCCGAAGCCGTAGAGGAAGTCGGTTTGGCCGGCGAGGATGGACCTGTAGAAGTATGCATTGCCGAGTTTGCCGACGTAGACCTGGAGAAAGAGAGGTGTGTTAGGAAGATGGAAGATAGGATTGTATGTGTGGTTTGTTGGGGTTGAACCGTACCGTGTCCTGGTAGGAATAGAAACCGCAGTAGTAGAAGCCGCCGTTGGCGCGGCTGAAGCTTAACGCGTGGGCGGGCCCGTCGCTATACTCAGCCCAGGTATTGGTGAAGTCGATGTTGTATGCACGGAAGTTCTTGTTGCCAAAGGGCGTATCGGCGGGTACAGCATAGCCCGTCGTGCCAGAGCCTGTCAGGCTGGCGTCGAGAGTGGGTGAAACTACCAGGACACTGGAGTAGACGTTGTCCACGCTCTGGCCGGTGCTGTCCTTGTTGGCGGCCGCCCAGGTGATGGTCACCTGGTTCTTGGTAGCATCGGTAGAAGCATTTGTCTGACCGAGCAGAGTGACTGGGCCCGCACGGGTGACGTTCACTTGCTCCTTGTAGGTACCAGCAAGGATGAGGATGGTCTGAGAGGAATCGTCATTGGGAAGGGACTCAATGGCAGCCTGGATAGTGGTAAAGTCTGCCTGCTTGTCCGAGGCCGAGACCTTGATAGTGCCCCTGGGACAGTGAGTGCTCGAAGCCTGGCATCGCTGGCGAGAGACGTGATTAACGGCTACACTGTGAACGCTGGCTGCGTGCCACAGGAGCGCGAAGAGAGCTGCAATGTACAAGGGAAGCATGGCGGGCCAGCTTCCTGCTATGGGTGGGATCCGCTAGCCAGAGAATGGGTCCCCATGACGAAAAGGTATGGTCCTTTTATACACCAGCAGAGCCATTGCTCCTCACCAATGACTTGGGGCAATGCCATCACGACACAGACGGAAAATCTCCTGGCTCATATTGTTCCTGACGAGGCTATTCCCGAGATGGTAGAGATGTCCGCGCGTAGATTGGCGTCATCCTTCAGGCTTTCCCCAAAAGTCCCCAAGAAGCTGGGGTCATGGTGGAGTTTGACTTTCCCCGCATGGTGGAAAATCTTGCTGGGGAAGAGTGGAGGGAGATTGGGGGACGGAGAATTGGGCTTCCACCTGTGAGAGTGCGGGGTGAAGGAAGCTAGCGGGAGGTTTAAGTTGCAGGGATGTTTGAGGAGAAAGGAAGATATGAGAAAGTCATGACCATCTACTTATCAACAATGGACAAAACTCTACAAATATGGGGCTGGGTTTAGGCTAAATTCACATTTCAATCGAGATATCCGAGTGAGTACCATGATTTTAGTATTGCGCGTGAAGGAACCTACAAAGTTTCTGGTATGATGGACAGATAGGTCGCTTGAGGAACGCCGTTATGAACTAAAAGATCTGTCCATGTTGGAAGTTCTTATGTCGTTAGAAGAATATGGGGGTACAATGCCAGCTTGAATACGAGCACTGGGGCAGATTCAACAAATGTGAGCTTTATGTTACAGGATAGGTACATCAAACGAGTGATAATACACACTGAGCCTTGTGCTCAAAGACTCGCTATTTGCGGCAGATGCAACTACAATCGAGAAAACCCTAGACTGAAAACAGAGTAGGTATCAAACGACAGGCCGAGATGACCACAACAGAGGTATCAGTAAAGACAGCCAGAAATCAAAATGGGTATCGTATGATCGCTTGACAAACGGCAGGCATCACTTTTTTGGGTTAGTAATAATTTGTCGGCGTCCATTCTTGTCCTGGGTAAGATGTGGGAGACATGATGATCTCCTCACTAGAGTCATCATGCGTGACTGCGAGCTCGACGGGCTCGGGGGTGTCATTGACCATTCGCGCATCACTACGGTGCGGATGCGTCGGCACGATGGAGAGACTGGAGACGTCGTTCGATAGGCCGGGACTTGGCTCGAGCTTGGGCTGAACCTCGATGGACTTGGGTGGTACGGGTGGCTGAACGTCTTCATGATGGTGTTCTTGTGGTGAAGTTGATTCTTCTACCTGGTTCACATCGGATAGTGGAGGGGACTGACCGCTGTTTCCAGAATCAGATCCCCCAATGGGCGATAATAGTGGTGGGGACAGCATCGGTTGACTCTTCGTGCGAGTATGATGGGAAGGTGCAGAAGGTTCTCCAGACTGCGGCGATGAATAAAACCGTCCAGTCAACATAGAAGTAGTCGCGACGACGGGCGGAATGGGCATGCTTGCCCGCTGACGAGGATCGCGTCGTTGGGAGGGTGATTCGACAGAGGAGGATGAAGACCGAGAGACTGGTCGAGGTGGGAGGTCCTTGCCGACTGGGTCGAGGGTAGAGTGGCCATTGTGTCTGAGTGAATCTTGAGCTTGGGAGACCATAGGAGCTGGTGGCTGGGCTTTCGCCGGAGTCGGTCCACCATGACTAATGTCGAGGGTCTTGCTCTGTGCAGACTGAGGATCTTGTTGGCGACCAAAGAATCCCTACATTCGGTTAGAAAAGACCTCAAAAGAGACTTCAAAACTGTATCAACCGCTAGATATTACATCACATACGCTGATCCTGCTAAAAGGCCGTTTCTTCTGGCCACCGTCCTTCTGCTGCGGTTCAGTCTGAGCGCTTCGTGCTTGAAGGCTCTGGAATTCTTTCGAGACTCCCTCTTGGAATCCAGAGAGGGCATTGCCCACCGACGCACGACGCCGTCTTCCAAAATTCTTCAACTTGTCCATCTTAGAATCACCAGATACAGCCTGTTGCGACATTTCGTTGGCTGGGGTATTTGGTCGCGTGCCCTTGCTATTATTGCTCTGTCGACCAAAGCTACCAAAGCTCAACATGCTGCTTCGAGTGCCTGGCGAGTATCTCACTTCATTCCGAAGCGGGCTCTGTACACCTGGAGTGGTTGGAGGGAGGCCGCTGATTGACCTGCGCTTTGATTCCAAGATTTCTGCAGAGCTGGGGGGCCGTGATGGGTAAGCAGAGCCAAAGCCTGACGCAACATCGTCGAGCGATGGCAGAGTGAAAACAGATGTCCGAGCTCTAGAGTCTACTTGGTTGGACACATGCCTTTCCGACTCATCATCCCCGGCCTCGGTCATCGGGTTTATCGGTTGTTGCAATGGCGAAGGAGGTGCCTCAACTTCTTCCTCAGGGGAATGGCTGACTTGGTGCTCATCGATTCCGAGTGTAGAGACGGAAGGTTGTCGTGGAGTAAATCCAGACTCCAGAGACAAAAGACCCTTGAGAGGATCGTCCCTGGGGGACAAGTCCTTCGGAGGAAGGCTTGGTGCATCTTCGTTTGTATTGGAAACATCCCTGGGCGGAACATCTGGTAGAATATCTTTCACAGGCACATCCTGGGACGAGTGGCCGATCGACAAGCGTCTTTTTGGTGAGGAAATACGGTTGCCCTCCTCTTCTGCCACCGGTCGGGTTAAAGGAACGGTGGCCTCGGAAGCTGGAATACCCGGCAGTGATGCATCTCCCATATTCGACACGGGGGAAAGCGTAGATGACTGGCTAGGAAGGTCTGGTAAGCTCTTCTCGTTCGGCTCTCCGCCGGTTGGGTCCCAGGTCGCGGAACGGCTGGTATTCTTCTTCAAAACGTCTTCGGGTTGGCGCTGGGGACTATCGGAGTGGGTAGCAACGGTTGCACTTGGGCTCAAACGCGGCTCAAATGTCGAAGCCTGTTGAGGACGCGGCTCGGCGGGTGACAACCCTAGCGCTGCATTCATTTCCTGTTCGAAATCGAATGAGAACTCCGCCTGTCTGGGGAGGCCTCCACTTCTATCGCGGTCGAATCCAGAGGTCTTGGTAGTTTGACTGGGCAAATTTCTGTCGACTTTGTCTACAGACCGCATCAAGTCCACCGATCCATTGGATTTGAGACGTTTGCCTGCACACTCATCGTCGACAGAGCCCTCTAGAGACGAGGCAGGATCCATAGTGGTCGCAGGGGCAGCAGAAATATTGTCATTCCGACTCGACTTGAAGAGCGGAAGGCTCCCAAAGACGACAGAGTTGCGTAGGGAAAAGTTACCATCCGAGGAATTCGAATTACCAGACGCGGATAGGGAAGAGAACTGCAATTGCAAACTTCTGCGAGGAGTAGAAGAAGTCGATTGGTCAACCTACAGACATTACCAATATCAGAACCGGCCCGAAATAAAGTGATCAGGAAGAAAGGAATGGAGGAGTGAAGAGCTGAAAGAACAAAGATGAACCAAGTACATCATTCGTGTCGCATTCTAGAATCCAAAGCCAGAGCGATGAGAATTACATCGTGGTATCCAACAGTGATAAGGAAACATGAAGTATAAAAGAGGTGAGGAATATAGACCGTAGTGCTGGCTTCCAGCGCGCTATCCCAAGACGAAATTGAAAAGAACGAAACCCCATGGATAGGGAATATGAATGATAAAAAGGGAATAAGATCACGTATCTACCTTGTCTCCGCTGGGTCGGAATTTGCTCCTGCCCTTGGCGAATAAACCCTTGGCAGCTTCGCCTGCTTTCCCACTGAAAGTGCCAGCCGTGTGAAGGAGGTCCTTGCCACGCTGCTCGACGTTTTGTCGAGTTACAATGGTTCCAATATGACCAGAGGGACGTCTAGCGTGTCCAGCGCCGGCCGGAGCGCCGTCTTCCTTAGAGGTAAGGTTACCTAGAGATGCGAGCTTGGGGAACTTTCTGGTCGTGGGTGATGTCCGTTGGAATCCAGACGAGAGGGACTGGCTCGAGTGAACAAGATCTGCATGCTCTGGATGAGCATGAACAGTAAACTCAAGCCAGGCTTTGATACCCGTGTCCAGAGTTGCGAATTGATCTCGGGTTTGATCAAATGCTCGAATTCGCTCCGCGGGCGATGTCTTGTTGAGAATGTCGCGGAACCCTTGCAATTTTCCTTCTTCGACCTTCGATGTTACAATTGGCAATGGCACTTCCCTTTCAGCTACCTGGCCACCATCGGGGCCTGCTATTTGCTGTGGCAGAGAGATGGTCTGGGGGATTGGAGGTACGATTGACAGCCTGGGCTTCTCAATGCGCTGGGAATCATCGGAAATTTCGCCAGCAGTGACTGGCCGTTCTCTTGACAGATCCTCTGCCATGGGCTCAAAATCATCAGCGATGGTACCAGCCTTTCGAGCATCCGCATTTGCGTCTAAAGAAGGGGCCACAGCATCTGCCACAGGAACCTGCGTCGCTGGCGCTTCGTCCGACGAGGCTGACTCCCATGAGAACCGCCGTCCTAGTCGAGGCCTCTTCGGATCAGCGTCGGCAGGTGGAACTGTCTCGCTGGGCGTTTGCGTAGCTGCATATGGGTCCTGAGCAGCCAGAGGATGTGTGCTAGTCCAATCAGGATGAGTCTCGGAGACAAGTGCCCTTGGGACTTCGTCGGGACCGGGGCCGGTCGAATTATCCCAATACTTCTCATAGGTTTGCGGGATAGATCCATCCTGATTCGGCTGTGGCAGTGACTCAGGCTCCTGGGAGTTCTCCCGACTCAAGGACCGCATGATCTCTTCTCGTAACCGATCGTTGTCGGTATCCTGCGGCGAATCGCCAGCGCTAGCAGGTATAATCGTAGGGATCTCGCCTCGATAGCCTTCAGATGCGATTGTGCCATTGCTGCCAAATTTGAGAGGTGCGATGAAAGTCTCAGCTGTCGTTGTCGATGGAATCGATGCGCTCTGAGCGCCTGGGGCATCAGCGGGTCTATCCGGTGAGCCAGACTGACCCGGAGAGACCGACGACAGTTCTGCTTGGCCTGCAAATGGAACCTGATTGTCCGTAATCAGAGGTCTTTTCGAAGGACTGTTGTCACTCTCGGGAAGGCTCATATCACGTCGATGACCAGGCTTGAAGAACGAAGTCTGGTCCCCACCTTCTTTTGGCGCGTTGGTGGGGGTACTGGACTCCGCAGGTTCCTCGGGAATTGTGGGCGTTTTGTCGTCCTGAGTGGTGCGGTGACTGATAATTGGACTAATGACAGAGGTTCCGTCGCTGTTTGACCGCACCACACTATCGTCAGTGGAGTTGGGAGTCTCTGGAACGTCGAAGGCTTGGTGGACGACCGATGTGAAGCCCTGAGAGTCTTGGGAGGCCTGGGAGGCCTGAGATGGGTTGTGATGTAGGGAGGCCTCCGCGGACTCAGAGCTTGCACTTGGCTGGAAGCTTGGGTCAGTGGTACCGAGGAATTCGGCACCGAATCCTGACATTCTTTTGAGCTCCGGCAGCGCTATGGAGGGGACTTTTTGAGTTGTTTCTTTGGAGGCGCTTGGATTCACGGGCAAGGTACCGTTGCCACCAGTCACGGCAGGATGAGTCGGGGTAGGACGGGGCTGAACAGAGCCCTGAGGCTCTGCTGAACGTCCAAGACTTGCTGCTTCACCTACTGGCGTTCGCTCCTCGCGCATTCGCTTGTAGATATCGGCAGGTCTAACGAAAGGCAGGGACTTCTGATCGCCAGCGCTGGGAAGCGGCTTGGTTTCGGCAGTAGGACTTGCGCGGACCTCATCAGTCCCATATCCAAGCCCAGACAAGCGCCCGGAGCTCAACTCGGAGGTGCTGCCCGTCTTGTGCGTGGCGTAGGGAGGCGCAGGCGCCGCTGGTCGCTCGTCCTCCTCCTCTTCGTCATCATCGTCACCCCAGTCGCCACCATCGTATGAATACTGCTTTGCCTGCACCCAGCGCTGGGTCTTTTGGCGATTGACGTTCCGTTCAAAGGAGGGGGTAGCTCCGCCCGTACTTGCTGGCGAGAGGGGGCTATTCGCGTTGGCAGGACTAAATCGAAAATGTTTGTCTCAGAGGTTGTGTGACGAAGCACGAGTGATGGCGCAACGGGTGTTATACTCACAGATTCTGGACCCCTCGACCGTGCCATGGAGGATTATGATCCGCCATCAGAATAACAGCGATGGGTGGTGTGGTCAAGCGGACTTTAAGACTCTCGCATGAGTTGCTGCCTAGCTGGCTAGATCGCAGAGTTTCCGCGTTGCGATCGCTAAAACACAAGGTCGACGGACCCCTGATGCTTTCCTGAGCTCGTGCAGGAGGGGACCGCCGGGTATTTGAGGGAAAACGGTTGTGGCGCGAGCGACGTTGCGAATGCTAATGCGGATGCCGATCAGATCAGTTGAGTTAGATGGAGGCGGGCGGGAAACAAGATTGATGTACACCGGCAGAAGATGACGTGTATGCACCAGAATTGGGCAATATGAACACAACTGACTGGATGTCGGCAGTTGAAAGGAAAGAAAAAAGAATGCCGCAGTATTGGTATACTTGAAGCTCCGAAACTGTGTTCCAAGGAATTGTTTTCCCCTGATTTTTAGTCTGGGGTTACTTTACAGTCTGCCCAATCTAAATTTGGGTGCGGCGGTGCTGCTGACGTAACGATTCACCAGATATTTCTCACGTGATAGCCATCGAAGTCGCCGCGATCCACGACGTGTTTCAACTTAGGTGGCTTGCAATCAAGGAACAAATGGTCGTGCTGTTTCTTTCCTGAAATTTCAACAAATGCGAAGGCTACCCTGGCTTTTAATTACTTGACTTCCGCAATAGACCTGGAAGTTTCCTTTTCCCAACACTACCGCTGCAACCGGACACGTCTACTACGCCTCCCCCTTATCGATTAGAATCCAGTTGGACCAGCCCCGTTGCCAAACACCGGCCAAGTCCACCCTGACCCACGCCTTCTCTAATCTCCGAACACAACGGCTTTTTGATTCACTCGGTCGCCTTTTCCACGCCGCCCTGTCAGAATGACCGGACCGTCCATTCAAGATCGCACGAGCGAGTTCAGCGCCATCCTTGGCCACGCCCAAAAACGACTCGGCGCCTCGAAAGTTGGAACCCAGCGACAAGCGCTCCTGACGGACGCCCAAAGACGACAAGCCAATGGGTCGCCGTCTGGTCCGCATGATAGCAGTACAGGCAGATCCGAGTTTGCGCGGAGAGCGCGGGATATTGGGAAGGGCATTACTGGAACGACCGCGAAGCTGCAGCGCTTAGCAGAGTGTGAGTACTTGCTCTTGAAAAGCCGACCCGCTCCAGTGGTTCGGTTAGAACCATTGATAGATAGAGTCTAATATGAGAGACTAGTGGCGAAGCGGAAAACACTCTTCGATGACCGACCGGTCGAAATATCCGAATTGACATACGTGATCAAGCAAGATCTGGCCTCGCTAAACCAGCAGATTGCCTCCTTGTCTGCGTTGACCCAAGCGCAACATCCAAAGTCAAACCGCTCCAAGACAGACCAGGAAGGAGAACACAATGACAATGTGAGTGGGCGATATGGTATCGAGAGCGCATGGACTATATGCTGACTAGTTACGCCCCAGGTCGTCGTTATGTTGCAAGGAAAACTTGCGGACGTCGGGTCTTCTTTCAAGGATGTTCTTGAAGTCCGGACAAAGAACATCCAAGCCTCTCGCACAAGAACCGAGAACTTTGTCTCCTCCGTCTCCTCCAAATCACAGAGCGCTCTTGACTCGCAACGCTCTGATTCACCTTTATACAACACCTCGGGGCGCCGAACGCCTCAGCCAGGGTATCAAGGAAACTCGTCCGATCTTCTGACCTTGGATCCCTCAAACCCCTCACCTTTGGGCCAGTCAATGCAATCGGATCAGCAACTCCTGGTAATGGAGGAGGCCCAATCCAGCAACTCTTACGTCCAGGCCCGTGGAGAGGCCATCGAAGCCATTGAGCGAACTATCAGCGAACTTGGTGGCATTTTCGGCCAATTGGCACAGATGGTCAGTGAACAGTCTGAAATGATTCAACGCATTGATGCAAATACCGAGGACGTTGTGGACAACGTCCAAGGCGCTCAGCGAGAACTCATGAAATATTGGACTCGGGTGTCTGGAAATCGCTGGCTCATTGCCAAGATGTTTGGCATTCTGATGGTGAGTAAATACATATCCCGCTCAGGTGGCACACATCATTAACTATTCTCCAGATTTTCTTCCTTCTTTGGGTTTTGATCTCGTGATAAACTCGATCCGCCAGCACTTTCTTTCGATATTGTATTATAATACCTCGCTGTCTGTAGTCTGCTGGACGTACAACGGCTCCCCTGCATGCCCCACGCTCACCATGCGCGTCGTCTTTTCTTTGTCTTTGGCTAGACTGGGATGTCTGATACACTCGTTCTTCCCTTCCTTTTTCTTATCTTCCTCCCCTGGGACTGTGTCCTTACGAAGAAAACCTCAAGTAAATATGCACTGTGTACTAATTGAACCAACACGAATAAACAATCCTATCATTATGCCATCAAGGCCGCGAGAAATTATGGTGAAGGTTGACTATCTCATTTGACCGGCTTCCTTCCCAGTCCTCTTTAAAATGTGACTCTTTCAGAAATTTGTTGTATGCATGAATTAACAATCTGAAGTCGATAATCTCGCTACTGCTCTCGGCTTTGCGAGCTGGCTCTCCGAAGCAGAAAAGCTCCCTAAAGAGCCGGAGAAGGGTCGAAAGCTCAAAAGATTTAATGGGGATGAGATATGTCTAACGCTCGTTGGTGTGGTGAAACATCACGGTCAATAGTAATTCTAGCGATGATGTTTATGCCGCGTTCTATAGCATCACATCCTGGGACGTAGTTGGGTATCGGCAACCTCCGACCACTAAGCCCGACTCGTCCGGCGGCCGGCGTTTCGGACCCCGAGAGATTAGGAGGCTGGCATCACCAGAGACTCTGATCTCCAACATGACTTCAACAAGGCCAAGGTCAATACTCACAGGCGGAGCACACGATTGATTTGTCATTCAAATCAAGAAATCATTGAGGGTCAAGTACCGGTCCGGAGGCCGATCGCAGAACAATGACTTCTACAATACCCGCAGTAAGTTCGCCGGCCCTTGTTCGTGCTTCCTTGTCTATCAAGCACAGCTAATGGACAAATAGTGCGACCTATGTCACACTAGAAAGGTGAGGCAGTCTAAGTTGGGGCTTACTCAATAATTTCATGCTAAAGATGTTCTTATCGTTGCTCAGGTCAAATGTGATCGCCAGGATCCTTGTATGAACTGTGTGGATGCAAAGGCTGATTGTCTTCGCACACGTCATGCCAGGGTCCATCGCCCAAGAGTTTCTCGGTTAGTCCCATATTAGAGAGTGCTTATGATCATTGATCATTGGCCAACTGACATTGAACAGCCTAGATGCATTGGCTGAGAGACTTGCGAAGTTAGAACGGTCTAACACGGCTGAAATTGTTACATCTGCATCGCCTTTATCAAGCAATGCGAATCATGATGGTACCTCGACCGTGCCATCGTCTCCAAGAGCAACTCATTCCGACCCTGCTAGGCCCTTCTCATCTGCCAAGAGAAAGTTCTATACAGCGCCCATATCTAGCGAAGCCAGTCCGTCCAATCAGCAGGACAAAAAGCGTCGAGCCTCGCAGAGTGTTCATTCCCAAGCTCACGCTGAAAACCAGTCCCCAGAGTCGACTCGTCACGCCAGCGAGGCAAGAGAGTACATTGAAAACGAGCTGCAATGCAATCCAGCTCTTTCTCAGGACAGGCGGACTGCCCTCGAAATGGCGCGCCGGTTTGTCGGTCAGCTGTCCAACCCGGGCCTGCATCACCAAGAAACTACTACCTGCGAAGAGCCAGACGTTGAAGAGAATCTGGCACGACCAAATCTTACACCAGAATTGTTGTACATGATGTTACCCGGTAAGTGCTCTTTCGGTGATATGGAACCCCAAATACTCACGGTAACAGGGCCTGATAGAAAAACTAATTCCCAGGGAACGATTGTCTGGCCAGACCATATCTCCGATAGAACCCTTGAAAGAATGGGGTTGGCTATTATGGAGCGTAGTGAGAGTGAACAGGTGCTTCGGCTGTATCGGATCAGTGTATGGATCAAAGCCTTTTCCTGCATATCAAAATTGGCACCTTTGATATCTAGCGAGCATTTGAAAGCGCACTTCAGAAAATTGAAGAAGCAATATGAGGCTGGAGCTATCGAAGAGCTCAATTCGATCCCGTTAACGGCTTCTCCAAGCCTTCCCCTGCTACAGGCTCTCTTGTCAGGCGTGAGTCATTATTCTCAGAGCATAGCTCTTCACTCAAATGCTAATGCTATTACATAATAGAAACGCCTGATGCAGTATCTAGGTAACATGTCTCGCTGTTGGATGCTCACAGCACTGACAGCCAAGGTCATTATTGCCTTGAACTATCATAATATAACGGACACCATGCCCCGGAATGAAGTGGAAGAAGAAATACATGCCTGTGTATACACATGTTACTATTTCGACAAGACCCTCAGCCTGCTTCTCCTTCGGCCACCATCGTTACCCGAGCTGAAGGTCGAGCCAGCACAGCTGATTCATTTGGACCCAGACTTACCTACTACGCCAATGATAACTGGTATTGTCGAGTACGCACGTCTTAAAAATACCCTGTCGAACATTCTCCTTCACACCAAAGAAATGGGCGATGTCGAAAAAGCCAATGCCTTGTCTGATCTTGTTGTCCGTGCCCAGGCAATCCATTCCAATATGCAAGTGGTAAGCTCGTCTCTTAAACAACAATCCAGAGTGACCGCTTACATACTCTTTTAAAGCATCGAAGCCGCCAGGAATTGGAGTTTCCTGGCTCCTGGGCAATCTTAAGCCGCGAATGGCTGTCTATGGACTTCAACTACTATTCCCTTTTAACCACCATCGTTCGCGCCCGGTCTTCAGTGCTGAAATCGCGTTTGGTATGCGAAGACTGCCTATACGTGGCGCGAAAGGCATTAATGACGCTTCGTGCTATGCAAGAAGCCTTCGCCGGCAATGCTACCTCGGTGGATTCATTTCCATATTTTCTTACCTGGTCAGTAGCTATCCATGATATGCCTTCTTCAGGATAGTAAACTAAGACGCTCTTAGGACTATGTTACTGGTTCCCCTTTCACCGTTCTTCGTCCTCTTTTGCAATGTTATTGCGACATCAGACCATAGAGATTATGAAATGATAAGGAAGATTACAGATGACCTACGTCAGTTCGCCAAAGCAAATGCTTCCATCGGCAAACTGTGCGCATTATTCGCAAAGTTTCTTGACTTATGTGCACCGTTGGTCAAGCTCAATCCTCCTGGTACAATTGAGCAACCGGATGCTTCCCAGAACGGAGATCATAGCACAGAGCGGCGATCCCTTGGCGAATCAAGATATTCCTATCCAGATGTGCTGCAACAAGATACGGGCCATGTTCCCAACACGCTTCCAAGCCCGCAAACCAGCAGTGAGGCTTTTGGTGTGCCATCCTCCATGCAGGGATGGGATGATAGTCTGATATGGGAGTTGTTTGATAACCAGCCCTCGCTGGGATGGGCAGATTCAGAGTTGTGGAGTGCAATGACGCAGCTGTAAGTAGACTTCGGTTAGCAGTGTGTGGATATCAGTCAATCCCTCGATGTGGCCCAGCATGTAAACAGCTTTGGCTTTGTGATTGTATCGGTACGATTTTATTTCCATAGAAATAGACGAACTTCCCTATGAAGGGACGTATAGAGAAATAATTGGCTGTTTTCGAAAGGGAACTCAACGAAGCAATCGTGTCGGAAAGATCTACGTATAGGTGCATCGAAAACCCGGGTTTTGTTCTAAAAGTAGAGCCTAGGACAGGAAGAGCTCATTGATCGGTATAAGTCTCTGAAAAAATAGTGAACATGATGAAATTTCACCCAAATACCCTCGTCTTCTTGAAAGGAGATATTGTTTTAGCTTAAGCACACCCGTTATTTAAAAAACAAAAATAGTCATTTTAGCAGAGTATATCTAGTGTGTAAACATAGGATTAATTGGAACGGTGAAACCGCTGCCAAGATAGTCTCGCCCGATGGCTTTGTTATCGATATTTGCAGTTCATCGCCTGACTAATAAGGCATCAAAGTCCCTCCCCATTGATTGCCATTTATGCCTGCAACCTCAGGCCCCACAGTTCTTTCAACACCACGCCCGGGAACATCGCGTGTCATCCATCGAGCAATCGGACGAAGCATTTTAGGTTGACACGCATGCGATCTTGCTCAAACATTTATACATGAAGAACATATCTTCCTTTAGGTTTATCGTGTAGAGATGGCTCATCTCCGCGACAATTCCGCGGTCCCTTCTCGGACGCCCCTGGGATTGCCGTCGAGTGCACTGAAACCTTACTCTTGCGTGGTTTGCCACAAGAGGAAAGTCAGATGTAATCGTGAGGAGCCATGCTCAAACTGTGCCAAGGCCAGTGTTGAGTGTATTTACCGTCCGCCGGCGCCCCCGAGGCGCCGCAAGAGAGAGCGCGATGGAAGCCGAGGCGCGTCTCAAGAACGAGAGAAGTCAGCTCGGCGAAACAGCAGAGAGCCATCGTATGGGGGTAATACAGCACAACATGCTTCTCCAGCCAGGAACTTGTCGAACGGTGCCGAAACAAGCCGAAGCGGGTCCGGAAGGATGATCATGAGGGAAGGCAACTCAGTCTACCTTGACAAGTTAGTAATCTTGCGGCCTATCAACTTGGAATGAGCCGGCTAACAAGAAAGTTCACAGTACTCTTTGGACAAGTGTGAGCCATGAGGTTTGTGACTCTCGCACCTTTCAGATTCTTTCATTTCTTATAACTTTGGCTTGTAGCTCCCAGATGCGGCGGAAGTACTAGGCGATGCTGCAGATGATAACAGCGACAATGCATCGCAGGACGAAGAAGATATTTCATCCATGCTGCTGAGCCATGGTTCACGAGAAGGCCTTGCAGATTTGCACCCCAACCCGTTACACATATTCAAGCTATGGCAGACGTTTCTTGAGAGAGTCAACCCGTTGACGAAGATCGTGCATGCACCGACTGTTCAGCAGCAGATACTGGAAGCTATGAGTGACTTAAAGCAAGTCAGCAAGGACTTTGAGGCATTGATGTTTTCTATCTATTGCATCTCCCTAATTTCACTCCAGGCTGGAGATGTCGTGAAGGCATTTGGCGAGAGCAAAAAGAAGCTTCTCTCAAGATGCCGACGAGGAGCACAGCAGGCATTTAGAAATGCCTCTTTCCTTCGCACATCAAGTACAGTGGTTCTTCAAGCATTCATCCTATACTTGGTGCGTTGTACCCTCCCCTAAACACCGTTTATTGACTGACAGGTGTACGGCTAGCTGTCAATGCGAGCATTCTCCGATCCACATACTATCTGGTCTTTGAGTGGCGTTGCATTACGAATGGCACAGAGGATTGGCATTCACCGGGATGGCTCTGGCCATGGGCTTTCAATCTTTGAAACCGAGATGCGACGCCGTATCTGGTTTCAACTCATGATTCTAGACGCAACATCAGCGCAATTCTGTGGAGTCGCTGCAGGTCCATTCGTGGACTCAGCTGATACCAAACCACCAATGAATGCAAACGACAGTGACCTGGATCCGCGCATGACAGAGCCCGCATGCGAAAAAGAGGGCCCTTCTGAGATGATTTTCTGCTTGGCTCGCAGTGAGTTTGGGAAATGGCTCCGTCGCTGGAACACTAATACCGGCGGGTCTGGTTCTCCGTGGGCTTTCCTGTCATCCTCAACGCTGTCGCTGAGCGAAAAGGATCGGTGTATTGATGAGCTGGAAGATATCATGGAACAGAAGTTCCTGAGATATTGTGATCAGTCAATCCCTCTACACCTGGCTACAACGATGATGGTGCGCTCATCCAGTCACTATACCAGGCTGATGGCCCATCATCCTCGCCATTATCACGACTCGGGTACTCGTATACCCCAGTCTGAGAAAGATGTCATCTTTGGCCATTGTTTGAAGATGGCAGAGTATGCCGACTATGCTCAAACAAACCCCGATGTCCAGCGCTTTTCATGGCACATGGTCAACCACATGCCATGGGATGCTATGATCTTTATGCTGTCCGAGATGCGAAACAGGACCAACCCGGAAGAGAAAGACAAAGTCTGGGAAATCGTTGGCAGTATCTATGGCCGTCATGTCCGACAGATAGGAAAAAATTCCCAGATGCCTCTTCATAAGGCCCTACAACACTTGTTTGTCAAGGCGTGGAGAGCCTACGTTGACGATTGTAACCAGCACGGTCGCACACCAAGACCTTGTCCGACAGTGGTGAGCAGCTCATTGAACGCTTCCAACGATTTTACGGAAGCACAGGTTGCTCAAGAAACTGCGCAGATTGAGGTAAATAATGCTCCGGTTCAAGAACCACCGAGCCAATATGCATCAAACGTCCCATTTGATACCGGGACCGAGAACATGGATTTCCTTCTTGGTGATAGTCCAATGGATTGGAGCGAATGGGACCACCTCTTGAATCAATTTCAAGAATCACTCGTGGACGACATGACGCTGATGCCGGGAGCTGTATGATTGTGGCAAGGCTGCGAAATCTCCCACTCACCACGGGTGAAATCGGGTGGCCCAAATTTGAGCAATGAATCATTTGACGGCAAACTTGCTGTATACAAGGATAATTGCTGTACCGCGACATTCAACAAATCTAAGGCGCGCAACGGTTTCACGAGGCTCGCGCCGTCGGCAGGCAATTCGCCGATCGTGGCTCTGCTCAAAGTCTCGGAGTCGGCGTCTAAGCCGCCCGAACACGAACTGGACACGAGGACACTGTAGCCTATATCTAACGACATTCCAACAGCCGTCGAGTATGAATATTTTCCTTTTTCTCCAAAAAACTTATTTGGTCTCCTGCACAAGTTACGAAATCTGTCATATTTTTTCTCGATAGCTCTAATCTGCTCGAGTGAGATCACCTCTATCTCCGTCACCTGGCTTGGCATTCCTTCCCTCAAGAAATGACTGAAACGGATGTTTTGATTGCTGGAGCAGGGCCAACGGGTCTTGTTCTCGCTCTTTGGCTCCACACACAGGGTGTCAGAATTCGCATTCTTGACCAGGCAGCTGGGCCCGCCCCCAACTCGCGCGCGCTGGCCGTGCATGCCCGCATTCTGGAGCTATACCGCCAACTCGACCTGGCCGATGAGCTAATAAATCGTGGATATCAGCTACCTGCTACCAATGTGTGGGTCAATGGTTCTCACAGAGCCCACATCAACCTGCGAGAATTCGGCACAGAGTTGACACCATATCCCTACCTGCTTACTTTCCCTCAAGACGAGCATGAGCGCCTGCTCGAGAAGCGACTGAACTCCTTGGGTATCTTTGTGGAACGGAAAACCACGCTACAAAAGTTTGTCGACAATGGCTCGAGTATCACCGCAACTCTGGCGTGTGCGAACGAGGACGAGTCTACCTGCGAAGCTGCCTATATTGTTGGTTGCGACGGCGCCCATTCGGTAGTCCGACACGGTATTGGGGCAAACTACGAGGGTGGCACTTATGTGCCACTCTTCTATATTGCAGATATTGTGGCCGAGGAGCAAGACAGTCCGCTTTTCAACGGTGAAGCCCACTTGAATTTTGTCGATGAGACTTTCAATTTGATATTACCTTACGTCGAAGAGCGCCACGTCCGATTAATTGGAACGACAATCCCGAAGAGTACTGAGAATCAGCAAACCAATACCTCGGAGTCACAACCCGAAGTGACGTTTGAGGACGTGCTTCCGGAAATCAAGAAAACGACAAATATCGATATTCAAAAAGTCAACTGGTTCTCCACATATCGAAGTCATCACCGCGTGGCAGAGAAGTACCGCAGCAACAGAGCCTTTCTTGTCGGAGACGCTGCTCACATCCACAGCCCAGTAGGTGGTCAAGGCATGAACACGGGCATCATGGATGCAATCAACTTGGCGTGGAAACTAGCAACTGTGATCAAACAGCCCTCCATGACGCTAGAAGCCAAAGATGCGCTTTTGGATACCTATGAATCTGAACGGCGTTCATTCGCGTTGGATGTAGTCGGCGCAACAGACCATGGCTTCACCATTCTCACCAGCTCGGGATTTATTCCACACCTTCTGCGTGCATGGGTCATTCCCTACCTCATTCCTCTCGTCACTCGCTTCCAGGCCACCCGCACGGAAATTTTCCGACGTGGATCCCAACTAGTCTGCTGCTACAGGGGAAGCAGTATGCTCAACGAGCACACACAAGGCTCTGAGGCGGTACAGCCCGGTGATCGTTTACCATGGGTAAAGACTGAGCGTGGGGATAATTACTCAAATCTGCGTGATATCTGTTGGCAGGTTCACCTTTATGGCGAGTCTCGGGTGAGTCTGAAGGAATGGTGCGAAACAAAGCACGTTCAGTTGACCGAAGTTGAGTGGGATGAGAAGCATGGTAAAGCTGGATTCAAGAAAGGTGCTGCATATCTGTTGCGACCGGATCAGTATATTGCTGCAATCTTTGAGGGCGATGGCCTGGAGGCCAAGTTGAATGCGTATTTCTCCACGCGGGGGCTGCCATGCTAGGCACGCTCTACATCGTTGTTATCCTTGCGTATGTATTTTGTTTGATATTACTTTCTGATACCTCTCCTGTCTGTAACAATTATGAAGTGGAATGTAAATCATGTCATTGCCGGACCCACGGGCCAAATATTGAGTATTGCCAAAACCATTACAAGAATTCAAGTGCCCTATCGGGAAAACAATAGGGTTATTCATAGCCTGTGAAAAAGGACCCTTGAGCATCATTATCCTATGCTTGCTTCCTTTCATGTTGAATATTTGCGACTCGTGTTCATCCATCTGGAGGTGCCTCCGGACCCGATGTTCGGACCCGGATCCCCGGATCCGAGCAAACATCATCGTCGGAGATAGCAACAAGATGTGATCCCAGGTTGTATGATGATGTCCGATGAAGAATAAGGACTCGAGTGAGCATAGAATTTTTTTTATAAAAGCTCTGAATCTTCTTCTCCCATCTACTATATAGAAATTATCGCACTTCCACAAATCAAGAGATCAACAGCCACAAGACAAAACAACCAAATCAGACAGTCCATTGGCGACTTACACTACAAAATGGCTTCAAACCATGTCGCAATCATCGGTGCCGGAATTTCAGGTCTCACACTGGCACTTTCTCTACACAAGCAATCCATCCCAAGCACCATCTACGAAGCACGCTCAGCCTCCCTCGATATCGGCGGCGCCATAATGCTCTCCCCCAACGCCTTGCGTATCCTCGACGCGCTCGACATCTACCAGAAAATCAAGCATCGTGGTTTTGAGTTCACCAATCTACACTTCTATACCGACAAGCCCCTCGATACCTACGAGTTCGGAGACCGGGAGAAATACCAGTACGACGCGCTGCGAATCTACCGGCACGAGTTGATCGATGTACTTCTTACCGCTGTCAAAGAGAAGGGCATTTCCATCGAGTACGGCAAGAAATTCACTCGTATTCTCACCGAGTCCGAGACGGAAGTTACTTGGGAATTTGAAGACGGCCAGATTGGTCGAGCGGCCTGCCTGGTTGGAGCGGACGGGATCCATTCGCGTGTTCGAAAGTATCTATATCCCGATCTGGAGCCGCAATTCACCAACGCCGTGGGCGTTACTGCTGCAATTCCAACAAGTCAACTCACGGATACGGATGCATATCAAATGCCTGTGACGATCATGAATCCCAAGCATGGCGCCTTTGTGATCGCGAAGCAGCTCCCCGATGGCTCCGAAGTCCTGATCGGGAAACAGAAACGTGCTGCCCAGCTCGATCGTGAAGGGTGGAGTCAACTATTGAACGACAAGCAATGGTGTGTGGACTTCTTGCGCGAGGGAGCAGAATCTTTCCCGGAAATCGTACAATCGTCCGTTACTAGCATCCCATTGGACAAGATCAATCTTTGGCCGTTTTATGTGGTCCCTAAGCTTGACACTTGGGCGTCAAAGCACTCTCGAGTGGTGATTCTTGGTGACGCGGCACATGCGATTCCTCCGACAGCTGGGCAGGGTATCAACCAGGCTTTTGAGGACGTCTATATCTACTCTTTGATTCTTGCCAAGTGCCAACAGCACAATCTGGAGCAGGGACTGAAGGTCTGGCAGAAGGGTCGCCAGGAAAGAGTTGACCGGGTTCTCGACCTCAATGCACAGATTGATGCGCGGAGGATGCCAAAGAATTCTCAGTCTGGCCCTTTGGATTTAGACACTAAGAAGTTTGACTTGGCGTGGCTGTATAGTCCTAACTTTGATGAGATGGCAGAAAGTTGGTTGGCAGCAGTTGGTATTGTTTAATTTCATGTACCTTGATACCAGATCGCTTTGATAGAATGATATTATATTTGCAATTCGTTAGTACAACGTCAATCTTCGTTCCGTACATGTTAGTGCACATCTTTCCCAAAAATTGTATTTATACAAAGGCATAGCATCCACATCTATTTCCGTAATTGCTTCGCTTGTCACGTATACTGCCCGCAGTTGCAATATAACAAGCTTCCAGGACAAGCATCTAGGCTCGTTCCCTGCTTGGACCCGTATGGCTTCTCAGCACAGATACCCAAGAGTCCAGTTCACTACTGATGACTCACTCCGAGTCTGTTTCTTCTTTCTTACTTGGAGAAACAACAATTTGTGGTGCCGGGCTTTGAGCACGCAGAGAAGGCGCATCCAAGTTGATTTGCAAAGCGTTCGGGGAGGGGTTCACAGGTGATTGTCTAGGTTGCTGTTCCAATGGCGACAGCTCATCCGAGCTACTCGGTCCCCCAGAGAGATCATTGGGCGTGATCGCGCCGTCGCGTTGCACACTGTATTCGAAGGAGCTTCTTCTTGATGGAAGAGTATTGGAGTGTGGCCGACGACCGCTAACTCGTGCTGGAGCTGGAACCTGCAACGATAGTTGTCGGAAAGGACCCTGAAGGATTCGTGAGCTCCCCTCACCATTGAACGAGTCGGAGTCTACGCTACCAGCAAAGCTGGTGGCCCTGGATCGTGGCAGCGGCGTATTGCTATATGCCCTCTGAAAATCTGGCAGTTTGCCATTTCGCAGGGATTCGCCAGGGATTTCAGGGAATTTCAATTTCTCTTGGGCATTGAATCCGGAATCTTCCATGTGAGTGTGTGCTCTAGCAGCGAGTTGTCTACTCGCCAAGTTGAGAAGACGGGCCACTTGCCGTCTGCCACCCGTGTCCATGGACTTCTCGGATTGGTTTGTGGTAGCACGGCGCATCCCAGATGAGACCGAAGGTGCAGCAGCCGTTCTCTCGACTTCTGTGCTGGGCCCATCCCTTTCACTTTGGGAGCTTCGTTGGGAATCCGAGTCCTTGTCTGCGATGTCATTCGAGATAATATGGCTGCATCTTGCACATGATTGACATTGTGTGATAACTTGTCCGTCTGGTTGATCTAAATTTGGAGCCTCTGGTTCCTGGTTCTCGTTCTTCTCCTCAGCCTCCATATCGGCTGCGAGTAGAAGATACAGCGATCCGATTGCAGCAAGTCCGGTACCGATAACCGGTGCCCATTGACCTAGAATTGTGAGACATTTTTAGCCTGATGGTGACTTTCTAACATTAAGAGCTTTCGCTTGAACAGAAGGGTACAGGAACAATTACCAATACTTTCAATGGGCTCGGTTTGATATTGCACGGGCTCGCTGAAGAAGTTCATCTCGCCTTTGATCAAGATTGCCAGTACCGCTCCGACAAACACTGGGATCTCAATCAATGTTAACCAGCCTCGGATTTTGTTTGCAATTCCATTCATCTGCTTCGGAGTCGCTCCATTGGTGCCTTCGATAGGCTGTTCATCAGGCTTCTCATCGGGTCGATCTATGAAAGCTATTTTCTCCCAATTCTTCTCTAGAATCTTAATCCACATTGATACGAGCGATAGGATGGCGGGAATGCAGCATGCGGCTGCGAGCAGTGTCGCCGTGTTGAAAGTAAGCTGATGCGGTACAGGGATCACGTAGATATTGTCGGCCGACCCTTTTCGTAAAGGTGAATACGGGCCAGCATCGCCACAGGTCATGCCACAGGTGCTGTTATAAAAGAATTTACCTGTCAAGCTCCACACAATCGTGGCCGAATCCTCGGGCGGGCAAGTTGTAGCATCGACACGAATGAACTCCACGGTCAAACTAAGGAGTCCAGCAAGAAGGAGGCCAGTCCACAGAAATATGATGTTGCGACCGGGATTGTTGAAATACGTCTTGGACAGTCGCACAGTGACCGGTGCAGTGAGGATGCCAATTGCACATAATTGAAAGGCGCCGTACACATCCATATCGACAGCACCTACCATCAAGTTAGATTTGGACATTGACACCAGAATCGAAGCCTCGCCACACTTCCTTGTAGACCGAGAACTAGCGACTTACCGCTTCGATGAACAGTCGCCAGGACAATTCCATGAAGAGCGGCGACGGCAGGGAACAGCAGTGCGGCAGCTAGACAAGCGCTGCGAATCCATTCTGCTTTACGCGCAAATATACAGGCTGCCATGGAAGCATAATACCTGTCGCTTAAGATTAGCAAGTATTTACTCCACCAGTAGGGCTTTATCATCATGTTTAAGGGGCCCATACAGCACTCGAGTTCCCGGGCCATATTGCCCAGAAACTGGCCAAGCGCAGACAACCTCTAGAACCTGAGCCGTCGCGTTGGGAGAAGTGATGTTGGCGCTGCGATGTACAAGGGAGTTTCCTAGCAGCTCGATAGCGGAGGGGACTGCTGGCATTGCTAGGTGTTTGTCATTTGTCACCTATAAAGTGGACCAAGGCACGGAGTAGAAGAAGTAAAATAGAGGTCATAAGCTATATTCCAAAGACACTAGTGCGCCCTCACAAACTTGCCAGGGCATGATGACTGGCGGAGTTGGAGAACAAAGGATCTCGGGGTGCAAGATTTATCGTAGTGATGTGTCGCTTTTACCTGGGTTGAGCATCGCCAATGATCACGCCCATTCGGCACGTTCCTCCTTCAGTGGCGGTTGGTCAGCAATAGCCAGGAGCCTCATTTTTCCCTGCTTTAAGAGCCTCGGTAGGGCCGGATTGGATATTCTCGAGCGATCGACTGGTGGTCGACCAGATCTCTCGATAGGGGAAGTGCCCCCGTGAGGGTTGTCCGGGCGCCCGTCGCTGCTCGGGCGTTGAATACGAGACCGGGCGCCCGACTGCCTTGCTGATTGGTACGGCTGCATCCCGCATCGGGGCTGTGTCGATGCATAGTGCTTTTTTCGCTTTGGTCCTCTGGGAGAGGAAAGTGAGTGTTGACATTCTTGCAAATTCAGTTTGCAGAGAGCGATAATACGTAGATGTCTGTCAAAATGCCTTGATCAAGGCCGACCGTCCTGTCTGAGGCGTTTGGATGACTGCTTGTTCATATCAGCAGGGGTAAAAGTGTATTATTCACGCGGAAGATGCGGTGTAGTGCGGGGTTTCGATACTCAAGGATGCCGACAGTCTGCTAAGAGAGACTAACACTACTTTGGCCGTGATCTGTGCTCTTTGGTCGGTTTGGTCGGAGTACTATTGACCGTCCTTTGCCATGGGGGCGCAGTTTGCTAAATTTCAGCCCTAGGCTAATGAAATGGGTGAATTCCATCCCGTGGCTATCTGGGAATTCTGATTGCCCGTCTTCTGGAGCCTTACTCCCAGTCAACACCCACAACTTTGGCTTAACTTGATGCGCCAAGTTTGTATGTCACACCCACGACACTGGGCTCCACAGGATTTACAAGGCTCAGCCTACAACCACGATCTCCTCATAGTTCCGGCAGAAGGAGTCTATTAAAGCGCTCTCGAATGCGCTAGCAAGATTGCGCCCACCGGTCTCAAAACCCAACTAACTAGATGGGAAATTTATCACACGAGTCCTCCACATTCCTCTCGTTTCGTTGATCCATTTTTTCTGACCACATATCGCCTCCATAATACCACCCCGAGGTCACCTTCTATCAAAGTAGGAGGATTCTCCAGCCGGAAGGCGTAAGCGCTCACGGCCACGCGACGCCTCTGTCCAGAAATACTGTATCCTGGGAGAAAAAATGCAGCACTGATCGGAGCCAGTGTTTCTGACGTACGAGGCTTTTTCCTTGACTTCCTGGTATTTGAACACCAACTTCCAGCGGGCAAGGTGCAAATGTCTGACTATGAATTTTACGTCGGGATGAGTAGGGGCTGTGGAAACGCCTTCTAGGTCGCGATTGAAATTTCGGAAGCCGCTCGAACACTTTGGTTTCGCTACTCTCCAGCGCCGGAGGGAAAACCACCGACAATGGCCGAGGATCTGGATACGAGCAAAATTAAAAACTGGCGATCCATAATTACTCTGATTGTCTTCGTGATAACAAGTAGGTTCGAATTGGGTTTAAACCTCGTTATCGTCCGGGGCTAATCCTCGTCGTGTGTCGCATAGATATTATCGTGCTTTTCCCGTTCAACATCCCGATTTACGTCCCACGATGGTTCTACAATGCGACACTAGATACCCTGAGTGCTTTGCGCATCATACCTTCTCGCAAACTTTCTCCGCATCATCAAGATGAGCGAAGCGTCTGGGTGCGACTCAACGTACCCCTCAACTTCGTCACTGCACCCTTGGCAGCCGATCTCTTCTTATTGGCTATCTTGGCTATCGGGCGGAAGGAAGTACATGATGGAACGATCGGTGCCGACAACATTTCTCCGATTGATATCATGGCTTTCTTCCTGACACTTGCCTACATTGCGATCTCGATCGATGCCTCTGGTCTTATTCGGTGGCTCGCATTCAAGGTACTCCAAAGAGGAGGTGGGGTAGGCCACCGGCTATTTTTCTACCTCTATGCGTTTTTCTTCGGACTGGGCAGTTTTATCGGCAATGACCCTATTATTCTCTCCGGTACAGCATTCCTTGCCTACATGACTCGAGTGTCCAGCAATATCGTGCACCCGAGAGCCTGGATCCACAGTCAGTTTGCCGTGGCCAATATCGCATCGGCAGTCTTGGTCTCCTCCAATCCGACGAATTTGGTGCTTGCTGGCGCTTTTGAGATCAAGTTCATCGTATACACCGCCAACATGATCGTTCCAGTGGTAGCCACCGCTATCGTCATCTTCCCTTTTCTGTTATACATCATCTTTGCTGATGAGTCTCTCATCCCCTACTCCATTCAAATGCACGAGCTCTCCGAGGAAGCCAAAGCCAGGAAGCCCGTCAACCCCAATATTCCCCACGCCAGGGGCAACGCCGAAGAAGAGGAAGAGATGAATAACGAAAATGGCAAATTGCTTTCTCTCGAAGAAATCATGAATCCATTTTTGGACAAGGGAGGCGCTGCATTCGGCGCGGTGATTATGGCTGCGACACTCATCACTCTTCTTGCAATCAACGCCGCAAGCCAGTCTGGCCAGGAGCATCCCGTATTCTGGGTTACCTTGCCTGGTGCCTTCGTGATGTTCTGCTGGGACCTTGCATCTGGTTGGATCCATAGGCATGAGACGCGGGAAATTGCCGCTAAGGGACGTCGAGAAGTGGAAACCGCGAGGGCGGAGAGGGATCGACAAGAGTCACTTCGAAATTTGCAAGAGCAAGCTGATGATACTAGTGTTCGTCATGGGCGATCGGGCACTCGGGAGATTTCATCACAAAGCCCCTCTCGAGGCTCCGTGGACGGTGGTAGGGTCTCTCACGATGACCCGGAAAGTAGCAGCAGCGGCACACGAGCTTTGCCTGATGGCTATGAGAAGCATCTCTCAGAGCTGGAATACTCGAGAGATGAGACTTTCTCAAAGAGGCCGGTGTCAGTTAGGGTAATGGATGATTCGCATAAGCTCACTCTCAGTGCTTCGCCCGAGCCTCTGGAAGTGACCCCCACTTTTGCAGTAGACGAGGAGAAGAGGGACAACATGGACCTAGGAGAGACAAATTCACACCGAACTCTGGTGTCTCTGACGAAAGATCTCCACCGGTGGCTGCAGGAGACTTTCCCAACCGTCACCGTGGTGGTCTCGCACATGCCATTTCCGCTTGTTCCGTTCGCCCTATCCATGTTCGTCCTCGTCCAGGCACTCGTCACAAAGGGATGGGTGCCTGTGTTTGCGTATGGATGGGATCACTGGGTCGACAAAACAGGAACGGTAGGGGCAATCGGCGGAATGGGCTTTCTGTCCGTGATTCTTTGCAACGTAAGCACTACTGTGATGACATTTTCATCAACATGTTTTGGGCTAACAGCTGTTTTCCCGACTATCAGTTTGCCGGAACAAACATCGGCACGACGATTCTCCTCTCCCGCGTCATTCAAGCGTGGCAACAGATTCATATCAACAACGGGATTCCGATTAGCGATCGCACATTCTGGGCTTCTGTGTATAGTATGGCCATTGGTGTTAATTACGGCGCGTTCAGCACCGCTTTCAGCGCATCGCTAGCTGGTCTTTTGTGGCGGGATATCTTAGGAAGAAAGCATATTCGCGTTGGGAGTATCGAGTTTGCCCGAGTCAATCTCCCTATCATTGCCATCGCCATGGCTGTTGGATGCACAGTCCTCGTCGGCCAGATCTACATTACGCGAAAACCGACTCCTTATGACGCATGATTGCCCTTTGGCAATCAATTGGTACGAGCGACACTCAAAAAGAAAAGGCACCGAAACGACTAATCAACATGAAGATATGATATATGATTTTCTTGTTCTCTCATTTTTTGAGACCTATTTGTTCTATCCCTGATTAGATTAATCTCCATGCTCATCAATACTTCGCACTCTGAGATACACACCCTACTATACACTGGCCGGATCTTCCGGACCAAACTGGGCCTCCCAGTATTTTTTCACACCGCTGCAAACGCCAGTGCTGTTCTTCCAACTTTCAAACCGCGTTTCCAGCTCACATCCAGTCCAAAGTATGTCTGCCCAGAACTGTTTCTCGACGTCACGACCAAAAGCATTGATGGTATCTTCCGGGATGGTCCAAGCCCGTGTATATGACCAGTCATCGTTGAAAGCAGGCTTCACAGCGTGTTCCTTGGAGAAAACGGTGGCTGGATTGAACTTGGGGAAATTCGCGTGAATGAAGAACGGATGTGGAGCCAACGCCTTTGACCCATTCACCCTCCATTCACCCTTCTGGACTAGCTTGTAATCCTCGATGGGATTAAATTGGACCATTGCTGATCCAGCAAGCCCGCCTTCTGTTCGATGTCCCATAGCACAAATAGGCTCGCTGACTTGGTAGAACGGTTCACCTAGCGCAGCAGCAGCAGTGATGAAAGTTTCCTTGTCGCCCTCGCCCGCTGCGCCCTGCGAAAGAAGACGGTAATAGTGTGTAGGTCCCCAGAAATTATAGTAGGTGCACAACAGGAGTGTCTTGAAATGAGTCTTCTTGGAAATCAGGAGTTCCCCAGATTCTGTTGACTGTCGTGAACTCATCGATACCACCTCCTGAGAAGAAATCTCGTAATAAAAAGGAGACACGGATGAAGCCCAGAAGTCCGGCCAAGTGACCATCTTGGTACTCTTGAAAGGCTCATTCTCGAAGAGGGACTCGGGTTTAGTGATCGGGAAGGCGTCGGCATCGAGGAACAATATCTCCTCGAATGAAGAGAACAGCATCGCGAACGGCTTCAACTGATACTTTTCAATCTTGACCGATCCTGGGACAGCGTTGATGATGTCCGTCATGACAATGCATTTGGCATTTAATGAAGGCAGGACTTCATCGCATATATTTTCTTCGTACTCATCGTGCGTAGCCAGGAAGACCTCCACGGGAAGTTCTGAGCCCGTGCGACGTAACATGCGGAGCGAAACCACCAGAACTGGTAGGTAGGAGCCTCCTGCAGTTGTCACCAAGCCCTTGGTTTCGGATTCATAAGATAAATGAGGTGCGTCCGTGCTGATTGCTTTCACAAAGTCGCTGTGAGCATTCTTCATTTTCAGCACCTCTTTAGGAGACATCTTCAAGAGCTCCGGCCGGGTGATTGGGTCGGATGGCTTGAAACCACTTGCCGGAGCCATTCCAAGGCGTCGTGGAGGCTTGCATTGCGGCTCATGTGCCAACAGTAGAGGCTGAAACTCGCGCCAGAAATCGATATGCTCGTTGATACGGTGGGAGTACGTCACTTGTACGTCTTTGACTGGAGATGCTCTCCGATGAAGCCCAGCCCTGGTTGCCAAGTACCAGATGGAGAGAGCAGCGAGAGAGAGCGCAAGGAGGAGACGACCTCGGCGCGTCACTCGTGTGAAGCTCATCCTATTAATTTCAAAACATGGACAAAGGAATCTGGATCTGAAGAAGAGACAAAAACAAGGTGGATAGAGATAGGGAGTGTGTTGTGGAGACAGAAGAGTCCCAGTCACACTAAGTAGAAGAATTTACAAGGGATCCTTACAGCTACAATATGAACGGATGCATTTAGACTACATTTGTTTTCGCATTTGTTCTTGGTTCAGATCAATTCTAGTGGTTGGTTTCTGAAGGACGCGCCAATCATCCGGAAGCGGCCCGCTACGCCTTCGCTCCTTTGGGTCCCGCCGACCGCGAGATTATCCAGCAAAGTGCGTTCCAAAAACACGCAAATTTTGATCTCTGATCACGAAAAAGAGTCCTATGGAAAGAAAATATTTCAAGACGAAATCGCGATCGCGTTGATCAACTTTTTGTCGTCATCTCTTTCTTCAAAACCTACTTTAGTACAGGCTCTCTCAACGCATCACTGGGCTATCGACCGGATGCGGAAGGCAAACAGGGTGAGTCCAAACCCAGAGCATCAACTAGCTTAATCGAATCAATCAACGCATGTTACGAATAGTAAGTTTCTTCGTGTTTCCCATCTCTTGAAAATCAGTCACCATCTCATCATTCACAGTATCTTTATCACTGGCTCCAGTCGTTCCAGCAGGCCTGCGCTAGTTCGAGGCTCGCAGCAAGCGAGATTGGCTTACAGTTAATCTATTCATCAGGAGTCAAAGAGTAAGAAAGCTACCAGTCAAATGATACTTCAAACTAACACTTATCAGGTAATGCCCTCGGGCTTTTGAGATGGCTTTCAAGGCACTAACACGGCCTTTATTGGCTGTGACTATCATTCTCGGTTGCGTGGTGAGTCTCTTTTCAGTATGCAGATACATCTAGCTGACCATGGCTGCGCAGCTTGTTTGGAATCTATTTACTCTTCAGTGGCCAGCCTGGCGCCCGTCATCGAACTTTTACGACAAAGTGACTAGTGGCGTCGGAAGCCTCTATGCGGGGGCTTCACCAAGTGGAGGCTACGACAAAACCGCCACTTCGGCTGATGATGCAGTTCATTCATCAGGCTCTCACTCAAAGTCAAACAAGAAGATTGTCATGGTGACAGGTAGCACTGGCAACAATCGAATGTTGGGCATGCCACATATTAAAGAGATGGTATACGAGAATCGCATGACATATGCTGAGAAGCACGGACTGGAATTCATGTGGGCGAACATGACCAGCTATAACCTACCCAATGGTGCACCAATCTACTGGAACAAGATCCCCATCCTGAAAGATGCCTTCGCTCGTTTCCCCGATGCTGAGTGGGTCTGGTGGATGGATCTCGATGTTATCATCATGAACATGTCGCTCAGTATTCATGATCACGTTCTATCGCCAGATGGCATGGCTCGCAACATCCTTCTGGATCACCCAATGACTGGAGCTGGGGGTGGTGAGACTGGCTACCGCAGCCCTGCAGCGTACCACCCTGACAACATCAATTTTGTCATCTCATTGGACAATTGGGGCATGAACGTGGGGAATTTCCTCATGCGACGAAGCGAATGGAGCGATTGGCTTCTGGACCTATGGATCGAGCCGCTCTATATATCCCAGAATTGGGTGTTTCCAGAAAATGATGGATGGACACACATGTGGCAGTACCATGAGATTATTCAAAATCACACAGCTTGCATGAAACAACAGTCGATGAATTCATACCCGGATTACAATTTCCTTGGGCAACACTGGCAACCGGGAGACCATATTGTTCATTTTGCAGGCTGTGGTGGTGATGCGATTTGTGAGAGTGCGTGGGCCAAGTACTGGAATATGCGAGAGAAAGTTGACGTCCCGCCGTCTGTGAAAAGGAAACTGGACGATGGCACTGCTGAGATTGAGGCATTTCAGAGTAGTGTTTGATCATAATTATTAAAGTTAGCTATCTAAGTGCTTATTGAAGTGGCTGTATGAACGATCTATTGTTAAAAGTATCCCTTTCAAGCATTCGAAATATGCTTCTTTTCGTACAGCAATATGATCCCTAAGTGCAAACACTATTCATTCAAACTATAGAGCGACAGTGAAATTCGAGGCTATCGGTATCCTATCTACGATATTCAATCCAAAAGATGTTCAAATTAATCCATGTACAGCAGGGACTATTGGAATGCTGGCCACAGTTAGGAATGTGGAGTCGTGTTCTCGAGCCGTTGGGAGGTTTCCGCAGAAATGGAGCATTCCTCGGCCTTGCGGCTGACGATATCGAAAACGTCACAGGGAATATCCGAAGCAGCAATCAGCATCAATGGAAGATATGACATCATGTTATTGGTCTCATGTTTTCTTACTGTTCTTAGAAATATCATCTTAGTCTAGATCCGGGCGAAAAATGATTTTCCTTATTCGTATCATACAAATAAGAAGCTATACATAGAAGACCACCTAGAAGAGTGTTTGCGTTCGGAAGTTATATCATCATCTGTCATCTGACCTCCACTCAGTCTTTCACGACCGAGGAAAATGTCTCGATCAATCAACCATCCGCATCTTCAATCTTGAGCGACACGGAGAGATGTCGAGCAACAAACGGGCTGATAACTGGGTAGATGTGAGTATCGCCTCTTCAAAAGTTCACGCAAAAGACCTGGCTGATATAACGTCCTTCCAGGGCCTTCGAGGCATCGCTGCCTTGACCGTCGTAACCTATCATCTATGTTCGTGCTTTGCGAATTGGCTCAACTCACCCGCTATCGAGGAGAAGGGCTTGGTGTCTCTGTTCCAATATCCATTTCTTCGACTCATAGTTGGCGGTCGCATGGCTGTCGCGCTCTTCTTCCTAATCACTGGATACGTGAATTCGTTTAACACGAGGAAACATATCCGTAATGGAGATGCCAGTTTCGCGCTATTGAACTTGTCCAAAAACACCTTTAATAGGACCGGCAGACTTGTTGTTCCAACAAATGTCGCCTTGTTTATGGGATGGGTAGTCTGCCAACTACATGGATATAGACTGGCAGCTTTGACAGACTCATTCTGGATTAGAGTGGGCGCAGTGCCACCAGGGCCTACATTTGGGACTGCAGTGGGCGGCCTGCTTCAAAATCTAACTCTGTTCTGGCATGGTGGCGTGGGGATATACGATCACACATATTGGACTATCCCATTCTTTATGAAAGGGTCAATGCTGGTTTACCTTACACTTTTGGGCACATCTCTCACTCAACCGCGCTATACGAGATTGATCATCGTTTTTCTATATCTATTTGCCTGGTCGGGTGGCCAAGGTGAGTACAGTATCCGCAGTTCAATGATCTTGAACCTATATTTCTAACATTCGGCGATCCAATAGCCCTGATGGAGTTGAATATATATGCGGGAATGCTCTTGGCCGAGCTGAACGCCGAGTACGGCTCACGAGCAACATCTCTCCTGTCAAGGCCCATCTCCGCACTCATGATCCTCTTCGGGTTATTCCTTGCCTCCTTCCCAGAGGAACATGCAGAGTGGATGCCATGGAGTAATGCAGTGAACTCAGTTGCGGGAATCCTGGTTCCTAGCGGCGGCGAAATCAACCGCTATGTGATATCCGTGGGAACCGCATTCATCGCCTTCGGGGCCTTCTTCTCTCGAGATGCCCGCCACATCTTATCTCTACCGGTGATGAATTTCTTGGGACGAATTTCGTTCCCAATTTATTTGATTCACAATACCTTGATTCGCACGATACTCTCTTGGTTAATATATCGAGACTCGGCAATCAGAGAGGGAATGCATCCTGTGGATGAAAAGGATAATCCAAAATACCTAGAGCGAGGGGGTGTGTTCACCTTTATCATCGTTATCCCGATATTCTATGCGATACTGATATATGCGTCCTACCTATGGACTATATACGTGGACCCTCCATGTGCGAAGGCTGTTACTTGGCTCTCAAGGAAGGCCTTCGGAGAGGACGATGGCTTTGGATTGACGAAGGAAGAGATACTGAAGGGCACTTTGAAGACCTAGTCGAAATATACATCCTCTTGTTGATTAGCGTTATCTGTGTTCCATTCTACTATGGATTTATGGAGAATTTTTCCGTGTGAATCTAACTCTCCCTCTTCCGGGGAGTGAAGTGGAGATGTATATAGGTAGTCAATGAATTAAACCTATTGTCCTCCTTGAATCCCTAGATATGCATCATCATAGATGCATGATGATTTTTCAGCTTTTCGCTGCTTCCACTTTATTAGTCCTTGCTTTTGATCATTTCCAAAAGGGGGAAACATACTTGATATGTGTTTTTTCCTGTCTCGCCGTGTGCCCAAGCACTCACTAGTCTGCGAACTAGATCATCCTATAATCGCGACTTCATTAGACTTGAGGATATTCGGTAAAATCCTCTGACTGGAGAGCCTTACCTGATATTGGGTTGATTTTTGAGCAAGAATCTCCTGTGACCATGTTGGTGCGGCAATGGCGATATTGAATGTAAGGGCTAAACCGAGAAAGACGAGTCTCATCCTTGTCTAGAACAAGCCTGCTGCCTGAACGTCCTTATCGGTTTGTTGAGACTCTCTGGTACGAAATAGATCCTGCTCGTCATAATCTCGGAGTTTTGAGACAAATTGACTTATCCCCTAGACGATCTCTCGCCGGATCCGGTGACTGCTTCGTCGTCACGATCTCGCGAAACGCATTTAGGTTATGCCTGAGACGAGGATCATTTCCCCATCCGGGCCCAGAAAGGAAGCTTCACCTCATCAATCCACTGATGAGGCTTCCCTTAGTTCCAATACGAGAATGGACTTCATTCATCAAGTTTCGTAATCGACTGATCAAGATAAGGGTCGTGTCGTCGCTCAGTGGAATTGACGCGACGTGCGAAGTACCGCCCGAATCAACACTACATCGTCTACAACAGCAGTAATGCAGTCGCACGGGAAAAAATAAGAATATAACTTTTTTCATTGACCACTATAGCACACCTGTTTCGTCTCGTTTTCGTGTATTTACGACCTCTATTTTTTGCCCAAAAACTCTTTTGTAGAACTCCAAATCCCGCGCGCACCGGTCGCAATTGCGTGCCTTCCATCGTAAAGAGGAAATATGACCACTGCGCCAAACGCACCGAATTGCCAAATAATGGCCACTGTAGTCCAGCTAGAGAAAAATGACTTTGTGAAGACGTAATCGCGATACAACGGAAGTGGCCAGGCGACAATTGTAACCAGAACAATGACCACAAACATGATACATGCGATTTTAAGCCAACGGTGTAGCTCTTTCAAGGTTTGCTCATCGAAGGGGTGCTGAACGTCATCAAGGTCGTCTGTTGACCTAGAGGGCGATATCCGAGTTTGGGCCGGAGCTTTGTCGCTTCGAGGCTGCTCGATATCACTTTCGCCAGTGAGTGCAGAGTCAGGACCATTGGACACTGCACTGACAGCCGCAGGAACATCCTTGCGACCTCTAGATTTTTCGTCGTCGCTGCTCTCGTTGAGACTACTAACGTCGGAGTCAGCATGAAGCTGAGCTTCGTCTGCTATTTCGATGCGCAGGAACTCGCGCCAATCAAATTTGTAAGGCTTGTAGAGCGACAATACGACGGAGTAGAGGGCAGGTGAAAAGAAGGACGCAATGGCTGCGTATAGCGCCGGGTAAATACTCGAGGTGGTGTTGATATTGATGGCGCCGTACATGGACTGTGCGGTTGCGAGCCAAACAGCAAGTCCAGTGATGAATCCGAGGATTGGAGACAAGATAGCGGCCAAGCGAGTTTGACGAGACCAGAATAAGGTGAGAATCAGTGGGATAATTCCGGGACAAGAAACGATGGGTCGTAAGTAACCGATCCAGGTCATGTTGGCCCCTCCATAGTTTAAAGCAATTGAAATGCCTGTAATGAACACCCCGTGAATAACCACAGTCAGATGGCTCACTCGCACAAGCTGCTTATCGGTCACCTTGGGATTGAGGTAGGTCTTGTAGAGATCATATGACAGAATACTGCTGACCGCAATCATGGACGAGGAGATAGTGCTCGTAAGGGCCATGAAAAGTAGGAAGAAGAATCCAATGATAGCCTTGTCTCCAAGGAGAGCCTTGAGAGTGTATGGCATCACCATACCCATACTGACTTCTGTAGAAGTGAGTAGGCCGGGGTATGTTGGAAAGATGGGCGTGTTGTGGATCGCGCGAGCCGTCAAGCCAATGACGGTTCCAAGTCCCCATGGGATTCCAAAGACTGCGATCGCAGCGATATTATAGCCCGGTACAGTAGCCCGGACCTCTGTCGCAAAAGACTTCTGCCAGAATGCGGTATCCTGATTTTCCCAGTGTCAGTAGGCAATCCGGGTTGATGCTTGAGCTCAACTTACCATTACAACCAGCGCCAAGTTTCCAAACTTCAAGATCAAGCTCCAGATGATTGCTCCCTTTGACTTGAATGTAAGGAGTGATCCCTCATAGTTTCCTGAGACATAATTATCACTTGCGGTAGCCACAACCTTGTCATATAAGCCACCCAGGCCACCGACCGCAGAATTGGTCAAGACGGCAATCGTGAAGTAGATGATGAGAATCAGTGCAATGGCTGTGTGAAGGAAGTCGGTGAGGAAGGTGGCCTTCAAGCCTCCCACTGCGGTATAGAGTACCACTACATCTGGTTAGCAGCTGAACTATAAAATCAGTGTTTATTTTAGGTCGTACCTCCAAGCGGGATAAGAATGGTAGCAGCAACAAAATGCATCCCAGAGACACCGTAAATCAGCTGTGATCCCGTCATAATCATCGCGGCGCATCCGAAAACATTGTTGACAAGATTGAGCACAATGAAAACAAGATGGCCAATCTTTCCATATCTCATACGGACGACCTCCAGAGAGGTATGCGCATATGGGACCCGAATTTTTGCCATGACACCCAGTGCTGCCATCAATGCAATCTGAAAACAGAGACCAGAGCCCCACCACTATTTTTCAATTAGCCTCAACAATTATGTTGGTACTCATCGCGACGCACGTACCAGAGGAATAGCTAGACCATAACGATAGCACATTGCCGCAGCCAATACTGTCTCGTTGATCCACATCCATGATGAGAACACAGCAGAAGCTGTTAAACCAGTACCCACTGATCGATTAGCTACCATGAACATCTCGGACTTGCCAGAATCCTCAGATAGATAGACTTTCTGAACCTTCACGGCAATCAGAATCACACCGCAGAATACCACACTAAGACCGATAAGGAGGCCATAGGCTGATCCCTGAGAGATCAAGGCCAATTTGGCCGTGTCAATGGTATTGGTCGAGGCTGTGGACATCCTGAATGAATCACAGACCAGGCTGCTCTGCGGGCAAAATTGATTGTCAGTCGCAAGCCCATCATATCGTAAACTCTTATATATCGTTAAGGGTCTAGTCCAAATCCCGTGGCGGAACCGTGCAGCCAAGCTGCTAGACAGATCGCCATATGTTGGTCTGTCACGTCGTACATAATTCCAATTGCGTTATACCGAATGATGGAAAGTAGTTATAAGACTTGCCGGTCTAGCCACGAGGCAGTTAGACTTAGAAAAAAGAAGTGGAACATGACTCGAGTTACCAATAATATGCGAGCGTGGGGGGAAATTCTGTCAAGATGGCGTGCAATCACGACGCGATGGCGAGAATCGGATGTCGAATCAGGGACCAACTAAAAGCCACATATCTACCCCACAGCTGTGTGGACAAGCATATCTTGTCGGCCGACAGAATTAAATAGGCCGATTCGACATTATAATCAGGAATAACGATTTGAGACCGATGGCATACAAAATGTCTGTCGAGACAACCTTGGCCACGGTTGAAGCGCAGTGTTATACCCGCAATGCCCCGAGTTCGACGCAGGGACCTAATAGCCTGGAGAACGAGTCATTTTCTTGCGATTATCCACATCGGAAATATATCGACACAATATGGTTGACAACTCTGAAACAGCCAAAAATGGGGAACAGCTTCCTGGAACCAAGAAACAGTTCATTCTGAATGCCTTTGTTATGAATACTCCTGGTCATCTGGCACCCGGGCTCTGGAAGCACCCCAGAAACAAGACCGATCAGTACAAGAAACTCTCTTTCTGGACAGACCTCGCTCAGTTACTAGATAAGGCGAATTTCCATGCGATGTTCATAGCAGATACCCTAGGACCTTACGATGTGTACAAAGGGCCTGCCAATGTGGTTCCTGCGCTGGCTTCGGGTGCGCAGTTTCCAGTGAACGATCCATTGTATCTCGTTCCGGCAATGGCAGCAGTGACAAAAAATCTTATATTTGGGGTAACTGCCAGCTTGACTTATGAGAAGCCCTATGCACTCGCTCGACGACTCTCCACCGTTGACCATCTCAGCGAAGGCCGCGTCGCATGGAACATTGTCACATCTTACCTGGATAGTGCTGCACGAAACCATGGATTGAAAGACCAAATCCCCCATGATGAGCGATATGCAATTGCTCATGAGTATATGGAAGTGGTTTACAAGCTTTGGGAAGGAAGCTTTAGAGACGATGCCGTGTTGGCTGACCGCGAACTCGGTACATACATCGCAAGTGACGCTGTCCTCCCGATAAATCACAAGGGTAAATATTTCGAGGTTCCTGGCCCTCACTTCTGCGAGCCATCACCTCAACGAACGCCATTTTTGTTCCAAGCTGGAGTCTCCGAGGCGGGCAATGGGTTTGGAGGCAAGCATGGAGAGGCGATCTTCATCGGTGGCCAGACCCCAGAGGCTACTCGTGCGACCGTGGAGAATATCCGGAAAATCGCCCAGCAGGAAGGCCGTGATCCAAATCACTTGAAAGTCATTGTAGGAATCAACGTGATTGTCGCAGCAACAGATGCGGAAGCTGAAGCGACACGGGAGGAGTACTTGCAGTACGCCGATGCTGAGGGTGCACTGGCACTGTTCGGTGGATGGACTGGTATCGATTTGTCGAGTTATTCGGACGACGAAGATTTCCGCGTTGTGGAATCGCCTCGGGTTCAATCCATCGTGCGCAGATTCTCTGCGACTGTCCCTGGCACAGATAACCTGCCTTGGACGAAGAAACGCATCGTGGAGTACATTAGCGTTGGCGGGCTCCAGGCCAAGGTGATTGGTAGTCCCACGACAGTCGCCGACGAACTAGAGCGATGGGTTGAAGTATCTGGTGTCGATGGGTTTAATCTAGCCCATATTGCGAACCCAGGAACTTTCGAAGACATCATCGAGTTCCTGCTCCCTGAACTGCGGCGACGGGGTCGCTTCCGGTCCAAGGTGGAGCACGAGGGAGCGACTGCGCGAGAACTGTTTATCGGATCCAAACGATTGCCAGAGGATCATCCAGGGAGCAGATATAAGTGGAGAGCAGGAGAAGCTGTTCCCGAATATCTGCGGAGAGGTGGGTTGTACGATGGGAATGACACGCCTTCGTAGTAGATTTCTCCATGTCTAGAGGTTTAGCAGCAAAGACATGACCACATCAATAACCGAGTGGGAATCGCATTGTTATCACTTCCTTCCAGTTGGAATCAGCAACCGGGCCCACCGGTAACCTCGTGGTCTAACCTGAGGTTGCTGCATCTGCCTTTTACGGTGGGCGGCTGGCTGGCTGCGACGTTGCTGCTAAGCTTCAGTGGAGCACAAGCGGACACTGGTCCAGCGCCCCCGTGGGATTATCTTTTTTTGAGGTAATATTCCTAAATTTTATTATATCAAGGTAACCATTGAGTCTAGTAGAATCTCATTATATTTTATTTTAAGTCTCATAGATGTTTTAGAAAGGGGGGTCAGCAGTGATAGTATGTGTTCCCTGTTGGGTGCGGTATCGATAAGAGCTTTTGAGCATTGTGAGATGAGGACGGAGCATCGTGGTGGAGTATATAGGGAATGAGAGGTCCTAAGCTTATTACATGGAGATGGCAAATCTTTGAAACGATTGCTCACAGTAAACCGAGGGCCATTCCGTTCTATGATATTGAGCAATTCTTCACACATCCCGATAACATCAGATATTGATTGTAGCTATCCCATGTTTCTTGCGGCCGAAATTCGCGATCAGATTGTCTGCAAAGGTAAAAAACCCCGTTCGTATTCTTGATTGATGGGTTACTGCGTCACATCTCTTGCTGCAGTCCGCTGATGCAACCTGCCCAGCCATGACTGTGCAGTCCATCTCCGTATCCTTTTTCCATACACTATGAAGACAATGACCATCAAATTGTTCACCAGGAGAACTCCTCCAAAGATACCCGAAATCACTACCGCATACCCTTTGCTCAAGATCCAGTCCAAAAGATAAGAACCCATGCCAAACGAGATTGCCTGTTTCCCCAGACCCATGGCGATCAGCATTTCCGAGGTGTTTGCATAGTAGGAGTCGACGGCATAGGCTAATGTGAAGGTAAAGTAAAAGTACGAAGCAAATTGGTCCATAGCCACACCAGCGAAGAATCCCATCCAATGAAGGTTGCGTTGAGCAGTAAAGCCGTACACAATTAAACCGGCCGGAGCAAGAAGAAGGGCTGGGAAGAGCGCTGGGAGACGCATCTCAGACTCGCGGATTCCATTGTTCCGCTTCGTACGGTATGCGGCCAGTCGATCAGAGGTGGAAGAGAACGGAAGGGCAAGCAAGAAGCCGACAAAGCTGGCGATGGCAATGAGACCGGAATTTGTCTATGTCAGATTAGTTTTGCATGACTTTTAGTTATGGCGAAATGTATTTACCTCGCTCCAATTGTAAGGTGGCTCCGTGATCTTGAGAGGAAACGTGTAGTTGAATGCCAGTGCACCCAAACCAATGTAAAGTCCTGGATAAGGAATATTAGCAAAGGCTGTCTCTTTCCTTATCTTCAGTATCTCATACCGTAGCTTGCAATCACCCAGAACACAGCTGGCACTAGGAAGTAAGTGAACGAGCGGAGAATTGTCATGAAAAACTCGGACTCCGGATCAATGGTACCCCAGGGTTTAAGCGTTGTCCAAAAGCTCTTTCGCGGAGGCACAGATACAGACAACACATTCTCCACCTGAATATTGTTCTCCATTTTTTCGTCGGCGTCCTGTGCTGTTGGAAAATCATTCGAAGAATTTGGCGTTGGAGATTGCTCTTTGCGGTGATAGGTAGACTCCTCGAGAAAGAAGAAAGCCATAACCAACAGGGCACCCGCAAAGGCTGCTTCCACGTAGAAGAAGAGTCGCCACGAATAGCCCCCCGCAAGCATGTAGCCAGCATAGAGAGGACCCGTTGACCCGAGGCAAAGACAAACTGTCTCTCATTCAGCCCCTGTGTTCTTGTGATATCAACCGGAATACTCACTGGTGTAGTATCCAATTTTCTTTCCTCGTTCATGAAGGAAGAAAATGTCATTCACGAGCTGCACGGGCAAGCTCTCGCAAACACCACTGTTGTAAGTCAGCCAATAGATCTGATGACGAACGAATTGGGAACTAACCTGCCAAATCCATGAAAAACTCGAGCAACCATCAATCCTGTGTAGCTGGTTGATCGGGAAGCGCCAATCAATCCGGCCAAGAACTACCAGATCATTAGCATGCTAAAGGGAAGTTGGCGGTGCTTATACACACTGTCAGCATGGACAACAAGGCAACCGGGCGCCGACCAATCTTTAGATATAGAGGCACGAGGATCAATGATCCTGTAGAGAGCATGTCAAAAATCTGTAAGATCAACCTTAGTGTCCTGGGAAGACAGCCTACCAAAGCCAAATGAAAGGTTGGGGTAAGATATCAGTCCAGAGGCTTCTGCTTGGGATATCCCAAATTCCTTGCTATAGAGTCCAATGTAGACCGATGGGCCGGTAAGGGAGCTATTTCCGAGGAACGAGTAGATGGCAACAATGACTAGGATGATATTCTTCTTCCAGGTTGGCCACTATTGAGAGGCATAGGCATCAGTATATATTAAATGTCGAGTTTTAAGTCAAGCCATACTTACCTGCAGTGGATCATTCGGGTCCTCGGCTGGGACAGGATATAAGGCTTGTCCATATGCCGTATCGTCACCCTCGGCAGCACTAAGATCAACGGTGCCAGGAATCTCACCCTCGTGGGCATGGCTGGATTGACGGGATTAGATGGACTCGACACGATTTTTGTAATTTTACAAGGTACCTGTGCACAAGATGGGGCCTTTTCGCCGATGTTACCTCCTTCGCCATGATGAATTGCAAAGCTATCGCTTAGTTTGAAGAAATCACAATTTCCGCAAGGCATTGACTTGCCAGGATTTCAAGAATATTGGGCGAAATAACCCCTTTAAGGGTTCTCCTCGCTTTGCAGCCCTCTCGTCTGCCCAGAGATGGGGCAGTGATCGACCATGTTCACTGTTTTCCCCGCATTGCCTCCACATTTCCCCGGATTCTGTCCAGTGTCATGGCTGCCATGTGTAGCTGTCGGTCCTTGCTCAGGTTGATGGGGCAGGCCCCACACGATCAAACTGGGGCTATTTTTCTGCAGAATGTGAAAACGCAAGAAGAAATGGGGCTAGATCATGGTTCGAGTGGGCTGGCTCCCAATCGGGGAACCATCGATGTAGCACGTCCGCAAGGGACCTTTAATAGGGTGGGTGGGTAGATAGGTAACCTTCTCTTATTAAGAATATTATAACGAACCCTTTTGTGAGCAAGGGGCAAACAGAGAAGTGACAATAGCAAACACGCAAGATCCCCGATTTAAGTGAACACATCCGTAGCGTACCGCGCTTTCGTCCTCAACTGATCAAAGAATCGCTCTGCAGCAGTATCCTCATCCAAGTCAGCATCTGGACCCAATTCCTGACCAGTCTCCTTTGCCTGGCGAATCTTCTCGCGGCGACGCTCCAGATACATAGTCTTGGAAACGTCCCGTACCGCGTTGCCCACGCCAGTGCTGCCACAGACATAGATATTTGCTCCCGTCTCAAATAGATCAACTAGCTCCTCGCGGTCCTCGAGCATGAGGTCTTGGACATGTTTCCCCTCAGTTCCATCAGCTGGACGGCTGAATGCCCAGCGAACATCAACAGCGCCCTGTGCCGCCCACTCGGCCAGCTCGTCAGAATGGATATCATCCTTACCCTCCGTGCGACAGCCGATATACAGCACAGCCTTGGCGGGTTTGTCGCTTTCAGGGACACTAGCGGCGTCAATGGAGCTGCGCCGTCCACGAATTCTTTCCGCGCGATCCATCACAAAGCCACGGAAGGGAGCAAGTCCGCTACCGGCGCAAGCCATGATCATTGGCGTTTGGAGATCGACTGGGGGCTTGAATCCAGAATTTGAAGGACGGACGGAGATATGAGCCCGCTCACCCGGTTGCAGCTCGGAAAGGTAGTTCGAGGCAACGCCGAGGTACTCTTCGGGGCCATCGCTACCTGGCTCGGATATTCCCGAAAGTGCAGGTGCGTTCAGGACAGAGAAGGTGATTGAACATTCAGAGGGGTCGGACAAGGGTGATGAAGAGATGGAGTACTGGCGAACCCGCATTGGTGGGAGCATCGCTAGGAAATCGCCAATCGATAGCTTAATCGATGGGTAACGCATCAGAATATCCAGAGGACTGATGCGTTTCTGCACAATCTCGGCCGTGAATCGACTGGGACTTGAAGCGATGTATTGCAGCTCCGCCTGAACCTCGGCGTCTTCGATAGCTGCATCGGCCAAGACTTTCACGTCGCGCTTAGATGCTGGCTGGGAAAGTTCGACGTATGTTGACAGGAGCTCAAAGGCTGAGATTGGCGTGTCCAGGGGGATCGATGGCGGAGCCGAACCAGACGAGGACTTCTGAACACGAAGAATGGCATCCCAGGGCAGATCGAAGCGACGAATCGCCCGGCGAACGACAGGACTTGGGTTCACAGGCAGAACTGCGAGATAATCGCCGCATTGATAGCTCATGTCTGAGGGCAACTTGAATCGAAGAAGTCGCTTTGTAGGCACTCCAGGCTTAGTCAAGAGGTTGTTCTCTACCACAAATCCCTCTTCCAGCTGGAGGCCCAGAGTGGATGCACGGACACCTGAGCTCACTTCGACTTGCAGCGAGGACTTGGACTTGATGGTCTGTTCAGAGCCACCACCAAATTTGGTCACGATAGCCGGCCAGAATGCTGTCTCGCCCCAGCCATCGAAGTCGGTGAACATGTCTGAATTGGCCGCATCTGCCAGGCCGATGTCACAGAGACGGTTTCCGCCATTCTCACGAACAAGCTCGTTCACTGCCTTGGGAATACGGTGGAAGGTGGAAGCCCAGTCGTCTAAACGAGGTTAAAGGAGGTTAGCTGAGATTCAAAGCGTGAATCGGTTGAACCTGGAATACTCACGGTGGCCACATCCAAATACTGCATAATTGACACCCGTCAGGCTATCGCCCTTGAGCTCACTAAGCCACTCAAAGAAATGGGCCGCATTGTCTGGTGGTTGGCCCTCATACGATGCGCTGATGAAAACGACTGGATCCTCTTTTGGAATGTTTTGCAATGCCGAGTCCAGCGAGCTGGTCTGCGCAGCAAATCCATAACCAACGGCATCATCCGCCAATCTGCGCGCAAACGCCTCACAAGTACCGGTATTACTTCCGTAGAAGATGTGCATTGGCTTCATTTTGCCATTGGTAGGCGCTGCCTTGGATTTTCTCTCCCGTTCCGCAACACCCGAATCTTTGTGCACACCGGCAGAATCACTCAGGGACAAGCCGAGCTTAGTAGGGTCAAGGCCCTCGCGAAGGGATGCTCTGATCTGAAAGTCCTTTGGCTTAATGGTGAGTGTTTGCTTGATACGGAGATCGTAACTGGGGTTGTCCATCTGGAAATTGAAGTTTTGGAGCAACATTGCAACGACAAGGAGTGCCTCCTGCCAGGCGAATGGACGGCCAATACATCCACGCATGCCGTTGCCAAATGGCTTCCATGCGTTCTTTGGTAGCTTCTCAAAGTGCTCGTCCAGCATTCTCTCCGGGCGGAACTCGTCGGCGTCGGGACCGTATACCTTCGGATCGCGTTGCATCTTACCCAGCAAAAGGACAATAGGCTCATCCTTGTGCAAGACGTACTTGCCACCGCCGAGGGTGACGGGTTCTTCCTTATTCTTCTCGGGGTGGGCATGAACTGCAATCATAGGGGCTGTTGGCTTGAGGCGTAGTGTCTCGCGCATCACGGCTGTGATGTAGGGCAATTTGGACATGTCTTCCACTGTAATCTTGCGTCTGCCAATGACACGGTCGACCTCCTCTTGGGCCTTCTTGTATGCATGAGGGGTCTTGAGCAGGTAGTAAAAGAGGAATGAAAGCATGCCAGAGGTCGTCTCATGACCTATTTCATCGTCAGTATAAAGGTGTCCACCATTGTTTCAGAGATGGCCATACCAGCAATCAGGAACGTAATCATGTTGTCGACAATCGATTCGTCCGTCATACCCTTGCCCGTCTGGGAGTCACGGCCCAGAATCAACGCATTAAGCAGATCCTTCTTGTCTTCGGGGTTGTTCTTTCGCGCGTCGACTAATTCCTGGGACAAATTCCGCAGATAAGCCACATCACTCCAGTACTTGCTGTTCTCACTAGTTGGCAAGTTGTTCAAAAGAGCCGGTCGACGAGCCCGGTTAGCTGAGCCTCCAAGCAAACCCACCATCGCCTCAACGAAGGGATGCATGTCGTCATGATAGAAAGAGTTGAAGCGGGTACCCATGGAACACAAAGCAATGGTGTCCAGCGTTAGGCGTGTAAAGTCATCAGTTACTGTGATTGGCGTCTTCGGGCCTTGTCGTGCCCACTTCATCGCTAATTGAGTCGCAATATCGTACATGTCTAGTGCGCATTAGTGTGAAGTCCGTCATACAGAAGTATCCCCACTTTATTCTTACCATCGAACATGCCGCGAATCATCAACGGGCCAAATGCAGGGACGAGGATGCGATGCGCGATCGCCCAATTTTCCTCGCCGGGGTAGTTGGCCGTGAAAAGACCATCGTGCGTGCCATTGCGAATCTCCTTCAGACCTTGCGTGACGATCTTGCCGAATCGCTCTTCATTGCAAACCTCGTCGACCAGCTCATGCGAGCTGATGAAGACGCGGGGGCTGCCAAGGGTGGTGAGGCGAAAGATCTCGCCTGGCAGATAGATAGTTAGGGGGTGGATGATTATGTGCTTGCCAGTGGCATTGTGAAACTCACCATAATTATCAGCTAGCAAGTCAATGCTGTTCAACGGGACTTCGGGTTCGATGTCATAGATATTTCCTAAAATAGGGACACCCCTGGGCCCCGGAATAGGAATTTCCTTGGTTGCACTCATTGCAGAGGCCTTTGAGGAGGAATATCAGGCCGAATTGCAAAGAGAGAAGAACCTGGGTTTGAATAAGGAAGAATTGAACGAGCGACGATCCAAATGTTAAATGATGTTGATGGCGGGGTTGGGTGTCGTCAACTCCGATCGCTCGTCCAGGCAAGTGATTCGTCGTCGAAGCTGCGGGGAATGTTTGATTTTACGAGCTCAATGGTTGGCTGATGCCTTTGGAGAACTGAGGCTGGATTTGTTCGAATTTACTGAACGACGAGGCACGAAGTTTATGAACTCCTGGTCCCCATCAACTATTTGCCATTGTGTTCATATGTCATAGATCATCGGTCGTTGTGCTCGAATCTCATTCATAATATGACAATGAATTTGCCTCGCAACGGGATGCTCTTACGGAGTACGCGAAACGTTTTTGGTCGATGCCTGGATCCACCCAGGAGCCTCGGCTTGCTGCAGAGCCAATCATCTCACGATCGAGCGATCGGGCGGAGCAATTGCCCAGTCCTTCTGGTAGTAATTGTAAGATTCGCCTGGGCCAAGATTGCCTCTGCCGTGTCTGATCGTGCCCGAGGGGGAAAAGGGGCCTACGGTCGGAGACGGAGAGTGGACACCGATCGGACCGGCCGAAGAAACAGCGCCCGATGATCGATGTGGCTGTTGTGTGCTACTTAATCTCACTAGGGCAAGTCTATCGTGCTTCAAATGTTTTACCTGATGAGGTCATCTTACAAGACAGAGTACTCGCCGAGGCTCCTTGGGGGCTAATTTTAGCAACCCGGGTCTTAAAGATTCGATTTATCGATGTAAGGGAACTTATCCCTTGTTATTGTCTTATGATTACTGAGAAGTGAATGTGGCAGTGCGAGCAGTTAGTAAAACAAAACAAACTCTGACGAGGAAAACCAATGTCTTGGTGGAAATATGTACAGATCAGGCGTGTATGAATGAATGGTGACCTATATAGGACAGTGAGGATGAGTGAGGAAGTTATGGCAACGATGTACAGCGCCCACGGCTTTTGACCGATAATTTGAAGAAGAGTAAGAACCGAAGAATGGATATCAACAGACAAGGACCACCTATAAAACGAGCGCAGGTGGAAAACAGCGACAACACGCTGAGACAAGATGGAAACGGTCATTAGGGTGTTACTCTTCCCGGCAATCGCAGACTCCACGAAGTAAGAAGCACCCAAGACGAGTTGCGGAAACTCATCGCCATATCGGAGAGTTATGATGGGTCTGAGATGACCGGGACAGCACACGCACAGAGAGAGAGAGATGGAGGCGGGTTCGCAGAACCGTTCGTGACGATAGGCAGAACATAAAAGGACGAAGGAAACGCGAGCAAGGAAAAACACACACGGTGTCAGCGTAGCTAGTTGTTAACTTTGCTGTAGCCGCCGTTCTTCCACTCGGTCTGCTTCCAGTTGTTCTGGAAGTCCTGCATCTCGCTTCGCTCATTGGCGTACCGCGAGTCATCCAGAGCATGCTCGAGACGACCCTTCCGGCGCTGACGCCAGCACACAAGTGCCAAGCCGACGATTGCCAGGACACCGGCGCCAGCGGCACCAGCGTAGATGCCGATGTGCGCACCATTGCCAAGGTCTGCCCATTTCTCGGCCAGAGTCTTGGCAGGGGCTTTGTTGAGCTCATCCAAGACGGTCGAGTTTCCGCTGTCAAAAGAAACGTGGTTAGAGGAATTAATCGGTAAGCCAGATAATAAATGCGAGGGCACTCACCTCGTCACCTTGATACTGCTCCAGTCACCAGTCTTGTCGCCGTAGCTATACTCCTTGCCAGAGTGGAAATCCTGGACACGGACACGCTGGACACTCATGGTGAATGGGCCTTTGGTGTAATCTACCAAACCACCGGCCCATTCAATGGTACCCTGGGCCGCACTCTCCTGACCAGCAGGCCAGTTACTGATCTTGACCTGGCAGGGCGTCTGCGGGTAGTTCTTACCCTCCAGAGCGACCGCATCGGTATACAGCAGAGTTCGCACGAGATTGCCATCGATCCACCATTCAAGCTTGTCGGAATCCCACCAAGTTGTGTAGTTGTGCCACTCGGTGTCCGCATTGGCGACATAGTGTGTCCCGCCACGGTCGTAGCTGGTCGTGTTACCCTTTCCGAAGAAATTGGACTGCACCGCACTGGTGTTGTATCCCACCCATTCCCAGTCGATCTCATCCAAGTCATCCGACTCCAAAACCACACTGCTCACGACACCCGCCCCCTTGGCCATCTTGACCCAAGATTCTACCACGCCGAAGAAGATGAAGAAGTTGGATTGCAGAAGGGTGGACTCGTTAGCCTTCGAGATGGTAAATTCAGCAGCGTCGTCGGCATAGGTGATCGATCCAGTACTCATATTCCAAATCGTGGAGTCGAGCGTCGAGTTGAACCACCAAGTGTGTTCAGTTCCGAGGGCCGGGTCCGCGGGACAGGTCTTGTTTAGGGGATTGCAGTCGGTAAAGGTTTGGGCGGCAGCAGAGCCGGCTAGGGCTGCGAGAGCAGCGATGGCCCAGAATCTCGTCATCGTGGAAGAAGAAGCGGTATTCGAATGAGTTAAAAAAGACACCAATATTATAATTCCCCCTAGTACCTTGCTGCTGAAGGGGGCAATTACAACCAGAAAGCGATAATGAATGGACACGAGGGACTATATCAACCCCTCGAGGATATAGATATGAATGAGTGGACGTGCGATTCGAATCACACGCAGGAAAAGGATCGGAAAGGTGGAAGGCCACCAACAGCAGGATTTCAATAGAGATCGAAGGACAGGAGGTTGTGAAAAAGAGGGTGCATCAGAGACAAAGGCAGCAGGAAAAGGGAAACGCCACTCCAGACGAGCAGTGGATGTGCGGCATTATGGACTAGCGTGTCCGGGGGCACGGCGAGTGTATTTTGGCGTATTTTTTGTGGACAGTAAGGGGAAAGCTGCACGCAGATTATGATGATTTCCTCGCATCTAACCAATCGTCGCGAGCTAGGGTGAAGCAGGTCGGACGCTAACCGTCGCTCCCTAAACTGCATCGAGCAAGCAGCTCCCGGCCCCGTGCCTGGCCGTAGACCAGTTCAGGGGTTCGCTAGTGTTCATTGGGCCTAAACGCACCTTCCTTTGGACTTGGGCGGACGCGACCGCCAAGTCTGAACGGGTCTATGGATGTTCATTGGTCAATCGAAGGACCCCAATAAGACTAGGAGGATCCACGGTTGGGTGCAGAGGTGGAGATGAAGTGGGAAGATGGGGATTAAAAGTGGATTGTGCCCTGAAATACCCTGAACAAACAGACCAGGAGATAACTGAACCCTGCGGTGTCCCTTAAAAGCCATAGTGGCATTGGTCATAGATTAGATTCAACATAATTACCCCAAGCTGTCGCTAGTGTCTTACAGATAAGAGGATTCGTTTTGGTCGATCGATTTGGGACATAAAAGGTATTCAGGAGTCCAAACAAAAGATAAGTGGCGAGCCCCGGGATCAAGAGGGGCCAGGCTTGCCCTCCAAGAAAAGGCCAAGGGGCGGGTTAAAGCAAAATACGCGTCAACCAGAATTGACCTGCCAGCTCGAAAAAAATATTGCTTGGACAAACAGGAGGGGTGCGGAGTACACGGAAATTAAATTCGTAGCTATCATGCATATCTTTCGAACGCCTTTCTACGAATAGCAAACCGTTGGTTTATCTGGCAGGACGCCGGAGTTTTTCTATTACCGTACGATAGGCTCCTTCTGCGTGCGATCAACACAGAGTACGCGCAGTAGTACGGAGTACATACATAGAAAAGATCAATGTTCGCGCGGAATCAATGCATACTATTTTGCCCCTTTTAAACAAGTTATCTTGAATTTCTATTTTGAGCCGGTATGGTAGGACAGTTCCCTGCCGAGACCCTTCATCTCCAATTGAAGCGACTTTCCTTTTTTATGGATATTCTCCACTCGGCTCCTAGGCCAATCATCGTGGGTGTTAAACGGGTGTATTACGGAACTTGTGCCTTGTTTGCCCCGCAGGCAGTACAAGGCGCATCCTTCTTTGGTTTCTTGTTGACCTTTGTGGCTCGTCAGACATCTAATAGGTATTCGGTAGATATCTCATGGATGCTTCATGACTTACCTTAGCACCCTTTTTGGGGGGCAGGGGCCGCTTGGCGGGCCTAGCAAGCGTAGCAATTCCAGCAGGCGTGGGAACTGTAGCAACTGTAGCAGGCGTGGGAACTGTAGCAACTGTAGCAGGTGTAGCAACTATAGCTGGCGCAGCAACTATAGCTGGCGCAGCAACTCTAGGTGGCGCGGCAACTGTAGCAGGCGAAGTAGGGTCGCGGTTGTAAAGACTGTTAAAAAACGCCTTCGCAGCATCCTTTTCGGCTCTTTGCAGGCTCCCAGCCCTAAGCTGAGCGGGCTTAAAGCCTTGATCGCCATGGGCGAACTTCACATGCTCACGCAGGCCCACAGTCTTCGTGAGAGGTTTCTGTGTGGTGTCAGATGTGTCAGATATCTACTACTTATCCGGAGGGTATCCACTCACTTTGCCATGCTCACACTCGGGGACCCGGCAAAAGACCTCACCGGTATAGATGATAACTTCGTTATTATGGTTCTGCAAAATTTATTAGATACTTGCTAAGATTCGGATGGATATCTACTCCGTACTCACTTTTTCGTATGCTGGAAGGTCCAACACACCGGACTCCCCATCTTTAATGTAGCGGTCAAACGCCGCGCAGTTCCCGAGGAACGCTGGTCGATTGACCTCAAAAGGCATGGTCTAGATATCTGGAAGATACCTGAAAATATCACGTGACTTAAAGGGATTGGTGCCTACCACGCGGTAAAGGTCGAGCGAAAAATAAAGGTCGAAGCCAGCCAGCTCGAGCAGGATCCAATATTCAATAGATATTCGATGGCTGTTGATGAAGCCGTGGGCGTGGGGATGAACCCAACCTTGGCGGGCAGAGGAAGAGAAGGAAACGAGGGTGTAGGTTACGGTTTTTTGAAATGGGGCCGCTTATCTACCTTATTAGGCTTAGCTCCTTGGACCTAACTTTTTGTAATCTCGGGCTGAACTATTTCCTGCCTACCGTTCCCCAGCAGATTAGTGTTTGGATATTTGGATCTCCTTCGTTTAGTCGTCTCTATGGAGCCTGTTCGTCCAATCCTAGCCAGCAATTTGAGCGAACCAACCTAAATCACCGCCACTAACCACACTTATTGGCCCAACGAGAATATATACCGGCGAAGAAGCTTTGCGGCGTCGCGCCGGGCCAAGACCGTTGACGCAGCGTGCAGTTTTATCTTAAACTGCCGAGCCAGCTTCAAAGTCAAATTAGCCCACCGCGTTAATAATCGGTTGCATTATGCAATTTGTTTGGATTTCGTGTAGCTGTTGTACGGTCTAACTTCCTCATCTTAACAACTCTACTCGTGCATCACAGGAGTTATGCCCGGAAATTTCAGGTCCATCCTGCAAAGGGATGTATCCGAGATCGTGGTTTTGGGGCGTCGGGCATTAGACAATCGGATGATAACTACAGAGTCGTAGCCCAGATACAAAATGATTTGGAAAAGAAAATGCCCATTGAATTAGAATATGGTCATCAATGCATAAACATCACTTGTCATCAGGTACTCGTCAGGTAAAGTCGTCTCTCATGCGACGTCCAAGCTTTTCCTCAATCTCCAGATATATCCATAACTAATCCACTTGAACTCGCCCAGATGCCATTCAATATCCATAGATCATTACTCCATTATCATACCCCCACCCTCTTCGTTCAGATTGATGCGCGCCTCATGATAAGTACACCTTGGCTGGCCGCCGTACGTCGTCACGATATCGTCGCGAACTACTGCTCCGCGGCTTCTCCACATAATAGTCCACATGAGAAGGTCGTCTTCTCCGTCTCCTCTCGTCGCCAGCTGCGGTCCGAGTAACAGGAGGCCGGTATCCAACATCCGACCGGTCGTCGCTGCCCCAGGGTAGTTGCAAGAAGCGCCAGAGCCAGATAATCAGCAGCGTGCCGAAGATGGAGCCGATCACGATTCCGGCGATCGAACCGCCGCTCAGAGTACTCGGGCAGCCATTTGAGTCGCGCGGGGCGATATTGCTAGCAGTAATGGGTGCCTGTGATGCACAAAGCGTAAATCAGTATCTAATCGCTGAAAGATCTAGGATTTGGATCGGAGCCGTGGTTCTGAGATTGGGGCCCGCTCAAGCTCCGGTGATTGAGCCATGGAATCAAGCCAGGAACTCACCATTGGATCTAGTAAAACCACTTATGACGGCTTGATGATCTTGAAGGGAGAATTAGAAACAATCCTCTATTCCCGTGCTACAGATCTGGTACACGATGCGCCCGAGATCTGGTTCAAGACAGGAAGTATTGACTCCTTGCGACAATGGTGAAACAATTGAACCGCAGTCACACAAAAGCAGTTGCAAAATAGGCAGGGAAAAGTCGCCTCGAGAACAGGCCCTGGGTCTCACAACTTATAACTTGCAAACATAACCCCTCACGGCACAAAGCGCATATCTAACCACCTTCTTCGGCTGTCCCGCGCTGACGTCAAAGAAACGTCGGTCTTGGCGCCCTAAAAAGCAGTGATCAACCCCTCTCCTGGCAACACAAACTTGGAAAATTAACATCAGGGCACGCGGCTATTGGTTGTCGGGCTGTATCAACGAATTTATTAGACTTTGGCTGTCAGCACTACTTCAATGGCACTCAATGTTGGCTGGTCGACTTGGATGATTCCGGCTGATGGGGCTGGGACTGTCGAGAGCGGGGCGATTGAGAAGACGACTGGACAAGCCTTCATGCAAGAATCATGCAGGCCATACGCCCACAAGGGGCTTTTGCATTTGAGTGGCAGTTGAGTTGTAGTGGATTGAGGCTAAAAATTCGATTGATTCCCATCGTACATCGAGAATTAAAAAAACATACAGAAGGATCCAATTCATCAGTGAGGTCCCAGTCTATCGATTCTACACTGACTGCTCGACACTACCGCTACTCCAGCTGGACATGTCCCGGTGAGGGTGATAATTCTCCAGATTCCGTCGCCTTTGCATATTGTCCAAGTTCAAATTCAATGTGGCCGCCATTAGCCATCACGTTGTCATGCTCGAACCAATTCTCGGTCCGTTGTTTGCCGTTGCTTTTCACACCCTGGACATAAAATCCACCATCCAATCCAGTCGCAGAGATGTGCAGCATCCTGTTTCCACTAACTGTCATATTCAGGTCAGGGAACCATGGGGAAGAAATCAGGTACATGAGTTTTGTGGCTAGGGGAAGGGTTCCAAGCATCTGCCACAATGACCAGGTATTCATCGCACCGGCATCACTGTTTGCCACGGACTCCGTAGGGGGCGTCTTTGAAGCTGTTGAGATAATTAGCAATGTCCACTATCGTGTATGGTATGGATCTGGTAGAATACTATTGGTTAGCAAGGCTGCGAGATCGCTTGACACTCTTGGCCTGCTTGTTTATGTAGTTGTACAAGTACGGTGTTGTAAAGTCGGGCTCATTCCTAACTTCACTATTAGCAAAAGCTCTAAAACAGTGCACTATCTTCAATAATGCTTATCCAATCTTAATAAACGTGGTGATGCCTGCATCATTTACCCCGAGATTTTGGACGGACATATTCGTTTGAATCCATTTAGATCGCATTATCAGTCTGTAGAGTCGACCATAGCTCGTCGGCACTTACCATCAAATCTAAACAAGGTCCAAAAGTCTCTAGGCCACCCGTTCATTTGATAAGTGTTTGGCAATCGTGAGGAATGACTACATATTCTAGAGGCAGGTAGCAGTACTTCCTCTGTCACTTTGAGTTCCATCAAAAACAATATTTGCGCTACCCTAGGGTATTCCTTCATACGTGTATAAGGACCACTCGCAGTCATCACGGTAAAGTAGGTCATAACCACTGCTATTGAGTTTTCCATTGAGAGCTTTGGCGTTAAAAAGCTCGTGAAATTGAGACTCTTCACACTTAAATCCCAGGGACTATAGGAGTCGCGGCGAGCCGTGCTTCATGGAGGTTGAGCGAGTACAATGACACATGGAGCGGTAGGGTTACTGGCGAATGTAAAGGTAATGTAATACTCGAAAGTCTTATAATTATGGTTGGAAGGCGAGAGAACCGAAAGTCGGCTTGGTCGAAGCTTGCTTGGTGATCGATGCAGAGGAATATGGTGAGGCGGGCTCGGCCAAATATGGAGAAAACAGACCGAGCAGAGCGAGCGGTTAAAGTCGCCAGACATTTGGAGAAATCAGATCCAAGATTGGATTCTACGGATGTGAACGACGAGCGACGAATGTGAAAATTGAATAGAAATCCTTTGAAAAATCCAAAGACTCCGGACCCGTGATATCATCAGAAGCAAGAGGCAACCGTATCCAGCCAGAAAACCTATATCCATGGATGCAGAAAAAGTTACAGAACATGCAGATTCACCCCTCTAATCGCTACCGGCCTTCAATATAGTCTCTGTTCTCGATCGTTACACTCTTGGTCATGTGATTGACCTTATACACACCAACGAGACGAGAAGCAAGTTCAAACTGTGAGAGGGTTAGTCAATGCTCAAAAGGATTGCAATTTCCACAGAAAACCTACCATGTTGTTTCTCAAAGAGATAACAATGAACTGTGCGTTCTTGGTCCGCTCCTTAATGTAAGAGGCCACAATTGAGACCTGAGTATCGTTAGTATTATCCTTGGATATATAAAGGCAGGAAGAAGTAACTCACATTACGGAAATCGAGAGCAGCATCAATCTCGTCCATGACATAGAGCGGGGTCGGCTTGTAGTGATGCAGAGCGAACACAAGGGCCAAACTAGAAAGTGTCTTCTCACCACCAGACAGATTGCCAATGTTTTTCCAGCTCTTTTTCGGGGGCATGACTGAGAACAAGATACCCTCTGAGAATGGATCCAAGGAGTCGACCAATTCGAGCTCGGCGTTACCTCCCATGGTGATCATTTGGTACATCTCCTTCAGACGGAGAGAGATGATGCCGAATCCTTCCATGAAGCCGTTCAGGCGGGCTGAGCGCAGGCCGTCAAGTCGAGCTTTAGCGGCATCGCGAGACGAGAGAGCCTCGGCCAAATCTGCAGATCGAGACTCGTGCTCAGCAGCACGACGGCGGTACTCTTCAATGACCGAGAGATCCACGGACGCATTCTGAACCTTCTCCTCTAGAGCGGCGATCACTGCCTTAAGAGACTCCTTGTTCATTGCATCCAGCTCGTCCTTAGTGTATGTTTGGAGCTCCGTGGATTCCTGCTCCTCGCCCAGATCGCTGACATTCTGCAAGGAAAGCCGGTTAAGCTTCTCCTCCCAGTAGCGGCTCCGTTTCTGGTTTTCACCCAGGGCTTTCTGGTTTTCCTCCAACTTGTTGCGCATTTCGATCTCGGTAGCGCGTGTCTCGTTAAGTTCGGCGACCTTCTCGTCAAGCTCCGCCTTGAGAGATTTGAGTTCATCCTTTTTGGCCTCGAGGGCTTCCTGAGCTTCATCGGCCTTTTGCCTCCAGCCAGAAGCATCGCTGGCCTGGTTCTCGACATCCTCCTCGAGCTTCTCCAGATCTTCGGTGATGTGGCCGATCTCCTTCTCGGAGTTATCGCGGGCTTTCGAGTGCTTGGCGATCAACTTCTCGTTCTTGGATTTCTGGACTTCCGCATTGGAGATCTCATCAGCGAGCATGTTGATCTGCTCCTTCAAGCCGTCGACCTTGGCCTTTTGTCCACGGAGACGGACACCGCCAACTTCCATGATCTTGCTCTGCAACTCTTGGATTTCTTCTTCAATGCCACTCTTCTCGCTGTTAAGCTCCTCAATCTCGTCGCTCATGGCCTCAATCTGCTTCTCCAATGTGGCAACCTGAGCTTCGTCGGACTTGGAGGGCTTGTGCGCCGCTTGCAATTCTTTAACCCGTCGCTGAGCGTCTGCGAGACTGCGCTTGGCACTGTCGATCTCAATCATGATCTTCTGGATTTTGGTGTCAACACGAGGGATCTCTTCCGTCTTCTCTCGCATGTTGGCTTCGACATTCCGTTGCTTCTCTTGGAAAATCTGGAACTTCCGCTCCAGCTCCTCGAGATCGGCTTCCAGACGTCCGACTTGCTCCTTGGTGGTGTCTGCGACCTGTTTGGAGGACATGCCACCCCGTGCAACGCGGTTGCCACCACCACTCATCGTACCAGAAACATCGATCAACTGACCATCCAGAGTCACCACTCGCCATCTTCGTGCACCGTAAGCAATGCGATTCGCCTGCTCGAGGTCCTTAGCCACGAGGGTGTTCTGCATTACGCTGTAGAAAGCAGGTGCAAATTTGGGATCCTTTGGCTTGACGAGATCGAAGAGGCGAGGAACACTCTCAGGGGTGTAGATCGTCGCCATGTCACGGCGAGGCAGGCGATCAAGAAGGATGAAGTTGGCACGTCCAAGGTTGTTCTTGCGCAAGTAGTCGATACATTGTTGACCGACCTCTACGGTCTCTACCACCATGTTGTCGAGCGCAGGACACGCGGTAGAAATGGCAACGTCGTACTTTTCGTCGATAGTTCCCAGGTTGCCAAGGCGGCCATGGAAACCGTCGATACGACCAGACTCCTTAAGTCGCATGAGACCAGTCAAGACACTGCCACGGTTCTGCGTGCTCGCCAAGCTGACCCGTGCCTCGTCGGCCTTTTGTCGAGCGCTGGAAACGTGAGCACGAACTTCTGGCTCACGAGCAGCGTACTTTTTCAAGTCGCTCTGTAGTTTCGCAAGCTCAGCCTCCAAAGTCTCCTTTTGGGCCTGTCGTTCCTCAAGGTCGTTTTCCTTGGTCTGAATTGTTTCCTCGATAGTCGCAATCTTGGCTTGAGCCTCCTCCAACAAGACCGCACCGGCGTTGCTTCTCTCGTGCAGGATATCGAGCTCACTCTGAGCAACAGCCATGGCAGACTGCTTCTGGTTAATCTTCTCATTCCAAGGCTCGAGCGACTTCTGCTTCACTGCAATCTGTTCGGAGAGGCCCTGAGTCTTGCCCTTGAGGCTTTCGCGAATCGAGTCCAGCTCTTCCTCTTCAGCCTTCATCTCCTTTTCGAGTTGAGCCGTTTCATTGGTCTTTTTCTCGATATCGTCAGAAAATTTCTCCACTAAGCTTTGACACTCGGACGCGGCAAGGCGGCTGGTCTGCATTGTCTTCTCCAGCTTCTTGTGCTTGCCAAGGAGGAACTTCCTCTTCTCCTCAAACTTCACGTTTTCCTTGTCATACTTAGCCATTTCCTTGACCAAGGCCTGTGACTCCTTCTCCATGCCTTCATATTCACGAGCACCGCGCTTATAGGCCTTTTCGAGCTCCTTGATACCCGACTCGTTGCCCTCGTGCTTCTCAAGCTCCATGTTCAACAGCTCTTGCATCTGGAGAATGGCCTCCTCGGTGACACGCACGTTATCAGCACACTCGTTGATGTAGATTTGATAGAGGGCTGATTGTTTTTCGGAGAGTTCATTCTCATCGCGAATGTATGCCAGAGCTTTGTCCTTCTTGTCCACAAGCGCAGTCTTCTCCTTCTCGACGTGTTGAACACGATTGTTCTTCTCAACACACACGTCGTTCAAGGATTCCAGTTCGGTGGCAGCTTCGTCGATGGGGGTCTTGTACTTGGAAGTTCCAATGATATCTTCCAGGTATTCAAGAAGACCCTCGTCGTGCTCGTTGGCGGCCTTGGCCTTCATTTGCGCAATCGATTCGACTTCACCCTGCAAGATCAGGAACCGCTTGTGGTCGAGATCAATGCCGCGGTCCTTGAGGAAGGTTGTCACCGCGGTGAAGCTGGTTTCCTTCTTGTTCATATAATATTTGCTGCTGTTGTTTTTGAAAGCTCGTCGAGAAATAATCAAATGGGAATCCGGAATGACTTCATGGCCACCTTCGGGAAGGTCGAGAACTTGTTCGAAATGGACTTCCACTTCGCAGAAAGAGAGGTCGGGGTGCTGTGCTGAATTATGAATCAGGGCAGAAATCTTGCCTTGGCGCATCTTGCTAGCACGGAAACCGAAGACGAATAGCAGGGAGTCAATAACATTGGACTTGCCCGAACCGTTGGGACCAACTACGGAAGAGAAAGAGGCATGGAATGGGCCAACAACCTGCCTGCCGGCATAACTCTTGAAGTTTGTCAAGATCAAATTTTGGATGATCATGCGAGGTTTCGGTTCCGCAGGTTCCTCCGCTGCCGCAGGCATTGCCATGTTCCTCGACTTCATCACGATGTCCATTGGCTTCTCGAGGATAGTCGAGTTCGGGTTGATAATCGAGATTTGGGATTTGGGCTCTTCGGATTGTTTCGACGGGGACGAGTTGTTCACGGCGGACTCGGTGATGTCGGACAGAGGTGGCACACTTTCCCGATGTGCGCGCGCTGGAGTGGGCTCTGGCGACGCGGACGGCTCTGGAGTGGGAAGTGAGCCCTTTGTCGACTTGGGAGTGATTAAGCCACGACTCTTGAGGGGTTGAGTCATACTTTGTCTTTTTAATGCCGCCTTGTTCAAAGGCGAAGCAGGATCCGCCTCTGCGGGCTCAATGCTCTTCCGCTTCAATGCCGCCTGGTTTGAGGGAGAGTCGGGGTCGGCCACCACAGAGGCGATACTGACTCCCTCCTCATCATTCTCGTCGTTTTCGTCCGTTTCTTCGGCCTGGGAGTTATCCGACTCCTCTGATGCTGGTGCGATGGATGCTCTGGGCCGTCGTGACTTTTGCGCCGGTTTCACGGTGGCAGGTGTGACGGGTTCTAGGGTCAACCGCTTCCCAGATGCGCGCTTCGTCTTATTGGGGACGGGGGTATAATCTTGCTCTTCCTCGCTCTCATCATCGTCATCATCGTCATCGTCGTCTTGCATCGATGCCGTTGGCGTGACGTTGCCGGGGTCCTCTGATTCAGAGGTCTCTTCGACCACATAGCTCCGGCGCGCGGCTGCGCGGCGCGAGGGCCGACCCTTTGCGATCGAAGACATATTTGGTCGCAAAGATTGATCAGTTCGGCACCAGATTCATGGGTGCGAGGGGTGAACGGCGGAAAGAGGGGGGGGAGGGTGGTGAGATGAGGGGAAAAAGATAGATCGCAGAGATGCAGGCGGAAAGTGGGTTGTTTACGTTCCGCCCAAACAGGCAAGGTGCTGTCATCTGCTCATAACAAATCCCTCACCGCCTGGTAAGATTACCATCGTAATATTACCCTTCCGCGGAGGAAGCCTTCGAGAGCTCTGCAACTTCACTTTGTGAGCTTCACCCATCTTGTCCCGAATCGCAGATCAAAATGGCACAGTGGGAGGATTTCAGTCACATTTTCAGCTTCAACAAGAAGTATTCATACGACACAAAGGTGGTCGACCAGATCATCTCGAACCGTAAGGCCCTAGAGAACCAGCTCTTCGCTGATCGACTGCTTGGCCTAGCTGGCATCAAAGGAGGTAAAGGCACTAAAAGCTTCACAGATGGAAAGGAAATGGACTGACTGACTCCTTCTCCCACTGTCGCAGTGACCAAAGTCTATCCGCCGAAGACCAATGCCGACCTCCGATCGCTCATCGAACACATCGTCTCCTCGGAACTAGATATCCACCACAAGCAGGCCTTGATATATTACATTCTCAAAGACTGTCGCAGTGCGCCAGATGCCGCGGCCCATTTCGCGCAAGACTGCCACCTACCGGAGAAATATCGTCTCTTCATTGAGGGACTCTGGAATTTGGACCGTCTTGAATTCAGAGTTCGTTCAACTCTCCGTCCCCGGACTGCTAGAATAATTCTAACGGCTGCAGCGTGCAATCGAATTCCTTGCCGAGCCCTCCCTTATTCCAACTTTCCCCGATGAAATCCTCTATGTTTTGACTCTCTCGCAACTTCCCAAGCATGACGATAGTCTCGCCATTGCCTACTACCTCACCGCCGCTCCCCCTCTCGCCGCCGAGAAGGTCCAACGGGCTTTCTTTGAGACCCTTTGCCGGTCAAATGTGACCGAGGCCTTCTACTTTACGCGGAAATACGACGAGGCGCAACGTCGTAGTTACTTCGAGCAACTGGTCGAGTTTGTACACAAGACAGCGGCGGGCCAGACGCGAAGCAAGCGTGCGATGGAACTTGTCGGTCTGCCATTGGGAGAGGATGAAGAAGAATGGTTCGAGGAAACATTGCTACATGGAGGTGCCAGATCTTTCCCGGGGGCGAAGGATACCGTCATGATGCGACGCCTGGCCACTGGGCAGATGAGCGGCCTTGGGACTGAGCTGGAATCCCTAGGCGGCAAGAAGGTAGATGGGTTGAACTGGGATACACTGCGCGAGAGCATGCGCCAAACACAAAACATATACCCTTCCTAGTTCTCTAGGAGTCTTGATATGAACATTTTTTAATGATCTTGAGAATTGAATAAGCGACGGATTGGAGTTCCAACTTTTCTGGATTTTTGATGATGCCCGGCGAATTAGATGTTTCAAGATTTCTGGCCTGTTAAGCAGCAAATTATGTTTTGACAAGTCACGTCACTAAGACCTCTTCTAAGGGTGCAATTGGCAAAATATATTCTTGCTTCTACCGCTAAAGAGTACCGGCTGTGCACTTAATCTGACAACCATTGGCACCATAATGAAGAGAGGCTGAGTCGTTTCCATTTCTTCTCTGTTGGAAAATCAGAGCACTGCCAGCAGTCAATAATAGGTTAGATGAATATAGCGAATAACGACTTCTAGACTAAATAACTAGAAAAGACTACTTGACCCAAAGGGATGGGTTGCTCTTGATAACGGTATCGATAAGACGGCGATAACAAGCCTGCCGATAAGATTCGCGACAACTCCCAAAAACAGCTTTGTTCTTTGGTCCGCATCTCATCTCGTCCTCAACCACACCTGCTTCCCCTCACTATCTCATTTGCACTTCATTCAACCGTGAGATTTTCACACCTCAGATCGGCACTGTTCCTTCTTGATCGAAATTCTATTGTTACGTCACAGGAGAGCAATATCAAATCGACATCCATCGCGACAAACGCGGGAGTTGATGCGGCGACGGCATCAAGATGGTGGTCTGCTCCTTCTTTCAGCAGGGGCGCTGCAAGTTTGGTGGTAAGGTATCTCTTGGAATGTATGCTGCTTGAGAAGAACATCGCTGATGGCTGGTCAGATCGCTGCAAGTATGAACATCCGGGCCGAGCCACAGCTGGTGCATCTGGCAATCGGTATGGTGCACTCTCTGGTGGAGGGTTTGGAGGTAAGATACCTTTTTTTCAGAAAGACCCAGGATCAATTTCGGACAAGCTGGCCTGAGTTTGTGGCGGAAACGTTTGCCCTTGCTCTGCGCCGGCAAGGTCTAAAGCTCGTCCCGATCATCTCCTGCTGTTTATTTATTACACCTGCACAGTCCTTCTCTCTACTCTCGCAATCGCTTGAATCTGCGAACCTCTGCCTTCCATCTGGGCATTCAGCAACTAAACACCAACACCATGCCTAAAATCCGGGCCTGGCTTGCTAAGCGATTCGCTAACCTACGTGGTTCCTTAGGCCAGCGAGCAGGGCCTACCCAGCAAAATTCAAAGTGAGCATCACCTGTCATGCAACGATACATTTCAGTGTACTGACCAACGCACAGCTATGGCGTGACAGCCGACGACATCAAAGCCGACCTCACAGCCGGGAAGAGTCGACCAGAATGGGTCTTCTCTTCATATGCTCCGACTCGCAATGTCCCGCGTCAGCTGTTTGGGGGCCCTCAGCGAGAGCTGAGCATGGAAGAGATGCGCCTCCGCCACTATGAAATGACAGCCGCGGGAAGCATGGACCAGGCCGTTCAGGAGGCACAGGCTTTGTGGCAAGAATCCGTGAATCAAATGGACTCCGCCTTGAATGATCTCGACGGTGCTGTCAAGTACATTGTCGACGGCGGCAATGAACACCCCAACCGCATTGATATTACCTCTGGAGCTCAGCAATCGCCCTTTGGCCAACCCTCGGCTGGTCCAGCTACTGGCGCTTTCGGAACCGCCAATGCACCTGCTACGGGATGGGGAAAGCCCTCGGGCTTCGGACAGCCTGCGGCCCTTGGTCAGTCATCTACGCTCGGACAACAGGGGTCTGCCTTTGGACAGCCATCAACTGTCGGGCTGTCATCAGCCTTCGGACAGCCCTCGACCATGGGCCAGGCTTCGGGCTTCGGGCAGCCATCCACCTTGGGTCAGGGTTCCGCCTTTGGCCAGCCCTCAACTATTGGCAGTGCTCAAAGCGCATTTGGAAAGCCAGCATTTGGTCAGTCAGGACTCGCACAAGCCGGAAATACCCAGTCTGCGTTCAGCCAGCCTACCTTTGGCCAGCCCGCTGCTCCGGCGACTGGTGCATTCGGTGCACCCTCGGGTGCTTCTCCATTCACACAGGTCTCGCAGAACCAACCCGCTACGGGCTTCGGTGCCCTCGCCGGACCGTCGCCATTCGGACAGCCACCAGCTCAGCAACAGCCTGCACCAGGAACAGGTGGCTTTGGTCAACCGACTGCGCCATTCGGACAACCTGCCCAGACCGCATCACCGTTTGGCCAAGTCCCACAGCAGCAACAGCAACCCGCTGCAGCCGCTCCATTTGGACAGACATCAGCCCCAGCTAATCCCTTCGGTGTCCCTTCTACACAGCAGTCCGCACCCTCGCCCTTTGGTCAGCCTGCCGCTCCACAGGGCGTGATCGTCGAGAATGTCAATGCCGGTCCTCGTGCATTCATCAAAATTGATGATCCCAATGTGTTGAATCCTCTTCCACAACTGGAGGGTGAGACTCGACGTGATCCTAACAACAATCGCCTCATCATGTGGAAGGGCCGTCCGGTGAAGTACGTCAACGATGCCCCCTGCTACCTTCACCCTCAGGACAACAAGACCTACGTTCGCATTCATTTCCCAGATGGCCCGCCAGACGACGCCAGTTTGCGTGATTCTCAGCCGAATCCTGAGGATTACACGCCAGAAATCGAGGAGATGTACAAGTTCTTCCTTGAAAACGGCTACTTCAAGGACGGCATCATCCCGCCTGTGCCCCCCAGAAGAGACCATATCAGTTTCGACTTCTAGTCGTCTTCTGATGAAAGGATGCTTTCATGCATCTTGTCCGAACAATGCATTTGTTCCTTTCGTTTCATTTTCGTCTCTTTTCTTTCGCCAAGGGACAAAGCTGGGAGGCGTGTCCCTTAGTGAACCCGACACGGTGGAGGCGTTCTCGGTGTTAGGCGGATTGCAGACACAAAAGCATTTCGCAAGTCCAGTAACAATCAGCTATTATGACAATGCAAATCTACGACGGCTAGTAGCCTGTACAATGGCTCAAAGCATTATTTTCTCAAGATGTTTCCATTTTTTTGTCTTTCAGGTTGTAGCGGGTATCTACCACAATGCTCCAACATAGGCTCGTAGTAAACGACCAACAGTTTTCGAGAGCCAGCAATTCGCTCGGCACTATAGACAATCGATCCCGAGACCCTCCCTGATTCCATTGCGGAACTAGTGCATTTAAGCAGCAATGGTGACCTCAACCTCAACACCGGCCTCGATGTTGATGATGATCTGCTTGACGGTCTCGGTGGGGGCGAGGAGGCTAAAGGACAGCAATTAGCCAGGCTATTCTTGGCCATTCAGATGTTACATAACGGGTTCAGTGCCCCGCCATGTCCATATTCAAGAATCCGGGGAAACTTACTCGATGAGACGCTTGTGGATGCGCATCTCGAACTTGTCCCAGGTCTTGGAACCCTCACCGTTGGGGGTCTTACGGGTGGAGATGTTCAGGGTCTTGGTGGGCAGACGGACGGGGCCCTTGACCTGCAGGGACTTGGAGCGAGCACGGTCGATCAGCTCCTGGCAGACCTTCTCGAGGGAGGCGACCTTGCGGGAGGTGAGGGTGATGCGGATCTTGTGGACCTTCTGTAGAGGGCATTAGCAATCTAGAAAGCCTGCAATCCGCGTGTATTTGTCGACAGCGACATCCTCGCGCGCATCAATGCGCTAGCGACGGAGTATCTGCCAAGCGATTTGACGGGCGGTTGTTGTAGGGTGTCACGTACAGGGCCCTCGCCGAACTCCTTCTCGGGCTTCTGGAAAGACATCTTGAGTTGATTGATGGGTGTTTAGACGGAATGCCGGTCAAGACCTGAACTGCTGGGCTCGGTAAGGTGATGATGGCCGATAAAGATTGTGTGTGGAGCGAAGCGAAAAGATTCAGTGCGGGAAATCTTGGCGCTTCGGTTATCGCACGCTAGTCCACTTTTGGGGAGATAATGCTGACTCATCGCTGGCTGAGTCAGCGCCCGTTCGGGGACCAAATGCAGTAACCAGTTAAGGTGCGGCAAGCCTCGTGGAGTGGGATGTGTGCAGTATTCCCTTCGTGTTGATTGTTTTCAAATTTTGGATCTTCTCTTTTTCACTTCTCAACTTTCGCGTTGATTGAGACCTATCTTTCCCCACGTATTAATCGTGTCAATGGCGGAGTTCCCGCCGCTGGCCCCAGTGCCCTCCCCCGCAGTGCGGAGGACCATTCCATCTAACGACTGGGATGCCTGCCTAGATGCATGGATGACGTTGCTCGGCATTCGACTGAGTGTCACGGATCAAAAATTTAAAGATACAGCTCCTGACGACCTCTCGGTGGTCTCGTTCCTGGACTCATTCTATCAACATGCTGCAGCCGCAGATTCGGGTCTACGATCTGAACCCAAAGTTCGACAATTACGGAAGCTCTGTTTTCTCATAACAAGACGATATCTACTGAGTCTTAGGAATCCACCTGAAGGTCTTTTAAGCTGGCAGCTTCTGAGCAACCTATGTTGCTGCTATCCTTCCAGCACAGCGTTGAAGACGTCATTGTCAACTGCCTGGGACTTGCATCATGAGAAGATATCATCTAGCATAGAGAAGGCAAAATCTCTTGTGATGAAGCAAATATCTATGTCAGGAAAATCAGCAGCCCTTGATGTTATCTCAAGCATTCGGCGCTTGACGATTTTGGCCTCTGTCTTACCGAATTGCGGCCAGATTCTCATGGCTGGATCGGATTATCTCGATACTCTCCATGAAGCCTATCAAGCAAAGGCTACTCGGGAAGAGCTGCGCAAGATCTTGGTTGCCAATGTATATGTTGGGCTGGTATCTTTACTGAAGGAGACGACGATCAACTTGTCTTTATTGCTGGACCAATTATTCAGCCTCAAGGCCAGTGCCGGAGTAGGCACTCCCGGAATGAAGAAGGAGGCAACTCTGCTTTCAGATCTTGTATGCAGCTCGGATCTGCTGCAGCGGCTGGAGAAGCATCTTGCAAGCCATCCTCAAAAACGAGGCGAAGACCTGCTCGCCAGTCTCCGACTGTATCAAATGGAAATGAGCCCCTCCCATCACCGATATCAAAGGCGGAAAAGGGTCGATAAAGGCAAAGGGCCATCAACAGGCCCTGTTATTCCCGACGAGCTTCATGCACACAAAATGTCGCTCGTATCACAGGTGCAGGATCTCTTCCCAGACCTCGGCTCTGCTTTTGTCGTGAGACTATTGGACACCTACGGAGACAATCCGGAGACGGTCATCGCGCATCTCTTGGATGACTCGCTTACGCCAGAACTCCAATCTCTGGATCGATCTGAACAACTTCCCCCAGCAGCAGAACCCAGTCATGCCCATCTAGAACCCCGACCAACACCCCCCGCCATCCCCTCGCCGCGTGCAGAACCAGTTCCGTCTCGCCGGAATGTCTTTGACGATGATGTCGACATTGCAGAGCTCAGTCTTTCAGGAGCAGCAGAAGGGAAATTGCGATTTGGCCGTGCCAATCCCGAGCTCACCGCGGACGAAGTCCTTGCAGACCGCAGCAAGCACGCCATCAACAAGGCGGCAATTCTATCAGCACTGGCAAGCTTTGACTCCGATGATGACGAACGAGATGATACCTATGACGTTGCAGACGTAGGCGGCACTGTTGACAGCGCCACGACAGGCACAGACGCCGAGGCCGATGCAATTGCACGGAATCAACGCGCAGCAGCCGAACAGATCGATCTTACTCTTCTCCGCGCCTACAAGTCCAACGCGGCCATTTTTGCCCGGGACTCTGCAACCCGTCGCTCACAGCCTCGGACCTTGCTCAAACAGGAGACCAACATGACTGACGAAGCTATCGAAGGCTGGGCAGTTATGCTATCGCGGGATCCCAAGCGACTCGCGAAACTCGAGAACAAGCTCGCTGACGATATTGGCGGAGCGGGGGGTGGCGCATTGAATCAACCCGAATTGGCCCCGACATCGTATAGGAGACCCCATCCCACAGAGGGTGATTCCGACGAGGGGGAGTCTTCTGGTTACGCTGGGGGCCGTGGAGGACGCGGTGGAGGACGCGGCGGCGCAGGAAGAGGACGTGGTAGGGGTGGGCGGGGAGGAGGACGTCCAGCTCAATCGGGCGAACAAGGGCAGCAAAATAGTGCAGTGGCGCATCAACGGAAGGAACAGAACAAGGCTAGCCGGGCGAACCATAACCGTCGCCAACAGCGAGCTAAGAAGATCGCACGGGGAGGAGGCTTGCCAGGTTGATGAGACGCATTTACGGTAATTGAAACATGACATGTGTGGAATACAGGTACCCTCTTTTCTTATACGACCTTTTTGCATATTCATTATAGAGCGGTGGGGATATCCATGTGTACGATGTGCTAGAGAAAGAGACATTTGATTCATTTTCGTATCGAGGAGCACCCAAACAGCTGAGAGATAATCGTCTAAGAGGCTAAGAAGCGGCAGTTCATCATATGCAACTTGTATAATCAGGTTAAGGAAATATTTCAGTGATGATGCGAGAAGACGCCCTCCTTGGCAATCGACTTCCGGCATTCCTCGAGAATACGGAGCTGCTTTGCCACATCACCGAGCCGGCCGATGACTTGCTTGTTACCATCGTAGAAGGTAAAGAGGGCATATGGAATGCCAGTGTCGCGACAGAACTCGGTGACGTACTTTTGAGCACGGCGGAGATTGTGGCGCGGCATGCGAGGGTAGAGATGGTGGATGGCCTGGAACTGCAGACCGCCATGAAAAAAGTCAAGCCAGGTCGGGCAGTCGACGTCCATGGTAGTACGCAACATCTTTTGAGCAAAAGATTCGTGAATACCCAGGTCAGCCGTGGACATAGCGAAATGAGATAGAGTGATCTGGACGTGCAACGGCGACGAGATAACATGGGATACCATGATGAAGGTAAGTCGGCTGCTCCAGTCCGGGATAGTCTTGTATACCACGAGGTAGCAGTACCAGTACCAGAAGAATAACTGACCACCATACTCCAACCAGACATGCCACCTCGCAGGACCCTTCTTTGGAGCTTGGCGTTTAAGGAGGTACTCCCAGCTAAGACGATAGAGGTTAAACCTGGCCAGCATCATGATAGGGTAGTAGGAATAGTGCTGAATCTTCAGCATCACTTTGGAAAAGGCATCAAAGGTCATGTTACGGTCATAATAGGTGCTCTGAAGGCTATCAAAGAACCGATGGGAGATCGCAAAGAAGGGGATATGCTCAATATCCGGGTCATGCTCAGGCTCGTTAGTCACGATGTGGTGCACGTTATGGCTTCGCTTCCACCATCCCAGGCTCAATCCACCGATGTAGTCGGCGATAATGATACCAATGATGGTATCCACGTGGAAGTTGTGCGTGATACCCATATGGCCAGCATCATGGGCAGTAAACACAAGTTGGTGCCACAAGCAACCAAGCCAAAATCCAGACATGGCCCACCAGCCGAGGCGCAGGAAAATATAGGACAGAGAAGCGAAAAGCGTGTACCGACAGCATTCGATGAAATAGGACATATAGTTGCAGTCAAACAAGCCTTCGGCGAGCATACGCTCATTCAGGTCCCGATACTTCTGCTTGATACTTTCCTGGCTCGCAGTGTCCAGTGACGGGTATTTGGCCTTATCGAACACAATCTGTTCCTGCGTACGAGCGTCCAGGAAATGTGGCCGCGGCTGGTCATCTTCGTTTGGAGGCGTTGACACGGCAGAACTGTCCGTGTTCGGCGAAGGGTTCTTTCGACGAATTGTAGAACTTGAGTCGACCGCATCGAATATTGGTGACGGGGGAATGGATCCCTCCGAGCTGGAGTTGTCTCTTATAGACAGGTCCTCTTCGGTCGAGCCGGCGTCTTCAATGTAAGGGCGGAACTTGCCGCCTTGAATGGGAGGGAGGAAATTGGACCAGATGCCTTCGATTCGGCCAATCTGGTACGAAAGCATGATCTCGCGGGCCTCTTTCGAGTGAAGTCTACAATAAAGAAAGAAGAAATCCATTAGAAATGTGTGAGAAGTAGGCCATTGGGGAAAAGACATACGCATTGATCTCATCGGTCGCATCCCTTCCCACCATATGCTTCATCGGCTTCTCACCACCAGGGTGGAACTTCATGTAAGCATCCACTTTCAGGACGCGACCCTCAAAGATAACGACATGCTTTCCCTCCGCAATCTGTCCCTCAATATACCGGCGACTCAGGACGGTGTCCTTCCGGGACGGTCGGGAAGCGGTCTTGTCCATCGTTAGTGGCATTTGCGGCGTGGGAGCGGCTGAGTTGGAACGGGTCTCAGAATCCGAAACGGCAGGCGAGAAATTCAAGGAAACATGGCTCTGAACGAGAAGATGCAGTTGTTCGCAGGACTTGCAGAGAAGAGACACAATAAATGCAAAGACGCCAAGTGGACGAAGAGCAGAACGGCAGCAGGGGCGGCGGCGGTGGAGTCAACAAGCGGGGACTGATCGGCCGCGGTCGCCCGTGACAGTCGAGTCAACAAGAGAACGTGCACCGCCCGCCCACCAACTACAGTACTTTCTACAACCAACGCATGGCATGATCAACATGGCTCAGGTAATTTCCCCCTCGACCGCTTGTCTGGTGGTGAGATCTAACCCACTCAGGAATCGCTCTCATCCTTGGTCGAAACATGGCTCCAGTGGGACCAGGTATATGATATCTTGCGCTTGTCCCTTAATTCATTGTTGCCTGATCTCACCGGCCTTGACTCGGATATAGGACCCCACGACTCGCGCGGAAATAGAACAACTGCGGGATGCCAGTGACACCAAAGAGCTGAAGCTGCGCCTCCGGAGTCGTAAGTCAATTCTGGCGGCTGTCTTAGCGCAAATCCTTTAACTATCTCCAGGAATTGAATTCGGCACGGCGGGCTTGCGGGGCCGTATGGCTGCTGGCTTCACCTACATGAACTGTTTGACGGTCATTCAAGCTTCACAGGGGCTTGCCAAGCATATTCAGAGCAAAGGTCCAGAATTCGCCTCCAAAGGTGTCATCATCGGACATGATGCACGCCATTACTCCCACAAGTTTGCTCAACTCGCTGCCAATGCCTTCGTTGCGCTGCAAATTCCCGTCAAGTTCGTTGACGAGTCAGCGCCGACTCCTCTGGTTGCGTTCGGAGTGCATCACTTCAAGGCCGCTGCAGGCGTCGTAGTAACTGCCAGCCATGTATGCCCTAATGGATCACCCACCACATAGACCGTATCATGTTGCTAACGAAGACCTCGATAAACCCTCTGAACAGAACCCGCCTCAAGATAACGGTGAGGAAGATGTGCTTTACGTACAGTCAAAACCGGATTGCTGATCGTTTTGCTAGGCTATAAAGTGTAGGTCCCTCAAGGATCTCTCTGGAGATGGTGTAGGACTGACTTAACATTCTGATTCTCAGGTACTCCAGCAATGGTGCCCAAATCAACCGGCCCGAAGATGGCGAGATCGCGCAGTCAATTCTTGAAAACCTGGAACCTTGGCCAAATGCCTGGGAGGAAGGCAGACGCTCTGGAGAGTATTTTGACCAAGAGGCTCTCCAAGAGATCCTCGTTCCGTTCCAACTTCAAGTCAAAGAATACGCGGCAAGTGGTGAGATACAGGCCTTGACCCAAAAGCTGTTGCTAACAATCATGATCCAGACATCAACTGTTTCAGAAGTGTATCCGCACCGACCATTTGTTTATACCCCCATGCATGGCGTAGGCGCTATTCGAATTGGCTCCCTTTTGACGGAATTGGGCATGGAAGAAGACAAAGAGTACATCATTGTGCCCCAACAAGCGAAGCCAGACCCCGATTTCTCAACCGTGAAGTTCCCCAATCCCGAAGAGGCGGGAGCTCTAGATCTCGCGATCCAGGTGGCGGACCAACAGAACAAGACTTTGATCTTCGCCAACGACCCAGATGCAGACCGCTTTGCAGTGGCTGAGAAAGTCGAGTAAGAAGACCGGATCCGCTCTACTTGAAGGGCTCGAGACTGACTCTATGACAGCGGTAAATGGTTCCTCCTCACAGGAAACCATGTTGGAGTTCTCTTCGCATCTCATCTTTTCGATACCATTGGCACGAATGCAGACACGTCAAAAATCACTGTCCTCACGACGACTGTGTCGAGTGGAATGCTCCAGAAAATGGCTGAATCTAAAGGAATCCGATTCAAGGAGACCTTGACCGGGTTCAAGTGGATGGGAAATATAGCCCAAGATCTCGAGAAGACTGGACAGACAGTGCCATTTGCTTATGAGGAAGCTCTTGGATATATGTTCCCCGCGGTCAGCTATGACAAAGATGGCATCACCGCTCTTTCGGTCTTCTCAATGGCTGCTGCAAAGTGGAAGGCCCAAGGAATGACTGTGTTCGGCAAGCTTCAACAACTCTTCGCAGAGTTTGGTCATCATGAGACCTTGAACAACTACTTCCGATCTCCCAGTCCCCAGCTTACCCTTGAGCTGTTCCGCGGAATCAGGAGTGGATCCTTCCTTCCTGAGATGCAGCTTGGCAAGTTCAAAATTCTACGATGGAGAGATTTGACTGAAGGGTATGACACTGCATCGGCTGATCATAAGCCTGATTTGCCCGAAGACCCGACCAGTCAGATGATTACGCTGTGGCTTGAAGGTGGAGTGCGCTTCACGTTGCGCGGCTCAGGTACCGAGCCAAAGGTCAAATGTAAGATTTTTGACTCTTTTTCTATTTGCGACCTTTCTGGAATCTCTCTCTAACATTCTACCAGTCTATATTGAATGCTGTGGCGATTCTCGGGAAGACGCCGTGAAGGCTGTCTGCGAGGCCTTCTTTGCGATTTTGAAAGAGTGGGTTCGGCGATACACCCCTTCCATGACTTACAGTAACGAGCTTTCCACCTCGTCGGGATCTGTTCTGCTGGTGGATAAAGAATCGCTCGCTGCCTGAAAGGTACAAGAATTGGGCCTGTGACAAAGCGAAGCAATTATGCATGTCAAAAAAGTCTTATGACTCTATCATAGTACAATGCTGCATTGGATTCTGAGTAACGTTTGATCACTACTTTAAAAGACGACTAGGCACATAGGATGGACCCGAGAAGGACAGCTCTGCCCGGGTGCGACTTGAGTCTGCAGGTCTCCGTCGAGATCGCCATTTTGCCACTGTCATAGGCACTTAGGCAATAAGCATCACAGGGGAAAAGAACAAACTGTCTTCATGTCGTGTTCGGTGTCACGTCTGCAGCATGTAGTTTTCAGCCTCATTTTCAAGCCCTTTCCGTTCGAGAATCTGCGCCGATCGAGGTATAAGGGTAGGTAGGCTAGTCAAGCTGACTGAAATTTCCAACCTTTCTTTCTCGCTCAGGTCCTCGCGGGTTCCAGTCCGCTAGCTCATCAGGCCAAGCTCTGCGCCCTAGATTCTTCTTCTTTTGATCATGTATTACTCCGCTCATCGTCACCACGCCGAGAACGACGATTCTTGTCGATTCAAAAGCTGCCAAGTACAGCCAGCCCAGCATCAGCAAGAATTCAGGATGGAGGCTTGTTATTGCGGTCTACATGGTTGCAATACACGCGGCTCCTGCTGTCAAAAGTCGTACGTGTACCCAAGCATATATTTCTTCTTCATGCTAGTCGTGAAACTGACATATCTCGGGTACCTAAAGTGTGATGCAAGAAGTCCAAGGAAATGCTGACTACGAAAATTGTGCTCAGCACTTGTACCACGAGAGAGATCCTCCCAAGTACATTGCATACTGCTGCCATAGGAGAGCCTCCGAATGCCTACGATATACCAACGGATGGCCGTGTCCTTACAGTATCTCTACGACAACGAAATGCAAGGACAGAAAACGCGATCACCTACATTTGCCGTGTCGGCTCTCTCAGTCTCAATCGTCTTGTTCTGTACCAGAACAAGGTGCTCATATGGCACATTGCGCCTCTGCATGCTTAGATGAACACATCCCAAGGCGTACGCATGGCTGCGATCGTAATGCTTTTTGCTATTGCCACAGCGAGATAGGACGGACCCCTCGATCCTGCTGCTCAAAATGCGGTCCATGCCCGAATTTCCCGCTGAGATGCCCAGCGAACCATAAAGTGTATATTTGTTTCCACGGATGTCCTCATTACATCTGCTGCAAGTTCCACTAACGTGGATAATGCTAAGTAGGACCAAGACTCTTCGCTGAGGCTAATACGGAGCATTGAGAAGAATCTGATTCGTTTCAAGCTTAATTATCATCTTCATCATTCAACTGAAGCATAAAATTAGTAGTTGACAGATTTATCACCACTCAATAGGGCTCCAGGCCGTCAGTAGTGGAAGTAGCGTTCCAGTTTCACGAATTAGGTTTTGAAAAGCTTTTCACAGCTCCATAGTTCCACAAAATGGAGCCTCTTCAACAAGCACATCCGAATTGGTGTAGTGGCTAACATCGTCGTCTCTCACACGACAGCCAGGGGTTCGATTCCCCTATTCGGAGTTACATTTTTTTTCGTTTTTAACGTCTTCTAAATAATCTCATGGAGCTGTCCTTGTGCCGTTGGTTGGGCAGAGCCCGCTTAATTTTTTTTTTTTTTTTCTCTTTGGAACGAATCAGCCTGTAGTGCCCAAGTTACCACCACCGCCTTCTGTTATGGGAAGGCGGTGAACCTTGGTTGTGTTAGAAGAGTTTCTTTTCAGGCCACAAGGCTTCCTCAGTGTCATGGATGATCATGGAGTTTGGAAGAAGGCAATGGCACAATTAGGAAACATTACTTTTGCTGGGATCATCCATGGAGCTTCTTCCTGTTCAATTTAACATTTGCGCATATGATCATCTCAGGCATCGAATTAGCTGAATTGGGCGGCAATATCGCAACTCGACTTTTCTTTTTGGGTCTCATATTCTGCGGTGTTATTGCCACAAAAGATGCACTCCCGGGATTTTGGGCTTTTATGTACTGAGTATCCCCATTCACTTATCTGGTATCCGCGATGTTGTCTACAGGTTTGTCTGGTGCCAACACACGATGTGAAGTAGTCGAATATTTGAAATTGAATCCATCTCGCAACCAGGCGTGTGGTGAGTACTTGAATCCTTACATAGATCTTGTACGGGTAGGATAAATGAAAAACCAGACGCAACATCTGACTGTTTGTTCTGCTCCGTTAGAAAGACTGACACTTTCCTTGCTGCGATTGGGAGCCATTTGGATGATGCATGGCGCAACTTTGGATTGATGTGGGTTTACATCGCCTTTAACATTCTCGGCGCAATGTTTATTTATTGGTTAGTACGGCTGCCTAAGGGCAAACAACCCCTAGGGGCAATCTGAGATATGTGTGTTCAGATAGCATTGAGGTTATGATGTTTAGTGGCAAGATTTACAGCACGGCTGGCTCAAGGAGAGAGATGACGTAACAAAAAGTCATTCTTAGCACGAATCCTGACACCTGAAAATTCTGCTTTGCAAGCTCGCCCTTTGATTGACAGTACACCACCACCACCAGATATAGAGAGTACTCCTATTAGGATTAATGATTTCTGTCAATATACATAAGGATAAGGCTTTCTCTTACCAGACCCATAATGATCCCACGGTCTTTGAAAGATTGACGGATCATTCGCTGTTTAAAGGCCTTCTCACGAATCGGTCCGATAATTCGTACGAAATCTGATTTCCCATACGGCTGGCGCCCCAGCAAGCCAATTCGTTATTCATTAATCGAAATTGCTGCTTATAATTCAAAAAGGGCTTTCCATCGAGAGGTTAGCAAAGATATGTATTGCCATAGAAGGATGAGTATTAGGGGCTCTATGGAAGTAGATACTTACACGCATATACACGACATTGGAATCTTGACAGCAGGCGATATATTCTCGCTAATAATCTGATATATCTACTGTGATGCTCGGGAAACCCCTTGGCTACATGGACCCTTAATTTAACTCTATTGGGCCCCAATAATCCTCAGGTTAGAGCAAAGTAAGATGTTATAGATCAGTATATGATACCTAAGATCTAACAGAATGAATATAAGATGAAAAGATCGACATCTGCGCGATTAGGAACAGGTTGAAGTGTCCTCAGAATTTAAGCAAGACGAAATGTTGCGATATTGTCGTTGCCAGAAACCACAAAACTAAGCATCAAACTTATAGATAACCCCAAACATGAATCGGTTAGGGGTCGGTACATTTTCCTTTGAGGAACTGCTCCACTGTAGCAGGTTGACACGCAGGGACAAGTGGCCAGTCAATATAGCCCATCTCTAAGCGGTAAGTCCCAAAAAAATATTGCAGAAAGTTTTTTGAGCCACTCGTATTGGCCCCGAAGAACAAATATTAACTGTACCGTCCAAACAATGATTGCTGCCTGAGTACCTTAGATAGCTTCCTATGCTTGGGAGCTATCATAGTAGCGTTGGTCTAGGAACTCTTTGGACAGATGAGGACTTCGGTCTGCCAATGGGGATGGGTCCACATCGGCAGGGACAAATCCCAAGCCAAGGTAGGCATATTTGTTCTTCTGTGAAATTCGACTGTAAGCCTTTGATTTCTGATTTATTTCAATGAATTTCAAGCAGGTAATCTCACGGGGCTGTGATATTTAATCTCAAAATCTTCGAATCGTGGATCTTTAATCGCTTCCATATAATGGAGGGCACTCCCAGGCCATACAGAAGTGACTCGGCCTGTTTTCTTGTTTTTGTCTGGCAAGTGAGCATATTTGTTAGATACCACACACGATATACTCCGCGGAAGTCTCGTAAGAAAGGGGGCAAATGTCAGGACGTACACCAGGCGTTGCAGTTATCCTCCCACACACTTCCATTCATCCATGTCTGAGCGTGATCATTAAATTCATCTGTTGCTGTTTGCTTCGGCACCCAGTATTTAATGTTCTCGTGTTGCATCTTTTCAATGATTTTGATAACATAGCGGGTCACTGAGTAAATGGGTCCTGAACCAAACATAAGCATATTTAAGCACGCAGTCCACTTCATTGGAATTCCATCGACTCACCCATTATGCTGCCATTTTCGACAGGGAAGGTTGGGCCTCCAAACACTTGGTGCAGGTTAGGATCACCTCACTTGGCATCATGAAGGAACTGGAGTGAGTGATCACGTACCAATATAGTTCGGAACGTCTGGGCAAGCAAGCTGGTACAGAAAAGTTAGAAGCAAGCTCGAGAAAACCAACGGCGTTTAATCCCAAAGTTTATTCACATACCCCGAAATACCCTTCAGGAACTGTAGCCCACTTGTCGCGGAGGTCGATGCCATTCAGTCCAATCAAAGGGAACGATGGTCGATAAGATACGTCTAAGAGAGCGTTGTTAATTAGCAATTCGTGAAATCGTTAATCAGCCGGAACTCTTGCCATGGCCTTAATTGACGATATAACATACCGAATCCGGTTGCGCAGATAACCGTATCGCACTGCCGGAGGATCCCGTCATCGCCAATAATGCCGTTTTCGGTAATCTTCGCAACACCTGTAAAGTGAACATCCACGTTGGGCTTTTGAATACTAATAAATAAATTGTCAGAGCCATCTTTCATTCGCAAAAAAATGCCTTTCTGAATAAGTGCTAGGCTTACGCTTCGATATAGGGGTCACCTGGCGCAATTCTGCGGCATCCGACGCTGAAGGATGGAGTAAATCCGGCCAGGAGACGATCATCTTTGATGAGTCTTCTCATACGGGCCAGTAGTTGCTAGATATATCTGAGTCTAGGATGTTCTGTTCTAGATTCGGAGAAATCATACCTCGCGAACGATCTTTTGAGCATCTCCGTAACGGAGCATTATGTTGAACATCTAGCACGAGCAGAAAACGGTCATTTGGTTGGGTTTGAACATTGAAAGTGGATAAACGAGAAGTATTTAGAGTTCGTTTTACCTTCATAACGTCATTTTCAGCACTTTTGGCATGAGCAAGTAAGGCGTCCTGATCGGATCGGAATGTTCGCTTTTGTTCTTCTGTATCTGTGACATAGATTTAGAAATTTGGCACCTGGTTCAGCAAGCCTCGAGCCTACAAGCGTATCCAGCAGGTACCTCGCTTCCATCCAGGGTTGGGCTGAAGAACCAAACCGGTGATCGAACAAAGATGTCCATATGATCCACGTACGGCTGCATGCCAGGCACAGTCTGGATGCTACTCGCTCCGCTGCCGATCACGGCTACTCGTTGTCCTTTCCACTGCTCCATCCGGTAATCATCGGGCCATCTAGAGATATTAGATATAATCAACTAATTATATCAAATAGCATTCGATAACTTACCCAGCTGTGTGAATCATGCTGCCCTTGAAGGTGTCGACTCCAGGAATATCTGGGAAATTCCATCTCGACAGAATACCATATGCCCCTATCAAAAGGTCGCAGTCATCCTCAATTTCGTGGAATACTCCATTTTCATCTTTTTGACGGATCTTGACATTCCAGGTGCCTTTGTGTTCTTCAAAAGTGGCAGCTATAACTTCGGAGTTGAAGCGGAAATATCTACCAAGATTGAGCTTCTCCACCACGTCAAGAAGATAGCCATGGATCGCTTTGGCATCGGAATTGAATTGAGGCCAATCTAAAATCAGTTCGATGATCAGCATATTAAATATTTTTTCCCATTACATTCACTCCAAGTGTTTTTCTTCTCTGTTATTCTTACCTGGATTCAGTGCGAAGTTTAGCTGATAAGTTGCACTTGGAGCATCACATGCACAATTCGGATAGCGATTATTGAACTACCATTGCATCTCCATCAGTAGTACTCTTTGCGACACTCTTCATCGCAGGCGACAGACTTACCCAGGTACCTCCAATTTCTGGGTTTTTTTCATAGATCACATGCTCGACGTTCCGCAACTCACGTTCCAGGTAGTAAGCCAGCATAACACCACTAAAGCCCCCCCCAATCGTGATAACCTTGAGCTTGCGATTTTCAGAAGCGCCAAGGACTGTAGTTGGGACATGATATCCGGTGTTGGAATTTTTGTGGAAATTTTCGGAGAACCTCTCTGCGAACAGATTCCCTGGTCGCGTTGTAGGTGTCTCTGTGGCATCCGGATGATTGATAGAACCCATGACGAGTGCTCAGAAGGATTTGAATAATCTAAGGTAGTGAAACTGTTGATGTGAGACAATCTTTGGTGCGCGACTAGGCGGGAGCCTCTGGTCGCTTTTTATATGTCCTCTGGCGACTCATGCACATTTATTATGCTGGCAACCTTACTGGAGGAGCCAAGCAAAGATCTAATCCTGTGACTGACGTGCAAATTCGTTGGAAACCTCGTACTGTCGCCTCGCATTTCTTGCCTCTCCGGCGGACGAAAGAGTGGATCGCAAGGAATGCGCATAGAAATCGCGGGGCCCCGGGAGGAGAGATGCACCATGAAGCTGGAACCCGAGAAAATTGTGGAGATGTTTCGAACTGCATTTCCGCACCAGGCAACCAGAGATCGAAAGTCTAAAACACGATTGAAGGACAAGATGAAGTCCTGTTCTGTCTCTGTGTTCCCAAGGTCATCTTAGGCATATTTGTGACAAATCGGAAGCATGATAGCCGCACGCTGGTTACTCGACTGCCCCATAAATTAGAACTGCGTTTCCCCTTATGGTAAGAGGGTTGTCCTCGAAAGACTATCGGAGGTGGAGCCAATCGGATTGATCGAAGTCGCACACTTACCTCCAACCTTGCAATGTATTGTGTGGGGTAGAGGATCAGCCAATCGGAAGAGGATCAGTCGCACAATAATCCCGTCACTGCATCTTGCACGAGAACATCCTGAACACAAAGTTGGCCAGATGGACTAGAATCGACAGAAACCCGAGCGGATCAGCATAAAAGAACGCTTCTCCACGTGGAGAAGCGTTCTTTTTTGTAAGCCTAAAACTATTCAAAACTCAAAGATTCAGTATGGGTACTAAGTATCGCGATGTCCAACTCCCTACGCTTGATGGTATATTGTTGCGTGGGCAGTTGTATAGTGGTGGTCGAAACCGCCCTTGCATCGTCATGACACCAGGGGTGAGTGTTTGACAATTATCATTTGCGAATTCTATCTTTCGAATGAAGTAAAGAAACTGATCTTAGCTTTGTCGAGAGCGCGGTTAGTTCAGTGGACTCAAGGAGCAGTTCTTGGGCGACTTCGCCACTAGATTTCAGCAATCTGGGTTTACCGTGCTTGTCTACGATCCTCGGGGATGGGGAGAAAGTGGGGGGGCGCCTCGAAACGAAGTAGATCCTCAGAAGCAGGTCCAAGACTATTATGACGCCTTTGATTTCGTGGCCGGGCTCCCGGACGTGGACCCTGGGAAGGTGGTGTACTGGGGAAGTAGTATGTCTGGAGGTGTTGTCCTACAGGCCGCCGCATTCGATCCGAGAATTTCTGGGGTGATTGTTCAAGCCCCATTTGTTTCGGCTGACGCCCAGGTCGGACCAGTGGCTTCTGCGATGGCAGATACCCTTTTTAAAGAGCGTGCAGCAGTGCGCGGGGGTAGCGGCCGACAGATGCTGCCAGTGTTTCCTGAAACAATAGAAGAAGCACGGAGCGGAACATCGCATGCTATACTCAACCAGCCGGAAGCTTTCATTTTCATTGATGAATGCAACCGGCAGGGCAAGCACCTCGAGCGTTATGTAACAGCAACCACCCTTCTGAATGTCATGACTTTCGAGCCTCGAAGTTTTATCAGGAAGATTTCACCTAAGCCTATTCTAATGGTGGTTGCCGAAAATGATCGAACTACCTCGGTCGAGTCTCAGCTCGAGGCATATCAATTTGCGCATGAGCCTAAAAAACTGAAAATCATCAGGAATGCAGGGCACTTTGAGATGTACTTTGGTGAAAAGTTTGAAGAGAACATTGAGGCGCAGCTGGCATTTCTGGACGATTTATTTTTTTGAAATCATCGCCATCCACCTTCCTTGCAGCAATGTGGGGCTGCCACCAGATCTATGGATTTATCTTGGGATCATTTTCCACTATCCTCCTCTGCTCCATACGGGTTGTTTTTGAGGATGGAAGGGAATCTCTTTTGTGTATATAGCCGATTCTGCATTGCAAAAACCCATATAGCTCGTGAATTGACGTACGTTGATGATATTCAAGAAAGAAGCACAAATTTCACTTGTGAAGCGCTACGGAAGATAGCAAATTATGCAAACGCAACAGTAAAACCCGGAGCAAATCTCTTGAGCGTAGAAGGTGCCGAACTTATCCGGATAGTAATTCATCAAAGCAGTACGGAAATTGTGTGAAACATACGTAGGAACAGGAATGGGTTGTCTTGGTGATTGCATAAGAAATTTGTGGTAGATAATATATTGGCATCTCCCAGGCATAGGGCTTGCTTGAAAATGAGAATATAAGTTAAAATTCTAAAACATCACGATAAAAGATGAGCTTAGTAGGCTATGACCAGACTAAGTGCTCACCCAGCACGATAGAAAAGAGGATCGATGTCCCAATTCGTTCAACTATCAAATGGCTTGAGAATGTTTGCCATACTATCGCGGACGATCTCCTGTGTCCATGACGGAAACCCCCGAATACCGGAGAGGAGAGATAACCGAGCTGGGAGAATAAGCTGACCGCTGCGTCCTGAATAAAGCTGATTGACGATGGCTTCGGCGACCGTCTCTGGATGTAAGCAGAATTTATTGAAACCGCCATCTTTGACAAGTCTCTCAACAAGCGGAGTTTGAACCCAAGTCGGATGAACAATGCTAGCCAATCGAACAAAATCCCATAATCAGCGTTTCTCAAAGTGATGCAAGACCGCAATAACACCAGGAGAGACAATATAAGAAAGACTCACCTTGTACGAACCCCGGGGGCATTATACTTATGCTTCAGCTCCTGTGCAAGTCCTTCATGGAATGCAAGAGCAGCGGCTTTTGACGAAGAGTAGCTCACATTTTGATTCATCGTAACGAATGAAGCCATGCTCGCCACTGTGACAATATGACCGTGATTACGTTCAATCATGGCTGGTAGGAACTCCTTCACGAGGTTAAAGTGGGCAAGTACGTTGACATCAAATAACTTCCGGATCTCTGAAATTGACTCATTCAGGATCGCTTTGCCGTATCCGATGCCAGCGTTGTTGATCAAAACTGTCGGATCGCCGTGCTTCTCATGAATCGTTCGAGCGACTTCTTCAACCTTTGTTGATGATGATATGTCTACTTGGTAGAAGAAGACATTGTCGGCTGCCATTCTTAGGTCAGTAAATATTATGTTTCAAAGCGCCTAGCGAAAGAACTACCTATCATTCCCTTGGGCGGGGCAATATCAAGTATCACGACCTGAGCTCCACTTTCTGCAAGGCTTGTAACAATTTTAGCCCCAATCCCGCTCGATCCTCCAGTAAGGACAACAACTTCGTTCTTCCAATCCCAATGAGAATTTGGCGTAAAAGCATTCAGATGGAGAGCGGAAAGCCAATTATTGACTTTGCAAAGGACTCCCAATCCGAAGAGGGCAGCAATAGCGTATTTAAAGCCTGACCTCTGCGCAAGGGTAGATGTGATTGGAGATAATTGCAATATTTCCGGTTTGTTTTCGAGGAGGTAATACAGCGGACCTGTTAGGATCGGCTGCAGGAGGATTTGCAATGGATAGCAGATCGCTTCCAAAGTCAAACCCTCCCTCGGCAACAACGATGACATGATAGCTAGGTCTTTCTCACACAGGATTGGAGTTGTCGCAAACGGATGCGGTGAATGGATTGAATGGTTTTCGTTTACACCTGATCACTTGGGACGGACGAACTTGACTTGATTTATATAGTTTGTCCCCCGTTTCACTTTCAGAAGCCCAAATTCGGAGAATACCGAAACCATGCTCTTCTCCTCCGGGACCTGAACGACCTATTGAGAAGGCATCAGAAAGAATTTGTTACATGCGCTAGCCTCCAGACTCTTGGAATAGAACTGTGGCAAGCCCAACGTGGGCAAAGCCATGTTTGAAGCGATCGGGGTCGGAACGTGCGACTCTCTCCTCTCCGATTGGCGGGAATCGCACAATGTGGCTCCGGTAGCTAGGCCACGGTGGCAAACAATTCCAGCACGAGAGGCAGTTGCCACTATCCCCCAGATGGGTCGTTTCAAAACTTAGACCGTTAAGGTTTTGGTTGAAGTTCAAATTCCCCGCAACGAATGTGGGGATTTTTCACTTGTTGCAGTCGACTGGGACGATGAGTCATTGGTGATAAGCTTCTCGCAAGAATATTTTAGTCGCGTTCGGCGCATTCATCGTGAGTGACACGATGATCTATTTGGAAGCTATCTTCTTTTCGTTTAGCACTGACGATGGGCTGGTGCAAACATTAAGCAAACATTATGAATAAGAAGATCAAGCCTGTCGGAATGCCATGGTCCTCAGGTCGCTTGTTGACCAGTGCAGAAAGAGACCGTAAACGAAGGATGAACCGGGAATCTCAACTCCTTCGCCTGGAAAGAATGAAGGAACGCCTACAGGCCTTTGACTCGCGGCTAGGCAAGGTAGAGGAGCATTATGACCGACTTTGCCCTACGAAGTCCACGGTAAGAATTTTTGGCTCGTCCTTTGCATCCCTCCGCTAGGCAACGGCTCTTATGGATCTCCTTCTCTCTACCAGGCGCAGCCCCCTTCACAGCCGTCCTCTCAGAACTGCTCTGAATTTACGGAAGAGCTTTCACTGGAGGGCGATTTCCCATCAGTTCAAAATATTCCACTACCTTTATCAGCCCCCCGCTCATTCTACCTCATCCAGACCCCCTCCGCGTCAAGCATGCCACCCCTGCCATCCCTCGTCTCCAGAGCTGACCAGAATACTACTCTTCGTGGTTACCTCGACGACGTGCTAGGGAGTGTGTTTTCGGTGGACCCCCTAGAAGTTTGCACGAATGATATTCACAACCAAGATGCTTTAATTCGAGGAGTTGTCCTAGGATGGAATCATCTTCGGAAGGAAAGCTTCAACTGTCCCTTATGGAGAATTCTCTCTTGGACAGATGAGTTGTTAACAGTCAGAACTGCAATAGCCACTAGGCTAGCCCTACTTCGGGGAGTGCACCTCATGCTCATAGTGTGTCAAGCTGCTTCCGGATATATTTACGGAAAGATTCATTGACTGTCTATAGAATTTTGTTTCTCCGGATCGGGCTCCAACTATTCCGAGATGGTTTAGACCTGGGTGTGTATGGCCTGCTTTCTGAATTTTTCATCACCTTACTAATTAATTTTATGCAGGAAACCTCAACTTTCTATCCCACATCATGTAACATGCGATTATTTTGCATGGTAAATATTCCCCGTTATATTCGCCATAGAATTATGGTGGTGACTTTGTGCATTCTAAAGCGCCCCTGGAACACTAGCGAATCAATAGACAGTGCTGACGAAAGATAGGCCTCGGTTCCGGGATCGGCTAATAATCTCTGATTACCCAAAGCTGGATAATGCTTTCTGGAGTCATTTTATTGGAAACGTTCGTTTTGCATGGTCGTTCTCGCCAGATCGTACGATTGAAATGGATGAAACTTCCAGCAAATACCGATTCTCGAATCAATTCCTCGAGGCCACCCAATCAATGCAGAACTTCAGAATGGACCTAGAATTTTTTTAAGTTTATCCAACAAGTTTTGATGATATGAGAGTCCTATCGGAGCCTTAGACAAAGGCAAACCGACTATTTCAATGCCTATTTTCCTGATGGACTCAACGCCGGAAGGTTCGCAGGCTACTCCGGCTACACTTATCTATGTATAATTAGTTACAACTTGTCTTTGTACCTCGCTGATCAAGGGCTGGCTTATGGATAACGCAAGTAGTTACTTAGTGCGCACTGGACATCCTTGGTAAATTCGCAATAGTCATGCTCCATCAGACTAAACTCCTTGTAACTCACTTGGAAAGCGCATATAGATACTCGGATATCGTATATCGAGCTTCTCGCCATTACACAGTGCAGACTGTGGCGACTGTAGCCTGGTCGTTGGATTGAAACCTTACCAGGGCCAATCAGAAACGTGCCGTATCAAGGCAGAAATTTAGAGTCAGTTCCATACTCATTTAGACCGCTTTCAAGTCCTGGACTCCTTCTCTGAAAGACTCCATGAATGCGATTACGGAACCAGCGCAGTAGCGGCCGTAGAGTGATCAAACTACCAGCAGTGATTCCTAGCCCAACCTCGAGAATGGAGGTCAAAGCAATACTGCTTGTCGCATCTGTTATTCATTAGATCTCTGCTGGGGCTCAAAGCCACGGTAGTCGAACTCACTTACACAGAAAGCCGGCTCCTTTGGTTCCAGGCATCTCATGGATATAGGGGATGCGGGCTATAACGGCCGCACCTGAACTACAAAAGCACTTAGTAAGTACGGTTCCTCGAGTCGTGTGAACATACAGGCATCCCATGCTAAGAATGGCCATTGCTGCCAGTTTCGTCCCTCGATGCACGTGAAGGTCCTTGAGAAGATATATAGGAAACAATCCAAGAGTGAGGTCGCATAGACATGCGGACCCGCTGTATAAGTATGCCATAGCCAGGATATACCTGATTTGTAGGCAGCCGCCGGGTTCGCTAGGATGCCAGAATTTTCGGATCGGTTGACATTGCAGGGTAAGAACAAGCCAGAAGGCAGCCCCAATCAGCCCAGCTAGAGTAATCACAGTGTACATGACCGCCGAATCACGACGTCGACTGGTTATTCGGAGGGTAGTCAATGCGATCGAGATCCTCGCGATGGTCGCCACCCAGACATAGGCTGCCTGGCTGAGCCACCACCACTAGTTAATATGTCATCAGGGCCGGCAGTTTTCAGGGGTTTGGCTACCAGGATGGAAACAGTACCAAAAGAGGTGCCTCGATCTCAGCCGATCTAGCCAGTTCAGCAGGCCTTTTACCGATTCCTGTTACGGCGCCAGCCATGGCGCATACAGAAAACCAGATATTGAGCACCTGCTGAAAATCAGGATGTTGATAAATTATCATCGAGAAGAATATCTCACCATCGCTAAAACCATCAAGCTATCATCCCATCCTGGGGACTTTATGAGCCTCAAGCGCACGAAGCACCGGAGAAGCACAGCTGTACAGGAAAGGACCAGGCATATAATCGCAACGAGGAATAATGACTTGGCGCGGTTTTCCAGGCCCATAACTACTCGAACAGTGCAAACTTTATTCGAGCAAGGTGCCCCTAGCAGACGTCGGGCAGCGGCATGACTGTCTCGTTGCAAGATATAATATTGAAGGTCACCCGAGCTTAGTTGGGCGAGCGTGTCTCTCCTTACGTAATTAGTTTAGCGTCTCGGGAATTGCTAGGCTAACTATTCGTGCGCTAGTCTGACTTGGGTATTTGCAGATCCCGGTAAGCGTGGCTTTGACAGAATTTGAGTTCCGGGTGGGATAGCCGGGAACTGTAAGATGTGAGTTAGACGAACCACAGCCGTTGCAGACTTGAATTGTGCTGTTTGTGCTCTTGGCGCGTCATCGCATGTTGTAAAATATGTAAGCACTAGGCCTGGACGCGCTGTTGAAGCTGACTGATATGAAAGCTTTCATTTAGAGTCGGGCAATTCGGCAACGATATTGTTTTTGGTTGTCTCCGGGCTGGCAGAATATAAATTCAGGGAATCCGGTATCAAATAGAGAGCAAATACTATAGTGAATTCGTTTCTATAATGCGAACACCTTACAGTGGGGGTAATTCCCTCCTGGCCTTTGCCGCTTTCGCTCTTATATCCACCGCCGCAGCCCTAACAGCGACGGCAACAGGAACGAGTACCTCTTTGCCAACTCTCAGTCCTGTTCACTATGCTCAAACGTCTACGCTCTCTATCGAGTACTATGATTCTGCGGGTAAGAACGACACTGCTCCCGTCGCCATACTTATCCATGGATTCCCCTATTCGATAGATACCTATGTCGATGTTGTTCCAAAACTTGAGAATGAAGGATTTCGCGTCATTGTCCCGTTTCTTCGAGGATTTGGAAATACAACATTCCTGTCCACGACCACACTACGCAGTGCAGAACAAGCTGCATTGGGCAAAGACGTTATCGACCTGATGGACGCTCTTAAAATCGAGAAGGCCATCTTTGCAGGTTACGATTGGGGAACGGTTGTGGTCAATGTTGCGGCCGCGTTGTGGCCGGACAGATGCTCAGGAATGGTCGCAGCAAACTCCTATCTCATTCAAAACCGACAGACCGCCTGGAATGTTGCTCCTGCCGGCTCGTACCCTGTTAAATGGTACTATTACGTTTTTCTCACTCCTCCCGGGTACAGCTCACTAGCCAGCGACACGAAAGGCTGGGCCGAAGTACTCTGGTCAAAAAATAGCCCAAACTGGACTTACACCGAAGGGCAACTAGATGCTGCATCCCTGGCCTTCCATAATCCAGACTACGTCAATATTGCAACCAACTTCTATCGCAATCGTCTACTTTATGCTCCGGGGGATCCTAAGTATGCCGAGCTAGCAAATGCGCTAGATAAGCAGCCTGTTATCACTGTGCCATCTGTCACACTGGATCCGGATCAAGCTGTCGTGTTTCCGGCTACGAATGGTAGTACCACGGCAAAGTATTTCTCAGGGCCGAGGAATCATCACATTGTGAGGGGCTGTGGCGAGAATATACCACTGGAAAGACCCGATGTTTTCGCGAATGCAGTACTGGAAGTGGCACAGCTGAACAAAGGACGCTAGAAGCGTCCGTAATGTAATGCTTTCAGAATTCGGCGTTGGTTTAGACCGAAATTTAAGATAGAAAGAATCACTTGCTTTTAATTTACTACCCAAAAGATAGTTTTCAATAAATGTACATGACTGGCATGAAAGGGCGCTGGGCAGCCTAAAGAAGTCAAGATTCAAAAATATAGAGCAGCCAGGTTTCGCATGCGGTTAACCCGAGTTTAGCTAGGAAGGCACTACGGTGCGTGCAGCTGTTGAAGTTGATTCTTGGCTCATCAGCTCTTCCATTTCCGTCATTCCGGCATGAATGAGTCATTAGCCGCGTGTTATAAGAGGTGTTAAAAGAGGCTTTCAAAGAGGTGTTAAAAGAAAGGGGTTGAATGTGATTTAGCAGAGACATTTCGACCAATGCAATTTCGGTCATCTTCAATAAAATCTTCCATCATGTTGAATGACAATAAGCAAAATGTTTCCCAGAGGAAGAAGAAGTAAATACACAGTCAAATTTTTGACTTGACATAATATACAGTCAATTAAGCTGCCAAGGTGATGCCCTCTTTCTCACCTTCGACATAAGTCTTGGCTGTATGGGACGACAACCCAGTCTAACAGGTTTTTGACTCTTCAGGCTGGGACTTCCTGCGTAGAGCAGTGAATTCCTCCGCCCAAAAATGGCAACTGATCAAGGCGCACAGTCTTCACCCGACGATCCCTGTACAAATCACGAATGATGCTCAAGGCCGCCGCGTCAGCCTTCTTGTCCCCAAATTGTGGGAAGATGACACCACCATTCACGAGTAACCAGTTGACATAACTCAATGAAGGATAATCCTCTTTTTCACTTTCGATGTCCTTCAGAGTTCGTCTGTCCAATCCAAGCGAGTACAAATCGGCCTCGACCATTTCGATGACCTCAAGACGTCGGTCATGAGCATCGATAGTGTTAGAGAGAATGGAATGGGCGTCCTTGAACACTTGAGAAAAATTGGTGTCATCGAGATTGTTCGGTCTACTAATGACGACCTTTCCAGGCGCAATGAACCGCGCAAGCCCATCGACATGACCATCAGTGATATCGCCACCCTTGACACCAGGAAGCCATATGATCTTTGTGACACCAAGCGTTCGCCGCAATTCTCCCTCGATCTGTTGTTGGCTCCTTCCTGGATTGCGGTTCTCGTTGATAATTGAGCTGTCGGTGATTAAAAGGGTACCTTCTCCATCAGTCTCGAGTGAGCCGCCCTCGGTCACCAGCCAGGTAGAAACTCGAGTGAGGTCCATGTTGTCGCAGACTTGAGAAGCAAGGGATTCGGAGGCATTGACCGGAAACTTATTCCCCCAACCGTTGAAGTTGTAATCAACTCCAGCAAGGTGGCATCCATCAAAGACAAAAGTCGGTGCCATGTCGCGCATCCAAAGATCAAGCTTGGGGTAGTCATGAACAGGCTGAATGAAGATTTCGTTTTTATTATGTTGAAACCGTTTCTTTGACTCGTGGAGGCGGTCCGGGGTGACCAGCAAAGTGACTTGCTCAAACTCAGCAACCGCCTCGGCAATGGCTGAAATGTCCCGAGTAGCATCCGCCAGATCGCGACCCCCGCCCTTGTCCGCGTAGGCGTCGTTCTCGATCGATGGCCAGGCCATAATGACCTCGTCGTGACGGTCCCATTCCGCCGGGCGGTGCATGGCGGATGCGAAAAAGGCCTGAAGCTGAAGGATAGCAACGAAGAAAAGTTTCGCGGCCATACAAGCGATTACCGAGGATTCTCAAAGTGTATGATAAGAATTGAACCGATAGTTCTCAAGGGTTTTAATACCTCAGGTCTTTCGCCGAGAACGGATCTGTAAAAGGTTGAAGCTGCTGCCTATGCCATAGCAGTGCACCGTGGTCCGTCAATTAACTAATAAGCTTGGCGATATGCCAGATACGTTCGGTTAGAGATGAAGAATGATCGAGAGTTAGCGAATGTAACGCCACAGCCCCTGGCAAAACCTTACTTCAGCTGCAAAACCAGTGCCCCTTTCTCTTCATTTCTCCATATTGTCGCCTGTGGCTAACTTTGGAACTAATCATCAGGAACCACGGTTTCATAACACCCTATGAACTCGCAGAAGAAGTATTATAAGCTCAAAGGTCGTGTGTATGTCTTCCATAACTAGCTGCGCCACTAGAACTCGGGGTCCAACTGACGGACAGTACGTCACTTCAATTTCCATTGGTTCCTGATCTAGATGCGTCTGAATAGATGATGTCTATACAGGCTCGCTACAAGATTTTGAGTAGTTGCGAAGAAGCACCCTGACCGATATGTACATAATGTATATTCTCATTGCCATCGGTTCTTATCAGTACGACAGACGGCTCAGTGTGCCTGCAATGATACCTTATCACGTATAGATGCTCATTGATTTGACGGGCGGTGTTGATGCAAGAGCCACGGTTAAAATATAATGTTATCTTGGCAACCGAGGCAATCCCATGTGGGATAGCTAAGGCAGCCCAGATTGGGATCGTTAGGGGATCAATCCGTGGCCTCTGTACGAAATGAATCTGGATGCATTAGGCTCTCACATTTCGTATTCATCAGGCAGGACCAACAGAATCACAGGTACTAGCCACACATGAGCCACATGCCGATCAACTGTATGCGTCATTGGTGGGGATCGCTTAGTCGCGGCCTTACATGTCTTGGCGGGAAGCAATCCATCAGGGACCGTGGTCTTGCAAGGAATTGTGGAGATGAGCGATAGTCTTGTGCACAATGTATCTGCCTGGCTCAATAGCATATCGGTGGCTGTGTACAGTAACGTCCCAGGTTGAACCCTGAGGAATCAACCATACACATGTCGTATCGTTCAGTCGAGACCAAAGGAGTTATTACCGTTTGTGTCGGGCTTACGATATGTTGACATGAGCTCTTTAACGATTTTACTGATGAATATATCGCTAAGGATTGAATCAGATTCTAGGAGTCCTAAATACGCCGCTTTCGTAATAAATCAAATCTCTGATTCGTCGACCTTGATTAGCATTTCCTATGAGCGAAGTACATCTCTTGCAATAGGCAGCAGAATACTTAGAAAGCGGAGGCAATCTCAGGCAATAGATAGGAGTTCTGAGTCCTACATAAAAATTAATTCAATTCAGATCGACATTGCACTTCTGATATAATGGCTGGGACAGGGTAATCAACTATTTTCAATTGAAAAGAAGTATAGGAAGACGTAACAATAATGAACCTTGGTAAATAAGCATTTTTGAATTGATGGCACACCCTACTGAGCACATAGCTAGACGACGTCGGGTCCCAAAAGCAAATCTGGGTGTGGCACTTGTAAGTACGCATGACTTTCCTCTTCAGGCTTCGTCTGATATGCACTAACCTCACAGTGATATGTTTCGTCATGAGCGTTGTGACGAAGCAAAGGCTCTCTATGGTATCTGTCGCACAATGGAGCGTATTTGTGATGGATATATTGATACCTCAACTGGCCAGCAGTTCGAGAATGGCCGCAACTCATCCTCTCTTGGTCTTACAATTTGTAGCCTGTTCTTGCAAGAAGTCGAAGCTCAAGGATTTCATTCCTATATTATGGGATCCATCGCAAAGCATTCACCAGGTGTATTTCAGAGCTTTGAAAAAGAATGTGATACACTCTAGCTTTGGCCTTTATCCCTTATTAGATCCTCAATCCGTAGAGCGAGTTGCAGCAGTCTTGCCCAGTCCTATCTCGACATAGCCATCTCCCTCCTTCTCCATGCCCATATTTGTCATTTCATGCTGCTCCCGATCTCTTCTCTTCCGATCCAGTTTCTTCCTTGTGATGAAGCTCCATAGATAGGCTCCATCAACAACTTCATGTCCACCGTCTTTTCGAATCCACACATTTCCAAGGAACGTGGTTAGCAAAACTGACAGCCACATCACAGGCACCATCGCAATGAAAGCCCACATAATGCCACGCTGCGGATCCACCTGGTCTAATCCGCTCTTATTAGTAAATACCGTTGACATTATAGTCAGTCCCACCAGGCCTCCAAATGGAACAGCGAATGACACTAAACATGAAATCTGAGCCGTCATTGTAGGGAAATATGCCAGTCCGTGTAGTGAGGCTGGGTTCATTCGTATTCCAACGCCGTGGCCGACAAGTGCCATCATGCCGTAGATGAGGCTGGTTTTTCCGGCGTGGACGGCCCAGGCTAGGACAGTGATACCGACTGATGAGGTGATACTGCCTAAGAGGAGGGCTGGGAGTGTCTGACGTGGCCAGACGTTGGATGAGAACATGGCCATGTAGGCACCGACTATAGAGCATTTGCGATTAGTCCAGGTTGTTGATTAGTATCGTCTAGAAAGAGAGCACAACTCACCACCTATGCCAGGCAAGAAAAAGAGTAGTGAGATTCCGGCATTGCTTGAGCTTCGCTTTTCCACGAGCGCAAAGTACAAAACCATGAAATACATCACCGCAAACTCGGCAACACCAATAGAGAAATTGACGAGGAATAATAGGCCAACGTCCCGCTGGGATAACACGTCCCAAGGAATCATCGCCTTTTGTTTCGGTAAAGCACGAGCCATCAGAGATCCAGGCACCATGCAGCGCTCATATACAACCCAGGCAATAGCTAAGATCCCACCGATGATAATTGGGGCGAGCACAGCTGCTGATTTCCAGGAGTAATTGCCACCAGCCCAAGTCAAGGCCAGAATCAGCAACCCAAAACCCCAGAGGAAAAGTAACTGCCCACCATAGTCTATGGTCAACAGGCGAGCGATGAAGCGACGAGGGCCTGTCGACATGTCACGGCCTTCGAGTTGCGGGAGTTGCTGTGGACCCTGTAGGTCTCTTCGAAGAACAAGAGTGACCACGATCATGGCTACAACGCCGATGGGCAGATTGATGGCGAAGCACCATCGCCACGAAGTGGTAGTCAGGTAGCCGCCGATGACGGGTCCAACGCTGAATCCGACTCCGGAGACGAGGGCGAAGATAGTCCAGTTGAGTGCGTACTCTGAAAGCGAGATTCGGTCGGCCAGAATTGTGCGGATAGAGATATTGACTCCCGCGGCACCCACGCCTTGCAGGGCACGGCCGAGAAGGAGAACGCTGAAGGTGGATGTCGGGGCACCGGTACAGATCGCCGAGCCAACGATCATGACAAGAATGGCAGCTTGGAGTGTATGGTGTCTGCCGAATAAGTCGGCGAGCTGGGCCCAGAAGAATAGGAAGGCAGCAGAGGTCAGATTGAACGAGGAAATGATCCAGTTTAGTTGGCTGATCTGATCTATAGGTGGTAAAAAGGTTAGTTGTTATAATTTGAACATCGATCGCTTTACTTACCAAAATCCTCTGCAATATAAGGAAGTGCCGATGCAATAATGGTTGTATCCAAAGACTGAAGACAGAATGGTGCAAAGAGGCCCAGAATAATTTTCCATCGGTAAGTACGTCGTCGTTTCTTCTCAGCGGCTTCATCTGGTGAAATAGTCTTTTTCTCATTCGGGATCACGGAGGTAGTGGGCTCCGAGGTTGCATTGTTGTCAATACTAGCCGTCACTGACTGTGGTGTGTCGAGCCTTTTCCTCTCATTGTGCTTCTTGATCTTTTTGTATATCAGAATCATGGTGCCTGTGAAATACACGCCAAGGTAACTATGAGATTGAGACCACTGCGTCTGTGAGATAACCTGACGAAAATTTGGAGCGCTGCTCACATCTTTATATTTGTGTACCACTTTAAGAAATCTCACCCTGCAATACGAGATACCATATCGAGCGTAGACGTGACCCTGAGAAAGCGTGCCCTGGAATACGAGTTTACCAAATCAAGCATAGTCCTGGCCCTTAGACTAGGCAGAGAGTGGGGCTTGCAGAACAAAGTCGTGAAATCTGACCCAAATAAGGCTAGCGCAGCTAATAACGGGGCGAAGCGCCCGCCAAGGCTTTTTCGCAACGCTTGCCCAAAAAGGCTGGCTTAATGCCTTGCGAATTTTTGGAAGCTGTGACGTCGCCTTCTGCGGACTACTAGATATGCTTAAACCAAACGCGGTGCGCAGCGCGAGATATCTATCAGGATACATGCTCTATGTCGGTGGGCGACCGGCGCGACAAGAATCTGGATTTCTGCCTAAATTCATTTCCAGATCTCGCAGAGGCGTCTAATTTGGATAAAGTCTTCCTCTAGCAAGCCTACTGCAAAATAATTAAGTCCAGTTTGCGAAGAATGCAACTAGTCAAGTATTGAGGCTGTCGATTGGTAGTTTAACAGATTTGAGGATCATTAACCTTGCTTTGCCTCTAATGCAGTGGCGCTAAATTGATTGGCCCGAGATGAGTGTCACATTTAGTTCGTAGCCCTTTTGTGTTTCGCTGAAGCCCACCACGGCCAGTAGCCGCGATATTCTGAGGCTATTGAACCAATGATATAATTAAATGATGCTGAGTGGGAGATTGAAGATTTCATTGAGTTGGCCGGACTGATTACTGGATACCTATTGCAAAAATCAAAACCCAAGCAGCCGATTGTAACTCACTGGTCACTGCTACCCCCGCGCCCGTCCAACAAATATATCACGAGGCTTCTAACATTAAAACCACCAAGTCCAATCCTCTATCTGCCACTCTTAGATGAGCACTTCATAACTTCAAAATCTGATCGTGCATCTTGACTTCAAGCGTTGATAGCAGTAGCTATCGTTGTAAATAATCATTCAACCAAAATTGAAAGATGGTTATGGTCGTTCAGCTATCAAATCAAGTTTAGTGCCAGTGTCCGGGTTGGGTGGGTTCTACATTGATGAAATCTCTGCAGATCCATATTTCCATATTTTTGTCACCGTTCAACAAGCTCATCCGAATTGGTGTAGTGGCTAACATCGTCGTCTCTCACACGACAGCCAGGGGTTCGATTCCCCTATTCGGAGATATCTTTTTGTAATTTTTCTTTGTCTTTGTCGCCGGGAGCTCACACGTGCCCAACAGCTTACCAAGTTATGCCAAATAACTAATGGATTGAGCTGTCAGTGGGCAGCGAATGATGAGTACCCTCTAGGCATACATGCTGTGGCAAGCTCGTTACCTACACCTTTAGTACTTCCCAATGGAGGTACCAAGGTAGGATCCATACATTCTACCTGCGTTACGGAACTTGCGTCTACCAAAAATGCTCAAGAATGTCTATTTTTTCTGCAACAAGGGAATAACAACAAAAGGAAGATGATTACATGAAAGGCTACATGTAGTTTGCTAGCCAAGCTAGACTAAAATCCAAAAAGTGGTACATGGAGGGGGGGGGGGGGGGTTTGGAGGATATCGAATCACAACACTGCGTCACCAAATATAAGTCTAGAAGTGGATGGGCTTAGAGTAGGTGGCCATGGCAGCCTCCTTGAAAGCCTCGGAGAGGGTAGGGTGAGCGTGGCACGTCCGGGCAACGTCCTCGCTGGAGGCACCGTACTCGATGGCGAGGGTGGCCTCGGCGATCATCTCACCGGCACCGGGGCCGATGATGTGGACACCGAGAATGCGGTCGGTCTCGGCATCAGCAATGAACTTGACGACACCTTCGGTGTCGAGGTTGGTCTTGGCGCGGGAGTTGGCGCTGAAGGGGAAAGAGCCGACGTTGTACTTAACACCGGAGGCCTTGACCTCGGCCTCGTTCTGGCCGACCCAGGCAACCTCGGGGTGGGTGTACATGACGCTGGGGATGGCAGCGTAGTTGACGTGGCCGTGGCCCTTCTTGATGTACTCGATAGCGGCGACGGCCTCCTCCTCGGCCTTGTGGGCCAGCATGGGGCCAAAGGTAACGTCACCGACGACACGGATGTGGGGGACCTTGGTGCGGTACTCCTGGTCAATGACAAGACGGCCGCGGTCGTCCTTGTCGATGCCGATGTTCTCGAGACCGAGACCCTCGGTGTAGGGGCGACGGCCAATGGCGACCAGGACGACATCAGCGTCCAGAGTCTCCTCCTTGCCACCCTTGGCGGCCTCGACGTTCAGAGAGACGAGAGCACCGCTGTCGTCACCCTTGACAACCTTGGTGCCGGTCTTGAACTTGATGCCCTGCTTGGCCAGGATCTTCTGGGCCTGCTTGGCGATCTCGGCGTCCATACCAGGACCGCCGATCTGGCCAAGGAACTCAACGACGGTAACCTCAGCACCGAGACGGGACCAAACGGAGGCCTATAGAAAGAGCACAAGAGGTCAGTAGTCATGTTCTCGTAATGACTGAGCAAAGAAATAAGACAACGTACCATCTCCAGACCAATGATACCACCACCGATAACGATCATCTTCTTGGGAACCTCCTGCAGGGCAAGAGCGCCAGTGCTGGTGATGATGCGCTTCTCATCGATGTTCAGGCCGGGGAAGGGGGTAGCCTCGGAACCGGTGGCAATCAGAATGTTCTTGCCGCGGATGGTCTGCTCACCACCATCAAGCAGGTCGACCTTGACAGTGTTGGCATCAACGAAGGAACCGGCACCCTTGATGTAGTCGACACCGTTCTTCTTCAGCAGGAACTCGACACCCTTGGTGAGACCCTCGACGGACTGGTCCTTGGCCTTGAGCATCTGGGCGAGGTTGAGCTTGACATCACCGACCTCGATACCGCGCTTCTTGGTATCGTGGAGAATCTGGTGGTAGAGGTGGGAGTTGTTGAGGAGGGACTTGGAGGGAATGCAGCCAACGTTTAAGCAAGTACCACCGAGGGTTCCGCGCTTCTCGATACACGCGGTCTAATCCAAGATGACCAAAGGTTAGTAAATCGACGTGTCAAAGCTCTGGCTCTGTCGGAAAGGTCGCCGGAACTTCTCCGCAGGCCTTCCCTTCGGGACGGATTGTAAACGTACCTTGAGACCCTCCTGACCGGCCTTGATAGCGGCAACGTAACCGGCGACACCACCACCGATGATGACCAGATCGTGTTCGGCTGTTGCAAACCCGGTGAGACCGGCAAAGTTAGCGATGGCAAAAACCTAGGAGCGCGGAAAACCAGGTCTGGCTAGTTCGCGATAGCACTCCAGTCAAGTCAAGAACTCACCGGCATCAGAGGCGTAACCACGTTTTGAGCGGCCAATGAAGACCATAGGGGGAGTGATGAAGGTCGAAGGGACAGCCTTCGGGCCGGCAGCGCGGAGCGCAGCCCGCGGCGTAGCCCGGGGCATAACGGTGCGGAACATGGCGATTGAAAAGCGTAGACCAGAGGGGAAAGATCGCAAGAGCCGTTTAATCCTCCAAGATGAACGGCTTGGAGAGAGGGGTGAGGACGGGGTTTGGAGGGAAGAGGTGGCTTAAAGGTACGGGAAAGGTGAGGACTGAGCTTTGCGGTATTTTGAGATTCGCCGTCGCGGTTATGTAAGCGGCGCTCGGGTCGAGTCGGTAAGGCGCCGTCTTTACCGGTTGGTGATGCCGATTCAACTGAGCAATTGTTGGGATTTTGATTGGGGAGACCAATGCGCTGAAGATTAGAGTTGGCTGTGAGTAATTTACATGTTCTCTGTCTAGATCTATCGCTAGAATTACCAGAAAATCTCTGCGATATCAATCTTTTATATACCTGAGCTGCTTAAAGGGGGTTCGGGAAAATCCCAAAGAACTTTTCCGCCCTCCACCCGCCCGGCTAGACCTTTCGCTCCTCCGGGGAAAGGAGCCTTTGTGACTCCCGTCGCTATTTAGAGTTAGTTCGCCAGAGATGATACCCCAGACTGATCCCCAATGCCCGCGGGCTCGAGATCGGTGGGTTCAGGTTTACCGGGGGCATCCGCCTCCGCTTCCCGGCTATACGCGGCCATCCTGTTAAGGATCACCCTTTTGTGAGAAACCAGAGCTGTACCCATATCATTTATGTCCAGCACTAGTATATGGGCATATATCACTTTGATACTGGGACCTATATACACTTTGGATCTGGTCGGCATTATTATCTCCCCGCCGATGGCCATTCCCATCTTGAGTAATCATTTATATAGCGTATTGCGATCGGAAGCTATGACGACCAAACGAGTTCACTTACAATTTGACTGCTGAAAAAGAAAGCAAGTTCTCTCCAATCCCTTTCTTTTCTAATTGAATTGATGGATGTTCAAGATTCGATGTACCCTGCCACGTTTCAGCCCCTCCATCGCCCACCTTGCAGAATGGAGAGCACCGATGCGGTTTCAGCGGGTAATTTCAGGGCCATGCCTATAGTTGGAGAGAACGACCAGGTCATTGATGTTATCAAACTATTAAGCTTCAATTAATATTATTTCCATATAGCCAAGATCCAACCAAGCACTGCAACTGTTGGCTTTCCTCCCAAGTCCGACGAACGGGAATCCTCCGATGCCGCCTCTTCTCGTACTCTGTAGCTTGGGAAAGCTAACAACTCCCCTTGTGAGTAGCTTAGCTACCAGACGCGGTCCGTTTCCCTCCCGTTGACCGAACCCAAACCTAGATTTGTTCCTGAAGTCATCATTTGATTGATCGATTCTGAAATACTCATCAGAAGATGCCTAACAAGCCTTGGGGGCTGTCAGCATTGGGGCTTGGTCCGTTCCCGTGTCTGAGGATCGGCGCTCCGTGTCGGTGCTCCGTGTCGCCGGTCATAATAAAATCGTCAGCATGGTGAATACTATATAAGAAGACAATTATCTTGCGTAGATAGCATTCGATTTCCATTGACAAACAAGTCTCGATCGATATCAAGAACATCATACGCTCAATTATCAAAGTTTCGCCCAACATGTCTACCATTGCTTCATCTTTCATTAAAGGAATGAAGGGCCGCCGGTCCCTCTATGCCCTGACCAATGAATTCACAATTTCAGATGACCGGATTGAAGAGTTGATCTCTGAGGTTATCAAGCATACTCCCAGTCCTTTCAACAGCCAAACTGCTCGTCTGCTGGTTCTCCTTAAGGAGGAGCATGAGAGACTGTGGGATGTCGCACTCGAGATTGCTACTGCGACTGTCCCTGCCGAACAACTTGAGAAATTATATCAACCTCGCATTGCTGGCTTTCGTGCGGGTTATGGAACAGTAAGTGCATGAAGAAGTCGACAGGAATCTTGCGGTCAGATTCTAACATATATTCTAATCAGGTATTGTTCTACGAGGACCCATCTCCTCTAAAGCCTCTTGAGGAGAAATGGCCCATGCTGATTGACAAATTCCCCGAGTGTACGCCATCCCGACTCACTATTTGACTTACACGCCTAGGTTCCCAGCTGATATAAATTCATAGGGTCCAACCATTCGAGTGGCATGCATCAGTTTGCTCGTAGGTTACCACTCTTAGTGTTTGCTGATATGACATTGATGCTAATTTTGCCGTGCTATAGTTTGGACACTCCTAGAAGCCGAGGGATTCGGTTGTAACCTACAGCATTACAGCCCAATGATTGATGCACGAGTCTCTGAGCAATGGAAAATTCCCCTTGACTGGAGTTTAAAGGCCCAACTGGTGTTTGGTAAGCCAACGGGGGGTCCGCGCGAGAAGACCTTTGAGCCACTCGAGAAGCGAGTGTTCATACACGGCAAATAGAGGAGGAATCAACAATTAGATAGAGGATACATGAATCTAATAACGATTTGATTTAGTTATCTGCCGAGTAAATCTTAAGCTGAGTCCGCTGAGCTAGTCATAGGAGTATATATAGCCATTACCTTTCTCCGCTACACTTGGTAGCGCTCCTAATTTCAACAGCAAGATACCTCACGCCCGGGATGCTTTACCGTTACTGTGCCTGGCTCTTCATTGTAACTCAGAACAGCAAGAATATGGGAGATCTATGATGGAATCACTTGTAAATCAAAGCTGCGAAGAGATAGGCTCACTCAGGTCTCCCCCGGCAACTACGTTGTCCTGGATTCAAACCGGGGCAACGAGGCCCCAGACCAATGATGATGCTCTTCCATATGAGATCTAGGCAACTGATACCTTCTGGGTACATTTTCGAAATCACCACACCGGATCCTGTGACGATATCCCTGCCATCATTTAACTTGCTTGAGCTGACGTGGCACTTGTCGCGAATTGCGGCTATGCAAAGAGGAGCGGAGGATGAAGAGAGCGATTTTGAGTCGGACATTGACTCTGCGAAAGTGCCATCGCGCGCTCACGGTCTCCGGAGAAGGCAATCGGTCCAGTACTGGAAAATATGCCAATCCGGTCTAGAACCCGATCCCTGTCACCGGAGAAATCGCAGCAGGGATCTCTACATTGCAGCAGGGATCTCCGCTGTTCGAGGCCTCAAGCTTGGAGGAGAATCACTGAAAGGTGAAGTTCAAGTTAGCTTGACTGATATGCGCGCTCCACGTCTGCTCATAAGTTTGATTGAGAGTAAGATGAAACATTTCGCTTTTGATTATCTTTCATTGTTCACTCACTTCTTGATGAGTCCTTACACACACCCCGAATATTATCATAAAACATTAATCAAAGCACCTCCCCTTTCCCCCGAAGATCTAAATCCCTAAACTCTCGAAAACAAGTCCCCTCCGCCTTCCCTGCCCCATCAAACTCCACCCCTTCCTCCTTTAACCTCACCTTCTTCTCCTCCTGAAACCCTCCGCCAGCGACGTGCTTACTAACTCTCCACTCGCCTTTATAACCGCCCAACGAGCCATTCGCCGCCAACACGCGATGACAGGGTACATCGGGGGCAAACGGGTTCGTGCGCATCGCGTTACCGACAGCTCGCGCGCTAGAATCGAGATATGTTGCTAGCGCGGAGTAAGTGGTCCAGCGGCCGGGGGGCACGGATAGGAGGACACGATAGACGCGTCGGCGGTAGGGGGTGAGTGTTGGGTGGAGGGAGATGCGGCGGAGGGATTTTTGGAGGGTTGGAGAGATCGTTGCCGGTGAGTTTGTGGTGGCGGTGGAAGTGGAAGTGGATTTAGATTTAGGGCTGGGGTCGAGGTTAACTTTTGTGAGGGTTGGCGTGGTTTCTGTGGAGATGGTGGATAAGGTTGCCATTTTGTAGGCGACTCTTGTAGAGTTGGTGCTGTTGAGTTGAAGCTTTGGCTATGTCCCTTGGAGTTGGTCAGCTTATTGTTGGAGGGGATGTTCCCTAGGTAGACGCGTCGAGACGCGTCGAGCGCGACTGAACTTACGGAGTGAAATGTGCGGCAGCCTTGAAATATTAGTCGGGTTGCTTGGAGAACGTGGAGAATCGGAGAATACTAAAGTTTTAGGACTCTATTTATGTATCTGGCGAGGCGAGAGCGAGGATGTAAGTTGTTTTCAATGTGACCAATCAGAGCGCCGGAGGCTAACTACGGGGGACGAGTATGACTCTTTTCTTCGTATAAAGAACTACGGAATCAAATTGACCTATGGAGAAGCGAGCCTCTAAATATGACATCACTTTCATTTCTGGCATGACTAGTCGCAACTCTAAGCTATTTCTAGCTACAGAGCAGTTCACCATTATACTTCAAACTTCACTTATGTGGAGAGCATCGATCATTCATCTCCCATTCATCAAGGATGATCCACATGCTCAGCAGCAGTGGCGTTCTCAATTTTAGCCGCTGTCACCGCATCCACGGGGGTCACCTTGCCAGTCTCGGGATCCACGACACTATTCTTGCGACTAGTAATGTCCATCATCCCGGGATTCTCGGCCTTGAGGCGGGCGAATGTCTTCTCCGCATCCCAGGTCCAGGGAGTCTTGGCCGCGAAGAGAAGGTCCATGTCTTCTAGGGTGCGCTGGTTACTTTCGGGATACAGAGCCCACACCATAGGAATGGTGATCACGTTGCTGGCTGCGAAGACGTAGAGGGTCTTTTCGCCGATAGAATCGAACATGACCGGGCAGAGCAGAGTCTGGAAAGGTTTATGTTAGTATCACCATACTTTGACCGCTTGTGAAGACTACAAGTCAAATTACTTACCAGCCATCCATTGCCAATGCTCCATCCAACTACACCCCAAGCATTGCCGCGGGCGCGCACTGCCAACGGGAAAATCTCAGCCGGATATAGCCATGGCACGGTAAGCCAGGTAGCACCAAAGGTCGAGGTAAAGATGAAGATCATCGAGGCGGCCGCTGCACCGTACGAAGAAGCCGAGCCCATGTTGCCATCAGCCTTAGCGTTGATGGCAAGGCGAGAAAATCCACCGGCAAGGAACATGGCGATACCCTGTACGACAGAACCCCAGTATAGAGTCCAGCGTCGTCCAATTCGATCCAGAGTAAATACACAGATGAGGGTGGCGAACTAGAAAAGACAATTCAACTCAGTCAAATCATCGAAATAGCAATGTGCAAACATACCATGTAAAAGATATTATTCAACCCACTGATCCACTGACTCTTCGTCGAGTCAAAGCCAGCAATACTGAAAATCGTCGGCGCATAAACCGTCACACCAGCAATACCAACCCATTCCTGCATGATCTGCAGCCAAATGACCAACTGCACTCTCCGACCGATGTGCAGGTCACCGGACTTCCAGCCAAACAGCATCGAGAGGTACGAGTTGCCGTGGACAACGGTCTTCTCCATCTCGGCAATGCTCTGGATGTCCTGGAACTCGGCTTCGGCGCGGACCCTATCTTCCGGGCTGCTTCCACGCAGACGTTGCAGGATGTATCGTGCTTCCTGCTCACGGCCAACCTTGACTAGCCAGCGCGGGGACTCGGGGAAGAACCAGACGGCGACGAAGAGAATCAAAAGGAAGATGATTTGGAAGGCGATGGGGAAACGCCAGCGGAATGCCGATTTACCGCCGTCGATGAAGGAGAGGCCGCTAGTAGAGAGGCAGATGTTAAGACGCTTTTCTTGTTTTCCTCGGAAATGATGATGATGGGAGACGTACAACTCGAGCCAGTAGGCCAGAACGACACCGAATATGTTCAATGTGAATTCAATAGCAATGAATTGCCCACGCGAAGTATGCTCGGCGGTCTCGGTAGCCCAGACAGGCACGATCGCATTCAAAATACCAGTACCGATGCCATTGATGAACCGCGCTGTAAACTATTAGTCAGGCACTCGGTCCTCGTCCGTTTCCTTCTCCCGTTCCTGCTTTCTCTACTTACCACAAATCATCCAATCATGATTCTGCGCCGAGCACTGCAAGCTCGCACCAACAATAGCCCAAACCGCTCCGACAGCAATGGACTTGATTCTCCCCATGCGATCACCCAACCAACCGCCGAACAGTCCACCGAATAACGTCCCCAGATAATACACCGAGACAATTCCGCCCTGTAGCAGAGAGTTGGTCACTACCGGGGTTAGTTCACCGTCCAATTCTTTCGTATATCCGAATCCCATCAGGTCAATGTAATCTTTGGCATTGTTGACGCCGGACATCATGCCTTGGTCATATCCGAAGAAGAGGATTGACAGGGCGGCGACGCAGTTGATTGCGATGAGAAGCTGGCGCTTCTCGAGTTTGTGGACAACGTTCCATGAAGGGATTTTGTCGCTCATGATGACGGTAGGGCATATGCTTTGGTATAAATTTTCATGACCCGTGCGAGTGGAGTGAATCGATCTTCCAACAAAGCAGAAGCGGTCGAGGTTACAAAGGTAAGAAAAGAACCAGATCTATAGATTCAGTTCTGGAAAGACACAAAATACCAGCCCCGCGGCCGAAATAAAGAGAATCAAAATACAGCACGTCGCGCAACATCCTGGCGGGGATCATCGCATCATTTAAACGAAGCTCGTCTCCTCACCACGGCGCAAGTCCGAGTCACAGCAGTAATTGCATGACCAGCGCGGAAACTACCCCACGAGGATCGGCCAAGAGTCACCCCAGGAACAGCAAGGAGTCGCAACTGGTCCTATCCGGTTACATTGCGGGACGGAGCGACTTGGAGTCATCGATAGGCTCGGTCCTTTCTCCATCTTCCCCACTCGTGCAGGGAACTGTCCCGGCCTTCTGTCGGCTGAGGTGGGTTTTAGGCCTTTAACCGGGTGATATCTGGACTCGAGGATACCGGAGCGGGCTCTGCGAATTTTCATTCAATTTTGTACTGGCACCTTGCTTCTTCTGCCTTGTCCGCTGTTGGCCTCCATCGTGACAGGGCCGGATAAAGTACATCTGCACGATGCCCCGACTCTGTCCGACGCGCGACCGCCCATCACTCAAGAGTCCTCTCTATTTTATACAGCCCTCAAGACGCCCTGCACTGAATCTCCCAGATCTCCAAGTCTGTGCCTCTGGCAATGCCGTCATTGAACCCCGTCGGCTAGCCTCATCGGGCCTTTTCGACGCCAACCGGCAGGGAAGGGCGCAACGGGATGAACGCGGTCCTCCAAGCCAGCCGCCGAAGAACCAATCAACACCACACGGTCGGCCTCCACTGCCTCCACACCGAGAAAACACGGAGAACAAAGTATCCCCGTGGAGAACCTCCAGACCTTCGTTCCTGTTGTGTTTGGTGCCAACCCCTCGGCAAGCCGCCTAACTCGGAGTTGATCGAATTTACGAAACATGGCGAATCAACCATGCCTGGTCAATGCAAAATACGTTCTGCAGGCCCAATGCTCTGATACATCTCGTTCTAGACTTCCATCCCTCACACCACATGGTCATGACCGGGATGGTCAGTTACTACGGAGTGCTCCAAGGATTGATCTTATGGAGTGGAGGGTGGGACATGAGGCCATCTCCAAATCGGAGTTTCGCCGAAAATCCCCGGCCTTTTATTCCCCAGTTCTGGTCCACCCGACACGGTACTTTTCTCTGGCCCAGAAAGCTGCATTTAACCGAAGTCTAGGTCCAAATTTTTTAAGAAATTGACTTCTTCCGTAAGTCAATCATGTTCCACCGACCTAACTGGTTTGCTGCCTGCCCACAATCATGCCGAAGACCAGCCGAGAGGCTCTAGCCAACCCCCCTGCTATTAAGAATCGCTCAATTGACATTGGGAGATTTTGGGAGATTTTGATACTCGTTTGCCATATCGATAGCCCAGTCCTCTACCTGTGGACCCCGGTGGTCTTTTTCGTCTTTTCTGACAATTTTATGCCGTTTAGCCTCACTACAGTGGTGATTTGATATTTAATATACGAATCTACTCACACCATGAGATAGATCTGATTAATTATCTCTGATTGAGGCAATTTTTATTGGTATAGCAGGTGCAAAGGCTTCTGTCCCTATGTTAGAACATGCATCACGTGATCAAAAATAACTCTCCTATCTCACGGGCTTCCTCCTAGGGAGAAAATCATGATGTCATCCATCAAGAAAGGCATTGAACTCTATGATTTGAGATCTCAATATTCTAATGTCACGCCTTCATTTCCCGGATGAAATTTGCAGAATCCTATAAAGGACGATATCTAAGGCCTCTTCTAAGAGATGGTACGATGAGCCAATGAGTGCTGCCTAAACAAACTCAAAAAGATAGGTCAAAGCTAACGTACTGCAAAGCAGGAGCAGGGATCGTGGCTTATATGGCTTGCCTCGCCACCAATAATCATCTTCATTCTCTCTCTTCTCTACTTCATCCTGCTTGGCAACTCCACCTCTATGCCTGATCCACCACCAGACACCTCATTCCTGATTCTCCCATGGGCGGCCATCGCCTATCTACAATCGAAGAATCGTCAATACCAAGAATGGACATACCGCCAAGCCCTGTTAAATACAATTATCAAGGTAGGCCTACACAAGTACATCTCCTTGAAACGAACGCCATCCATCTCCCTCAAGCCTGGATTTGAAAGGAAGCGGTTCGTCCTAATCGCGCCTGCGGGACCTGAGTTGTACTCGGGCATTGCGTTGGATGAGAAGACCAAACCAGAGCCTGTCGGAGGCACATGGTTCCCCAAACGCCCTTCCCTGGATTCCACTCTCCCCAAAGACCAGCACGTCGTTCTCCACCTACATGGCGGGTCCTACATATCAGGAAACGGCCGGACAGCGACCTGTGGCTTCATCGCCAAGAACTTTCTCTCATATACTCCGACCCAATACGTGCTCTGTCTTCAGTACCGACTCGCGGGATCACTGAATGGACGATTCCCCGCCCAACTGCAAGACGCCATCTCAGCGTATACCTATCTACTCCACACTCTCCACATCCCAGCCTCACAGATTATTCTCAGCGGCGATAGCGCCGGGGCTAACCTTGCCTTGGGACTTTTGCGATACATCAAACATCTCAACAATATTTTACTTCTTCCCGTGCCAAAATGCACCTGGCTATTCTCACCTTGGACTAATATTCCCGGGGCAATGGACGAAGAAGCCTGGAATAACAGCCCCAACTACAAGACCGACTGCGTTCCTGCCTCCTTTACTGCACGGGGTGCAACGCTATTCTTACAGGATCTGGAAATCACCAAGGCAGTTGAAGAGCATGTTGCTCCGATAAAGCATCCATTCGCGTTGCCGTCACCCATCCTGGTAGTCACCGGAGGGAAAGAAGTGTTATACCAGGAACATCGGGAGTTCGCCCAAATTTTCAAAGCGTTGCCGCAAAATGAATCACTGGTGGATTTATTCGTGTCCGAAACGACACCGCACGATGTATTCATGATCGACTGGATCATGGGGTTTAAGAAAGAAGCCCGAGAATGTGCTGAGAAAGCAGGAGAGTTTGCCAAGAGGCCTGGTAACCCATACAAATGCTGACATGGGTGCATTAACGCAATTAAATCCCAGGAGTCGCTGGCAGAATATGTATTTTATATGCACTAATGGAGATATGTACCAATCTTATCTGTACAGCATAGAAGGACCTCGGGAGTGATGGGAGTTTTGATTGGGTCTGTGGAAGCTTTATTCTCTGTATATTTTTCGATGACAACTTATAATAGATACTTTGTGTATGTTTCATTTCCTTTTCTCGGTGATACAGATTCCTACTCTTGTCATGCAATTTGAGAGCCGAAGAAGCTATGCTGCAATGATTCCAAATAATGCTCTCCGTCAGTGCTGAAACTCGTATCGAGTGTGTCTATTAAGAGATAGATTCACAATTGACCTAGTAAACCCGGGAGTGAAACAAAATGTTTGAAATTGGATTGCACTGCATCAAGGGCAGACGAGTGCCTGGTCTGTTTCTGAATAATGAGAGCTACCCACGAGGGTGGAGACTCGACAATCTGCAGGTGCTCTCATGGTTTCTGTTCATTCCCTCGGACTGGGTGAGTCCTCGGAACTACAGCTCGTGGGGACCGGTTATCTTCTGCCCACGTTGCGCCTAAAGGGCATACGGCTTGTTACAGCGTCAGCACAGTCTGGTTCAACTGAGGCATGAGTGGCCGTCTCATTGGTTTCAACCGTATTGAATGGCAGTAGAAAAGATGTAAAGAGTGTTGAACAATAAGAAACGTCGGCATTCAAATTCCATTTGTCTATCGAAGTCTACTATGATGAGGGTGGCCTATATTCTCCTGCTAGCCTACGTGATAGCAACTGTTAGATGTATACCTCAAATTCGACCCATCGACAGCGCAATAAACCAAGAGATGACATCTCCACTACCATCGCACGACTCCGTGAAAAGAGACACCAACACACCCTGTACCGGAAACGCCCCAAATAATCGACAAAAATGGTGCAATCACGACATCTACACCGACTACACAACCACAATCCCCGACACGGGCACTCTGCGAGAGTTCTGGTTCGACCTCACACAAGCCAAGCTCGCACCCGATGGCCGCGAGCGATGGACGCTCACCATAAACGGAACAATTCCAGGCCCAACCATCATCGTCGACTGGGGCGACACTGTGGTCGTTCACCTACGAAACAAACTCCCCTCCTCCATCTACAATGGTACCAGCCTCCATTTTCACGGAATCCGCCAACTCAACACGAACCCCATGGATGGCGCAGTCTCCATTACACAGTGCCCCATTGCACCAGGACAGACCATGACGTACCGCTGGCGAGCCACGCAGTACGGGACGACCTGGTATCATTCTCATAACGGACTTCAGACGTGGGAGGGTGCATTTGGTGGAATTATCATCAATGGGCCCGCCAGTGCGAACTACGACGAAGATAAGGGGGTGATTTTGTTAAATGATTGGGATGTCAGGACGGTGGACGAGCTTTGGGATTCCGTGCAAGCCTCCGGACCGCCCACGGTGGACAATGTGCTTATCAATGGGACGAACGTCTTTGGTGAGGATGGGATGGACCAAATAGGACGGCGATTTACGATGTCGTTCACCGAAGGCAAATACTATCGATTGAGACTGGTGAATGCGGCTTGTAATACGCATTTCAAGTTTAGTCTTGATCATCATGTTTTGAGGGTTATTGCAGCGGATTTGGTGCCTATTCAGCCGTATAAAACGACCGTACTGGATATTGCGATTGGTAGGCAGCTGCCCCAGCACTGTCAATTTGTTGATATCTTGATGACGACAATGAGTCTAACTCTTACCTCTCGAATTCGCATTCTAGGACAAAGGTACGATGTCATCGTCCACGCTAACCACTCTGCTTTGGGCAATGCCTTCTGGCTCAGAGCTACACCCCAGCTCTCCTGCTCCAAGAGCATCAATGCAGATAAAGTCCGCGGAATAATATACTACGATGACGAAAACCCTCACCCAGCAATTATTCCCAACTCCACAGCCCACAATTTCACAGACAGCTGCCGCGACGAAGACCCCTCCAACCTGATCCCCATCATCTCCCAACCCTTCCACCTCGCCCCATCAGGTTCCTTCTACAACGAAACCCTCCAAGCAACGCTACTCAAGACCAACTCTTTCTACCGGTGGCAACTCAACGGCACATCCTTCTCCCAGAACTGGACTCGGCCCAGTCTGCGATATCTGCACAATCCAAATGCAAATAACAAGTCAGCGCGGAGGTCGAGTGCAAGCTCTAGTCCTTGTTTGGACAAGATCTTCCTGCCGGCGAATAGCATTGTTACGACCGAGCCTGAGACTTGGGTCCTCATTTCGATCGAAAGTTCTCTTCCCGTTGCTCATCCTATTCACCTCCACGGCCATGATTTTCTCATTCTACATCAGGGATTGGGGCCCTATGGTGTGCCCCCTTCTACGACTGAAACTGTTCCTAGGGCTCGTGCGGCCGGCACAGTACCCAAACGCGATACAGCTTTACTCCCGGCGGGAGGATCCCTGGTATTAGCCTTCCGCACCGATAACCCGGGGGTGTGGCTACTTCATTGTCATGTTGGATGGCATCTAGAGCAGGGGTTTGCAGTGTCGATTGTTGAGCGGGGAGAGAAAGTTTGCGAGTTATTAAGTGGTCATCGTGGCAGTGATAGTAAAGGAGAGTGGGCTGAGTGGGCCCAAAGCCTGGAAAAAAATTGTCTTGTTTGGGAAAAGTATGAGAAGTATTGGCAGGGGGTAAAAAATGGGCCTGAGGTTTGAGATTGTGAGATTTTCATGAGAGTTTTTCTTGCCTCTTTTCTGTTTTCGAACTGGTTATTGCGGGGGTGAAGTTAAAGTCAAAGTTAATGACCAACCGGCAAAGTTAGAACTGGAGGTGGAAGGAATTCTAGATTCTAGACTTTCGAGCTACGGTCCGATGCACATAATCCCGGTGTACCCTTCTGGAATTAAATCTTTGCTTTTGTAGTCCAAGACAACGACACTACGGCGTCACACTACCGCAGCCTGGAAATAGAGTTTAATCAAAGATTGAGATGCAACCGGGGACTCCGTGTGCGCTTTGAAGCCGGGCCATGTCCCTGGATCCCGCACAGCAAAGTTCGAGGATCCGCAGGTTTTTAGATTCCCGTCCCATCTGGAACCGACCGCAGCATCGTGGAGCGCATTTGGCGCGGGTCCAGGTGTGGTTGCACAGGCGTCCCATCCCAATGGGGTAAACGGTACGGTAGTAGCCTATGGGAAGCCCGGTACAATAGAGGGTAGGATGGTGGACACGCACATTATTGGATGTGATGAGCGAACTAGATTTGATGAAAATTTGAGGGCTGGTAGTGCCGGGTAGGGTTGGTTGCATGCTTGGCTTGGACTAGACGGAGGACAGGGTTCTTCTAGATGGGGATATTCGCTATTGGGAGGTGGTTTGTTGATGAAAAGAGGTCTAGTGTCCCTATTAACGTATTTAGCCAGTATGATCTATCCAATACTACGAATCAATGGTAGTACTAGCACTAGCACTCTTGCAGTCGTTGAACAAAACGGAGTTACCAGTAAAGCAGGGTAGCGACCCTCGGCATTCTATGCATGAGCAGCTGAGCCTCCCGGAAGGATTCAGGTAATTTGATCGAGTGTTCTAGACTGAGAAACAAAAGCCCGTAACAAGCAACAACCGACAGATTCTCCTCATTAGACCACAAAAGCAAACATATCCAGCTCCACTTGGACTACGGCATACCCTGCCCAAGTGGCAATTACAAATGGCAGTTGCTTTTTCTCAGCCAAGGACTATTATACAGAAGTAATGGAAGAAGTTGAGCTTATGGATATGTTCATTGGTACTCGTTTCCATCGTGGAGTATAGTGCCCAAGCAGACAAAACACCGTCTAAAAATCCCTCATGACCCCATCTATTGCGTTGCCAAGCATACCTCCATTCGAATCATTGCCAAAAAACATGAGAACGTTGAAGGAACAGAAAAAAAAAGGATCTTCTATACAGAAAAGAACAGAGCAGGTGTAGACTGTAGTCTATAGAGAAATGTAAACAGAAAGACTGACGCCATGTATCGTACGACCAGCCAGCGAAGAGAGACATAATGGACAACGCCATCCGGCGAGAAACAGAAGGGTAATCGAATAAACCAAAACAAAACAAAATCGTAAGATCGTCATATGTAGTGGAGGGGTTCAATGGCCCCACCAAGTGATAAGTGAAACGGAAACTGAAAGCGAGAGCGAGTTGAACGACCTGCCAAGGCACTTAGAGTGCAGCATCCTTGGCAGACCGCTTCAGTGCTCGGCGCTTCGGCACATCCAGGTGGTGATAAGAGCGCAGGTGCTCGACCAGGTGGTCCTGGCGAGGGAAGCCGTTGTTTCCCTTGCGTGAGCAGTGCTCGACGGGGCAGTTGCGGAAGACGGGGTAGTGAACGCTCGTCTGGTGGCGCTTCAAGTCTGCGAAGCGGGTGAAAGACTTGCCGCAGTTGTCGCAGCCGAAGGGCTTTGCTGGTCTAGATGGGGAAATCGGTTAGTTGATATATAGGAGAGAGAGTTGAATAGACAAGATTGAGGGGTATAGGGGCAATGGTTTCACAGAGAGTTGAACTTACTTGGATTGAGCGGGTGGCGAGTCCGGGCCCGAGTCGTCAGAGGTGAGGGGGTAGTTGGGCATCGGCACCTCCTCGGGGACGTGGTTCCAGTTTGAGCTACCACAGGTACTTCCACAGGTTGAGCTCGCCGAACTGGGTACACTGGTGGCAATTGGATTCTCATAGACGGGGAAATCATGCATGGGAGAGTACATGTAGGGCGAGCTTGTGAAAGAGTATGCCGCATCGGGGATGACCTCGGAGACGGCAAAGGGAGTGCCAGCGGCGTCGAGATCGCACATGGCAGGTTCATAAATGGGCTGTGTAGGCCCGTAGAAGAAAAAGTCCATCCCGCCCGGAGAGGAAGAGTAGGATGAGGAGGTGGAAGAATCTGTGTAACTGAAGGGGGATTGCATGTTGTTTCTGGGGTGATTGATGTAGATGGGAGTGGAGGTGGAGGTGGATGGGGAGACGAAGGAGGAGGAGGAAGTCTAGTTTTAAATCGAAGGATGATCAGTCGAGTTTCTAGAAGAGCGGGAGAAGGCCACTAGTCGGAGACTAGAGACTAGAGACTAGAGAACTAGAGACTAGCGAGGGGAGCAGGATTGACCTACCATCGTGAGACGCTGGGGCGAATCCTTCGTGGAAGCTATGCGAGGGTGAGAACTAAAGCGGGTTTAGTTCTCTGGCCTGGTCATGATATGTGAAATAGATCGGGAGAGAATCAAAAGAAAAAAAAAAGGGGAGATAGTCTTGAGTTAATATGGAATCTCCCGGTCGTAAATAATTCTAAACAAGAATAAATCATAAAAAAAACCATGATTATGGCTGCGGCTCGAGGAAACGCTAAAGCAGATGCACGCTGTACAATCCTCCTCAACCCTCCACCCTCCCACTCACAACCAACCATCACCCATCACCCCCGACCAGCTGCTCATCCACATCCACTCTCCCCGGTCCGACACGAAGACCATCACCTGGTCTCCTCGCCAAAACCAAAGCCGGTCAACGCGGCTCACCAGCCTGTCAAAAAACAGTGAACCGACTTCTACGCCTCGTCACTGGTCCTCTCTACCTACACAGCCCCGCCCTCCGTCATTATGGAGGATCATCCTGCGGGATTTCTTCTGCAAACACAGAACGGATCCTCGAACTCGTGCATTAGCGGCTCTTTCCCATCCCAGTCCAAGTGCTGACTTCCCTGCGCCTTCTGGAAGCCTTCTAGCGTCGTGTTAGCGTCTTAGCGGACAGGTCCTGCACTCCACTTGCATTCTCGGACCCCGTGTGATTGGCGTCATCGAAAGACAAGGAAGAGGAGGGGGGGGGGGCGCGCCGGGGGAATCACTCGCAAACAAGCCACTAAGGATGAAAAGCAGGCCAACAAACTTCCTCCCTAGGCTTGCAGGACCCCCCCGTCACGAATCACGATCCAGCTCCCCGACCGCAGTGCCTCAAACCAAACTGATCAACCAATCTGAAACCCCGATAAGCTGCATCATCCTTGTTGGCGGTCAGACATGCTTGCGCTCGATCCTCCCGCCATCCACCCCCTCTCCCACCACTCATCCACTCACCATTCACCACGCTTGGCAATCGATCAGCGTTCGGTGGTTAGCGCGGTTCACAAAGGTCCCCTTCTGGAAACCTTCTAGCGTGGTCGAGAGAGGAAACCGCCCAGAAAAGAAGACTGACGGGTCGATCCCTACTTTCGGCCCCCCGTATTGCTCTTCCTTTTTTTGGGGGGTCATCGGCCAAAAGAGACCAGATCCAAAATCAGACCGCAGGCCAGAGCCAGAATGAGACCAAGCCGGCTTCGTTTCAAGTTTCCTGCGTGGCGTTGGTGATTAGTCCAGTGTCGTGCCGTCCTTTTTTCAGCAGAGACAGCCTGGTCTGCCTTGTGGGGGGGGCATTGGCTAACTAACTCTATATGCTAACCAGTCAGAGTGTACGACGGTCGAGGGGGTGGTTATGGTAAACCCAAGATCCGGAGTACAACACACACACTGGACGCTTTCCAAGTATGATTGTTTTGGCGACTCCATTCTGCTTCTTTTGCTCTCCCGGAAACTCTGTGCCGAGCGCAAACCACGGCGCCCAAACACCAAACACCAACCACCACTCGTCGCACCGTGCAAGATCCACGATCGCCCCCATCTTGGATGATCGCCGAGAGCCACAATCAGGGCAGTCCCCCCGGAAATGGGGCTGGATGATCTCTCCTCCATCCCCGACCGATGATATAATAACACCGACAATTGTAAACAAATAAATATACTCCGTACGGTAGATCCATGAAAAGACTAGCCACGCCGTGTCTGCTAGTGGCACAAGCCCCCATGCACCACTCCCAACCACGACCGGTCTCGAGTAGCATGAACTGCTCTTCCGTACTCCATACGAAAGACAATTCATTATCACAAAAAGACCTACCAATCATAACCCTCCTCAATAATGTGCATAGATTCCTCGTACATAGTCCTCCATCCTCTCCATCCAGTCTAGTCCAGCCCCCCTAACCCACCCGGCCAGCCCTGTCTCAACTTCTTCCCAATCCCATCTCCTCATTGCTTTTTTCTTCGTGTTTCTCTAATCCCGGTCCCTTCTAGAAAAAATCCCGCAACGCTAGCGTCCCCGCCCCAAGCCCATCTTGTCCATGTCCCACCATCCTCTTTGGCTGTGCACTGCACACGCTAACGCAAGTGTGCATGAAGTGCATGAATTGAGAAGCCTGAGAAGTGAGACCCGGGGAACAAGGAACGTTGTGATCCGGTCCGATTTACATTCTCCCGGACAGGGTAGGCTTGTGGGTCTTGTTTCGTAGCGATACTAAAGGATGGACTAGAGTAGAATAGGGCATGGAATGGTGGTCAGGTGGATAGCATGAGGCGGGCTTTCGTCACAGCCCCCCCCCTTCCAAGAGCCGCTAAGTGTAGATTGGAATGGTGGACTTCCTACTATGGTATAGTATTTTGTAGTGTACCTGCTTCTGTGCTGGTGCCAGTGGGTTTATGAGGTCAGTTGTTTTGTTTGGGTCTGGCGGTGGGTGAACTAAACTACTTTGTACATCTCAAGCGAGACGCCTATGCACGACCGGATGGGCAGTGGGTCTTGCTGGACTCGGGACTCGACCATAGTACCAGGACGAGAGTTTACTGTAGTACTACGTACGTACTGTATACAGTGAACTCTACACTCCTGTAGCAACGATAGTACATACCGAGCTACGACTCCGCCATGGCTTGGCCAGATCGGGGCAGTGGTGCCCCGTCCCTGGTCCTTATCTTCGTGCAGAGGACAATCTCGTAGTATTTTCCCGCAGTCTATACTTCCGGTGCACGCCTCCGCGGCTCCTCGTCCCGGGCGCGCGTGCCTGCAGGAGGACCGAGGTCAGCTCAAGGTCCGGCATTGACACTGAATTCATATGAATACCTAGATAGTCACTTCACTACTCCGACTGTAGATCAGATCACAAGAGTACGGGGCAAGCTTAGTGCCCAATAGAAGCAGATCTTACAAAAGTACGATTTCAAACACCACGCAGAACCATAGAACATCGCATCAGCCGCATGTCATCACACAGACAGTAGTGATTCATTCAGTTTCGCAACACACACCCAGGAAACCCAGGTGAAGAATAACTCAATAAAACAGAAATAAAAACTCCCATGGTCTCCCCGAGACCGCCCTCCCATTCATTGTACTCATCGCCCGATGCCGGTCCTGCGAAACAAAGAGGTAGAGGAAAGAATAAAAAAAACAAGAACAATGACGACAGAAATCAAGATGCCCTAATCATCCAAGGATAAGACTCCACAAAGCTCGGATGCCCCAGTAGATCCAGATCGTCACTCTATGACATGTCCACTTTTTGTTTCCGCCCCGTTTCCTACGGACCCATCTTTAAGAGGGGGGCCCTAGGACCCCGTTCGGTTTAAGTGCCGGAAGGGAAGGAATGGAGAAAGGTAAGGAGGATAAGAAAAGGAGGAAGAAGATGAGGAGGCTGGCGGCTTGCCGTTGCTCGTAAATTCGATCTAGGCCGCTAAGCCTACGCCTTGGATGCATGGTCCAATGGGAAGAGGCACGCATGTTCAAAAGAACAGATTACAACTCGTCCTCGAGATATTTGTACACAAACTTGAAATCAGCCTTGCGCCGGTTCATCCTGTCGGGCAAAAAATGGTCAGCACGTGCTTCATTGAAGGGGCTAGGGGATTACCGGGATGGGGGGGGAGAGGCAGAGTAAACTAACCAGGTACTCTCGTAGTCAAAGAATCGATAGGTGCCTTGCTCAAATTCTTCCGTGATATTCTTGGGCTCTTCGTGGCGCTGGAACCATGTCTGGTATTGCTTGTGGAAGCGCCAACTTTGGCTCTTCAGCGCCTTGGCGGCCAGGTACTGTTGATACGTCCCTTGCCGATAGTAAAATAGATAAAACAGCGTATCCGTATCAATCCGGCCAGTATCGTACAATCGTGGGTCGTCGAAGATGGAGAGGGGTTCTTGCGGGTAGTAAAGAGGGGTGTTGTAGGGGTTCTGCGGCTTGTAATGCCGGGGCTTCTCTGCATCCCCGGGTTCGGGACACGTCGTGAGAGAGGTGGCAAGCAGTCGTTGCACTGCTGGCGTCGGATTTGCCGTGGCGCGTTCCTTGGTCACCTCGAACGAGTGAATCAGATCTTGCAGACCTGGCGGCAAGTGGAATATTGACTCATCGCCCTCGGCTGCTTCCTTGGGTGTCGTCTTGCCATTTGTCGTTGCTTTCTCCTTCACCGTCTCGCCCTTGGGCGTAGGGACGGGTGCAGGTGAAGATGTCCCAGAGGCTGCAGCGCTAGCAGCTGTCTTGGACCGCACTGCCAATGGCACTGCCTCTTCCGAAGATGATGCAGAGATTGCGGGTGGTGCTGATGGCCCCGCCACTGCCGCGGGCTTAGCAACGGGTTGTACGGAAGAAACCACGGGCGAAGCTGTAGAGGACGCCCTGGAGGCCGGAAGAACGTGCGAAAAGGCAGGACTGGCACCTGGTGGTGGGGGTAGAGGCAGGATTCCCACTCCACTCTTGTCGCTGGCAGCTGCGGCCGCAGCCGCGGAAGCATACTTGAGCGTTTCTCCAGGTAGACGAGTCGGTAGCGGGGCAGGCTTCATGCCCGGGGTAGCACTGGACGAGGCGGACGGGTGAAGAGTAGCAAGAACGGGGAGCGGCGACTTCATCTGTGTAGATGGCCGGCGATGTGACGTAGGATCTGCTTTTGGAACCTTCGGTTTGGGTTCTGGTTCGTCGTCCTGAACGGATTGGGCATCTTGAGACGATACACGATCGTTTTCCGCTCCCATGCCGAACTGGGCCTCGATCTCCTCTCCAATATCCAAGTCATCGTACAGCGTTTCATCCTCTCCGGAGTAATCAATGTTATGCCCTTCGTCGACATAATACTTGATACTCTCCTTCAAGTCCAACACTTGATTTACCTCCAAGTTACCATTTTGTAACGATCGATTGAGGAACTCGAGCTTATTGACGTGCCACTTATGACGCTCCGTTACTCGCGAGATGTCGGCCATGCGGTTGGCCTTGTTCGCGTCCTTTTTCCCCTTCTTCATTTGTGCCTGCAATGTCTCTTCCTCGGCCTCCATGGCCTCGATCCGTTGCTGCAGCTCGTCGACCATGGTCGATAGGAAGTCGCAAGCTTCTACCTTCTCCTTCTCCTTGGGATCGAGTCGCGACGCGGCGGAGAGGCCCTCTTTGGAATAGGCTTTCGTCTTCATCTCCTTCTCAACGGCCTTGAACTGCTCCATGCACTATTTCGAAAACCGTTAGCCCGAACCTACCCCAATTTCCCTTCCTCCCCCAACAGATGGACCAAGACCTACCGTCTCAATGGCCTTCCGCTGCTCGAGCAGTGGAGCCTTATCCTTGACCTCATTGCCAGCCGCCCATGATTTGATCTGGTCACGGAACCTTTGTAGCTTCTTGATTTCGCGCTTGAGATTCTCCTCGAGCTTATCGCGCTGGGTGGGGTTCGTGGCGGCCTTGACTTTCTCGTAGATGCTTTCGAAAGTCTGGATTCCTTCGGCAACCTTCTTAAAGGTCTTATCGATCTCTTGCTGCGTTTTCCGGGACGTCATGGTGATCCCGTGGTGGGCGTGGACTGGGTTGGTTTCCCGTCCACGAGTGTGTGAAGTGAGTCGATGCGGTGGGCGCGGAGGTGGAGTGCGCGTGCTGCCAGTGGTGGAAGGGCGTAGCACAATCGATTGAGGTGGGAGTGGACGTGGTGTTTTGCGGGGTGTCACCCTGAGAAAGAGAGCTCAGAATGGCGGACAGCAAGTGGAATGGCCTTCTCGTCGGCCTTGCGAGTGGAAAGCTTCGAGGATCCCCGATGAGGAAGGCGGTCGGCACCCGGGGAGTAGAAGCAAGGTTGCGGCGCAAGTGAGGGCGCTTGGTTAGTTGCGCGTAGACAACCCTACGTCTGTATTGGGTGGAATCTACAATCAGTCAACCTGTCTCCCCGAGTCGAATTTCGCTTGACGTGCCGATAGATGGCCGTTTGCTGATATCGCCTGTTCTATCCAAGTGCGGAGGAGGGTAGGTGCACGGGCGGCTCTCCGAGTGACGCCTTTCTGTGGGGTTTCTTCCGGTGGCTAATCACACCTCCAGACAACCTCCAGCGACCGAAGACAAGATGAAGAGTGCGCATTTAAATGACCGCAATGGATTTCAAGTGATGTTGAACTAACCTGTTCTTAGTTGTAATTCAAAGAGTGAAGTCGGCGTCGGTCACGGTCGATTCGGAGTTGATCTCGTCCATCGGCAAGGGCTTGCTAGTATTCGCCGGCGTGGGCCTAGAAGACACTGAGAAGGAAGCCGACAATATGGTGAACAAGGTGTTGAAGGCGAAATTCTGGCCAGATGAGAATGGCGGACAAGTATGGACTTTATGGCGCTTTGCATATTCCTCCTCGGCGCATTCGGTGCTGACTACTTGGCCAGTGGAAGAAGAACGTACAAGATATCGAGGGAGAAGTGCTCTGTGGTATGTCTATGATATCGAGAAGATTCTCCCGGTCCGCTACTAACATATCTAATCAGTCTCTCAATTCACCCTTTACGGCAAGATGAAGAAAAACAAGCCCGACTTCCGCGATGCGGCCGACGCTATAACGGCACGGAAGCTCTACGACTATTTCTACAACAAGATGCGCGACACCTATGTGGCGGATCGGGTCAAGGACGGAGTGTTCCAAGCCATGATGGAGGTGGAACTCAAGAACGATGGGCCGGTGGGTGTCGACTACCGCAGTGAAGATGCGGCGGTACATTTGCCTATCTGGCTTCAAACTTTGCGCCGCGACCGAAGTTGTACTGACAAGCATTGTTTCATTCATAGGTGACTATTGAGATCGATACCAATCTTCCCAAAAAGGAGCCCAAGGCACCCAAGAAGGAAGGGGACGACAAGGAGGAGAAGAAAGATGACGGAGACGACTCGGAGGCGCGGCATGTTTTCGAGTTCAAGCTGCCCGCGGAACTGCTGGCATAGAATAGCACATAGACCGGTCCATTGGCGTTCATGAACATAGAATTTAGCATATAGCATATACCCAGAGGTGGCATCAATTCAAATAACGATATTCCACAGCATGGTACATATCTCTCGATTGTGGATGCTGATTGAAACAGTATATGAAGATGAGTATATTTTGGGGCCGAGCATGGAAGCTTCTTGAAGAAAAACCGCCCGCAGCCCGCCCGGAAAACTAACCCCACAGCACCTTCTTTCTTCCACCTCATCCATTCATCCCAATCTTCCAATCCACTCTTTCTTTCTCACATCTCTCTTTTCCCAATTTCCACGAACCTACGTCGTCTCTCCACGACCCTCAACATGGCTGAATCTCGTGAGTTCCCCTCCGCTTACAGTGCGGGGTCCACCGATCTACCCGCGCGCTGTGCAAGTGAGAGTTGACAGCTGCTGACTGCCCCATAAAGAGCGTCCTCGTGTCTTCTTTGACATTCAGATTGGTGACGAGAAGGCTGGTCGTGTCACTTTTGAGCTGGTAAGCTGAGCTTTTTCCCCCCCCAAGGTGTGGGTTGGGACGGCTTCATAAACTAACATTCTCCTTGCGCAGTTCAACGATGGTACGAATTGACTTTCACCCGCCGCGACAGACCTGCCTCAAAAAATCCCCTTGCTAACTCTACCTGCTTCGATCAGTTGTGCCCAAGACGGCAGATAACTTCCGAGCTCTCTGCACTGGCGAGAAGGGCATTGGCACCCAGGGCAAGCCATTGACATACAAGGGTACGTCGCAATTAGCGCTTTGCTACAGCAGTCGCCAAGCTAACCGACCCCGTATACAGGCTCCATCTTCCACCGTGTTATCAAGCAGTTCATGATCCAGGGTGGTGACTTCACCGCGTTCAACGGCACCGGCGGCGAGTCCATTTACGGCGAGAAGTTCCCCGATGAGAACTTCGATCTCAAGCATGATCGTCCTTTCCTACTCTCCATGGCCAACTCCGGCCCCGGTACCAATGGTAGCCAGTTCTTCGTTACCACCGTTCCTACTCCCCATTTGGACAACAAGCACGTCGTCTTCGGTGAAGTGCTCAACGGCAAGAGCATCATTCGCAAGATCGAGAACATGCCGACCCAGTCCGACAAGCCCAAGACTGACGTGACCGTGGTGGACTGTGGTGAGCTCTTTGGTGACGACTGGGCCAATGCCGACAAGCGCGTCCAGGATGCCACGGGTGATCCCTATGAGGACTTCCCCGAGGACCACCAGGGTGAGGAGCTGACCGCACCTCTCGCCTTGAAGATCGCTTCCGAACTCAAGGGCTTCGGTAACACTGCCTTCAAGAAGGGCGAGCTCAACCTCGGTCTGGAGAAGTACCAGAAGGGTCTGCGGTACCTGAACGAGTTCCCCGAGCCCGCCGACAGCGATCCCAAGGAGCTGGGTGAGCAGATGAAGGCCCTTCGCTTTACCCTGCACTCCAACTCGTCCCTACTTGCCAACAAGCTCCAGCAATACCAGCAGGCTCAGAGCTGGGCCTCTTTCGCCCTCCAGGTCGCCGAGGCCGCCAAGGCCAAGGATGCTGATCTGGCCAAGGTCTACTTCCGCCGCGCCCTTGCCCGTGTTGGTCTGAAGGAAGAGGAGGGTGCCCTCAATGATCTCCAGGAGGCTACCAAGTTGGCTCCTACCGACGTCGGCATCACCAATGAGATTGCCAAGGTCAAGAAGGCTATCAAGGACCGTGATGCCAAGGACAAGGCCGCTGCTCGCAAGTTCTTCTCGTAAAGAACCCTGTTTTTTCTCTAACGATTCACGACGTGACTCTTTTTGATGTCTGATAACGACATCATCGATACAAATTCAAGACTCTGAACATTCTTCTTTCTCCCGTCATCAGGTACTGCCCTGATGAAACAAGTAGTGGAATGATTACCTCGGCTTCAAATGTACTCAGCTTCAAATGTACTCAGCTTCAAATGTACTCAGCTTCAAATGTACTCAGCTTCAAATGTACTCAGCTTCAAATGTACTAGTAGACAGAACCATCGATGGTGTTAAATTCCAAATGGCTATCCATATTATCCGAAAGGGAAGAAGAATGGTTCAACAGTAACAGTAAGATAATCCACAGTCAAAGCCCCAAGGTCGTGATGGAGAAAGGGAGTGGAATGTTAAACAACGGGAAAGCATAAGGCATTTTTCCCTGTTATAAACAGTAAGGGCCTATTCATGTCTATATGGCCATCTTCTCCAACCCATCAATCTCAATGCTTAGTGGGAACTGGGCCGCGTTTCGGCCAGGAAGAGCTCATATCGAGCTTTGCACTTTCGGCGCCAAGTTTTGCCCCAAATCATCATTGGGACACCCATCGAGACCGATAAGATGACTAGGATACCATAGCATGTAAACGTCCAACCATAAGAGGTGCTGTCGATGAACGGCTGTACGGAATACGAAATGGCGAAGTTGATCAAAGACGAACAGATGGCGAGAACAACGACCAGTTCACCAGATATCTAGAAACGCATGCAAGCTTTAGACACAGGGATCTCATAAGAAGGAGAGAAATAGAAAGACAGTAAACGTACCCCGTCAAAGCATTCCATGGCATACGTTGTTGCCAACGTGGTTATTGAGACTTGTTGCGCAATCAGACAACATAAGCCGACCGCAATCGATATCCAGTGGTCCTCGTTCGTGGCAGCCCAGCCATAGGTCATGTATCCGACTGCAGCAAAGCAGAAGGGGAATATATAGGCCCAGATACGCATTTCAGGTTCCTTGTAGCCTTTATTCCGGCGAGCCAGGACGAGAACGAGCCAATCTGAAAGTGACCCGACACCCATTCTAATGAAATTAGTGACATTCATGCCCCGAGACGAATTGCTTACCCCAGGAAATTTCCCACTAGTGCAGCCAAGAAAATCAATCCAGTAGAGCCCGCACTCCAATTATACGGCGCATCCGTCATGATCTCTGAGATGGTGTTAAAAGAGACAATGCCCGCAGTGCATCCAAAAGCAAATTGGATCCCGGCAAGCACGATATTGGGAAAGGCGAAAAGATAGAATGGACGGCGGAAGTACTGGAACCAAGTTGTCTGGTCATCGGCAAAGTAATGGACCACAGCGATTTTCTGTTTATATGAACGAGGAGTGATGTCCTCCCCAATACCGTGACTGTCAATTTCAGAGATAGGAGGCTCATTTTGATTCTCCTTTGCAAGCTGCTCTTTCGGCTCAGCTTGGCTGTTTGAGTGGACACAGTCAAGAATTGACGTTTGATTGAATCGGTACCTCGGGAACATGGTGTCGTCGAAGGTAAAGATGAATAGCAGGATTAGTACACCCTACAAACGGTTAGGATCAAGATGTTTTGACAATGAGAGCTGTGAGGTGCGTACACATGCGATGGCCACAATTGGCGAGGACCATCGCCAGCCAATTCCGTCGCTGATGTATCCTCCCAGAATCAATCCTAGGATGGAGCCGAGTTGTTGGAAGAAGATGTAGATTGCAACCATACGGCCACGCTCATGGGTAAAGAACATATCAAAGATCTGTACATGATTAGCTTGAAGTTCTTCTTTTCCGATGGTTCGATCACCTACCGTCAGTTGTATCAAAGCCTGATAAGCCGCAGTGCCGATGCCCTGGATCGCTAGCATAATGAAGTACTGGACAGTGCCGTGATAGAAGCCACCCCATACACTTCCACCCAAAAGAATAGCCAGACTCAAAAGGTAGACAATTTTGCGTCCTAACTTCATCGCTGTCGGGATCCATATGATATTGAAGAATCCCAGGAGGAGATAATTTAATGCACTGCCGCCGTTCATGTTGGTCAAGCTGACGCCGGTATCTTTGGAGATCAGTGTCCATGATGCGCCCCAGTTATTCTCGCCAAAGGAGAATACGCATGCGTAAGCTGAGATTAGGAACAAAGACCATAGCTTTCTGAAGCGAGGCCAGTTCTTGTATGCTGTTAGCAATTATCCGACTCGGAGTTTCTAATCCGAGAAGAATGCTGTCACTTACCAGTGGATCTGCAAGGGAAGCAGATGGCTGCGGTATAAGTAGGATGTCTCGGTTCCCATCATGTGCGGCGTCATGAAGAGTACGTGATTCTACGAAGTTCATCAAGTCAGGCTTCGCATAAGGTTCATGTTCACCCATATGAGTCTCACCGTCAACTAGATAGACTGTCCCAGGGACATCTAGATAGAGGTCATCTCCAGAGGCCATGTTATCTCCAGATTGGCAAAGCTTATGAGTGTTTGTGATCCCCGGAGATACATGGAATTTTGGAGAGCTTTTATAGATGGACTCACAGGTAGTACAACCTGTCAGTAGATATCCAGAACCAGAATCATGGTTTTACCGATTGGTCGGCCTATACCGACAGGCTAGCGATCGCCGCTTTGTTATTGGTTATGATAACGCCAAAGTTGAAAGTAAAAGAGGCATGGAAGCTCCAAGCGACGGCTCCTACGAATGCCACCATTATCCTTACAGAAGTTCACAGAAGCGAGGCATTCATGTCAACTGTATCAGTGAAACGCCCGAGCAGGGATCTAAGCGGTCGGTGCGGAGAAGCTTACCCCGGGTTTGAGGGGTAGGAAGGTCCACGCGATGGAAATGTCCCCATTATTGATAAGCTTGGGGGCCATAGGTCGTTTGATCCGAGGTATTGAGCGCATCTATAAGAGGTATTTACTCTGTTGGGCTGTCTGTTTAGTTTTCACTCTCCGCTCGTTGCCCAAGACACTCTCTGATAAGATTCGAGCTTCCTTCCCTTCCCCCGCGCGCTTCGCCAGAAATGACGCCATCAGAGCTGACTGCGAAATCTACGATTTTGATCATCGGAGCTGGAACATGGGGCTGCTCGGCTGCCCTGCATTTGGCCCGCAGAGGATATGAAAACATTCAGGTCCTCGATCCGTTTGATGTGCCGTCACCTATTGCTGCGGGCAATGATGTCAATAAGATTATGGAACATAAGGAGGTCAAAGGTCAGTACATAAAAGCCCTCCTACTGGAACCAATACTGACCCTCAGACAGACACTCACAAGGATCCTCAAAGCATTGCATTTGCTACCTGCACTCGAGCAGCGTTAAAGGGCTGGAAAACAGACCCCGTTTTCTCCCCCTTCTTCCACGAGACGGGCGTCATAGTCTCGGGGAGCACGCTCGACATTATCCAGCACATCAAAGAGGGAGAGATCGACCTTGCGCAAGGCGACTTTGTAACCCTTGAGAATGCTGAAGATTTCCGCAAAACGATGCCACCCGGTGTTCTGACTGGCGAATTCCCCGGATGGAAAGGATGGTTCAGTCCGAAAGACGCGGGATGGATACATGCTCGCAAGGCCATGATTTCAGCGTACAACGAGGCGAAACGGCTCGGTGTCAAATTCACGACAGGTACTCCTCACGGAAAAGTTGTGTCTCTCGCCTATCACAATGGAGATGTGAGCGGTGCCCAAACTGCAGATGGTACTATCCACTGCGCAGACTATACTATTCTAGCGGCTGGTGCCGGGTCTGATCAGCTCCTTGACTTCAAGAAGCAGTTGCGGCCCACCGCGTGGACTCTATGTCACATTCCTATGACACCGGAAGAGGCTCAGGGGTATCGTGACTTGCCGGTGCTTTTCAATGTCGCAAAGGGTTTCTTTATGGAGCCTGATGAAGACAAGCACGAACTCAAGATATGTGATGAACATCCTGGGTACTGCAATTTTGTGGAAGATCCGCAACATGCAGGAGAAACGAAGAGTGTACCTTTCGCCAAAAACCAGATTCCGTTGGACGCGGAAGCCCGCGCAAGAAGCTTCTTGCGTGAAACAATGCCTCATCTCGCAGACAGGCCTTTCTCGTTCGCTAGAATCTGCTGGGATGCTGACACGGTTGATCGGGCTTTCTTGATCGATGGTCACCCCGAATATCCTTCTCTGTTGGTGGCTGTGGGAGGCTCCGGCAATGGAGCAATGCAGATGCCATCGATTGGTGGCTTTATCGCTGATGCTTTGGAAGGAAATCTACAAGAGGAGTTGAAAAAAGTCGTCCGATGGCGACCAGAGACAGCCATTGAACGAAATTGGAGCTCCACACAGGGTCGCTTCGGTGGTCCTGGAAAGGTTATGGATTTTCAGGATGTCAAGAACAATGAGTGGACTTGCATTGGGTTCAAGGAGTCCAGGCTTTGAAACTCAAAATAATACTCGTCTTGAAAGATAGTTCACTAGAAGAAGTAATTACTCGCTTGCAAAGGCACAACTTCCCATGTCCTTCTTCACCACTTCAGCTTCGGGTCTGATATCAAAGTCGAAAATATCCATTGGCACGCCAAGTGTGGTGCATGCATTCGGAATATCCACAATGCCTGCGACGTGTCCCTGTACTGGAGCGCATGAGAGCAGAAGATAAATCTGATAGTCCGAGTACCCATAACGTCTGAGATACTCAATCGCACGCAGACAAGTTTGTCTGTATGCGACCGTGGCATCCAAAAAGTGCTGTTTCCCATGTTCATCAACCGAGAATCCTTCAAAGGTAAGGAAGCGTCCAGGTCCAAATTGTGGCTCAACGGGACCCGGCAAGAAGATTGGTGATTTCATATCCAACTTTGCCATGCCGTTCTTGATGACAGTGAACTTGAGTGTAATAACACCGGCCATCTCGATAGCGCCACAAAAAGAAATCTCTCCATCGCCCTGGGAGAAGTGCAGATCTCCAACAGAGAATTTAGCGCCTGGGACGTGAACTGGTAGATACACCTTTGAGCCCCGGGAGAGGTTCTTGATATCGCAGTTGCCGCCATGTTCAGGACGACCCTGGTGACACGTTCAGTTGGGGTCAATCGCTTGAAGGCAGAGATTCACTCACAGGAATGGTTCTGGCACCCTCCTTGGCTACCTTTTCCTTGATATCTTCTGTCGCACTTCCTGCATGTGCATTAACAGGTTGAGGTGGCTGTGCCACGATTCGACCCGCGACTGTATTTGCTGCGATGAGCTCCCCTTCGCGCTTATTCCATTCAGCCAACACCTCTGCCGATGGCGCACATCCCAGGATGCCGGGATGAATCAATCCAGCAAAGCGGACTCCGGGAATATGCCGACTGGAACAGAAGATGCCTTCAAAGTCCCAGATTGCCTTTGCACTGTACAAACTATTATCATACTGGTCACTTTTGAAGGAGAAAATTGAACCAACGCTTTGGGATAAAGCTCATCCAAGAAGCCTCCTCCATTCTCTTTGGCGAATACTCCGGTAAATCCCCACGGCTGGTCCTGGAACGGCTGAACATCTTGAATCTCAACAAGCAGAACGTCTCCCGGCTCGGCCGTGTCGATATCGAAAGGTCCAGACAAGTAGTGAATTTCGGTCAGATCAACCGTTCGAACATCCTCAGCCGAGTCGTCATTCTTGATCTGTCCGCCTGTCCAGTCCAGACATTCGATCTTGACGACTTCATTGTTGGCAATTTTGCCACATGCCGGAACTAGCAGAGGAGGTATTCATTAGGGAAAAGAGTTGATATTCTACTTCCAAGTGTCACGTACTGTCAGGATGCCATCGGTTCTTCTAGAAGTCAGCTCCTAGGTTCTAGTATTGAGATCAAATTCAAGCTTCAACATACATGTAGACCAGATTGTTCGCGAGCATGTTTGTTGAGGTCAACCTTCAACGCCGTGCGTATTTCCTTGACGCCCATATCGAGGAATGATTGTAACTCTTGGGATCGAGGGGAAATCAATGTAGTCCGGGAGAAATGATGAAGCTCGGATTGATTGAGAGAGCCTGTATGTTAGGAGTAACTGAGGGGTGGATAAGATTAGAATGGTGGAAGGGATAATTGGGGATGGAGCATCGATGATAAGGCGCAGCCAGCACATGTTCCTTCTCCGCAGAGGGGTAACCCGTAAAAAGATAGCTTTATCTCTCCAAATTTAGCGCACAGTCCTCGTCATGATCCAAATTCTGTCCTCCCAGCCAATAATATTTGGTGATATCAGACTATCATCGTTACATTGGAAAACGTTTGACACATAATATACCCAGATCCTGTACGGCGCTTGAACTGCCTCCTTGTACTTTAGTTCGCCGCTCCTGGTAGTCCCCGACCATCCAAGCTCTTCATAGCAGGAAACCATACATAGCTTCCACCTAAAATTACAACTAGAATATAAGGCTGTCGCCGAAGATGACAGCCCCTGGCGCCAGAAACGGCGGCCTTTCCACCCGTAACTTCCACCAGCAGGCAACTGTTCGACCGCCTCATTAATCCTAACCACCACTATTCAGCACCCGCCAAGCCCTCTTTCTTATCATCGTGGCTTGATTCTCTTGCTAGACCTCAATGAATTCTCCGCGTTTCCACTCACGACCACAAAGACGCTAAAAATGGCTACCCTTTGCCGCAAGCAGACCACCCTTCACCTATCCTGGTGGTAGATTCATAAGATGCTTCTTCTCCCTCCTCCCGGTACCCTCCCACTATCACCATCTCTTTCCTTGTCGTTCTCTAACCCCCCAGATTAACTGTAGCGTGATTATGTCCTAGGTTATTGTTACGACACGTGCCCGGGCGTACTGGTTAAACAGGCTAAGAAGACCTAATATGCTAGAACGCTATGTTCTAGCATGCCCGGGACCGATATAAGTCACGCTCATCGCTAGGCCTAGGGGGACCTGTGCCTACGCCCTAGAAGGTATAGCCTTGAAATGTTGATTTTTTCTCTCTTAGACTCTAGCCGCGCCTATAACGCCTACACCTCCTACCTAGCCCAATAAGAATCAGTATTAGATCAAATACTATTATCTATAAGGAAACCTAAGCTAGACTAGAATACTTTCGAAGTCGGGTATAGTTCCCTCCTAAATTTAAGCCGAAGATATTCCGTTACTATCTATGAATTATACACTAACATAGCAGATAGTTCCCAGATAATATTTTCCTGGCCGAATGTAAGATCACCCAATAGATAAAACAAAAGAGCCTCTTAGACGTAGTTATATTCTATATAACGTATCGTTATCACTGGGTTATTCGAGATTTTTCTAACACGGACGTATAATCGTCTAATTCGCCACAATTCAACTCCAGTCCGCCATCGCCGAGCTCACGGCTTACCTATAGATACTTACCAGTACTCATCCAATAGGGATTTGAAAGAAGCAGCATATCCCACCCTCGCCTGAAGATTAGATGAGAATACAGCTAGCTAGGATCCAGATGAGTTCTTCCCGCCTGGAACGCTCTCATGGTGTACACAAGCGCTACAGCAGATATATTTGACCCATCTAACCCTTCAATACGCCATAATGTTGCTCAGTCATATATACTAGTGTAAACGGGAGCTTCGTCAGCGAGCGATATTACATATGCAGGCAGGGGATATACCAATCCTTTAAATCAGTGAGCAGCCAGCCCAAGAGAATTTGGAGGATTGGCAAGAGCAGCAGGAAGGGCAACGGGCTAATGTGTTGGAGAAGGGTATGGGGTTTACTATGTGTGAGGGGTAGTATCAAAATCAAATTCTGCTGATGAAAATATTTCCTGATTCAGAAATGAGATCGTGTGCTCTCTATTGCTTGTCTTGTGCGTAAAGTTTTCCGCTATGGCACGCTGCTGTGCGTACATTTGCAAGCATGTAGGAAATGATGATCCCGTTGTTGACGGCCATCTGCGCACTTGGTGGCCTTCATCCCGATTCCCCCATTTGTCCATTCCACTCCTTTCTACCTCTCGGTGGTATTCAACTGTACCCGATAGATCTTCTGCCGACCAAAGATGTACAGCCAATGCCCGACCCAAGCCATGTTGACCGCAACATCATCTTGGGCAACCTTAATGCGCCCAATAAGGGTTCCCTCTTCATCGAACACATCCACAGACCCAGTCACCACCCCATAGACCCTACCGTCCTTGTCCGTTTTGATACCATCTGGAAAACCCGAATCCACATACGCAAATATTTCGCGGTCGGACAGACCGGACTTGGTCACACGATGCATGTAGATAGTTCGACCACCATCTGCATCCGCACTGGCAAATCCGCGGTTCGTACTGAAGAGTTTTGTCTGGTCATGGTTGAAGGCCAATCCATTTGGATTGACATATGCACCGTCGGCTGCTCCTTCGACCACTTTGATGTTACCGGTTCTCATATCCCATCGGTAAATTCCATTAGCCAGTTCAGGCTTCATGGTATCGTTGAAATTATCCCAGCCGTACCACCCGTCGGTAAAAAAGACCACGCCTTCTTCCGAGACGACGATATCATTCAAGGAATTACAACGATGGCCTTAAAAATTGTTATTGACAACCTCAGTTCGCAGAGAATGTGGATCCATCCGAACGACAGAGGCAGGAGTAGTGTAATTACCCTCCTGGACCCAGTAAACAGAGCCATTATGGTAATATGCACCATTTGCGATTGTCAGAGGCGGATCTGGGTAAACTTTAGTCGTCTTAGGGTGAGCAGGGTCACTCAAATCGACTTTCCAGACAAATGGAATAGCAGACATGGAAAACCCCTCTTGGATGAATAAAGCTCTGCAAAGAAGGCTGCTCGAACCTCGGGAACATAGACCGTGCCATCATGAATCTGACGGGTGGCATCGGACGGAGCCGGTGGGAAAGTGAACACTGTCTCAATTTCTTTTGCAACATGAGGCCCAGAAATATTCAAAAGCTGTTCGAAGGTCAGGGAAGGTTGCTAATCAACCGATTTATGTGGCTGTTGAAACGAACTTGGTAAAAGGACGGCTGATAGACGATGAACGATGCATCTAGCTGTGCATGGAATGCGGATGCGTTTCCCTGAAGAAGACTTGTATCCCACATGGGAACAGAAAAATTGCGGTTGAAGTTCTTGAAAGGGAGGACATTGTTCCAATACTTTGGAATCTCTACCACCGAAGGGCCGCCAACGAAAGGCTGGCTCAGGCAGACTTGTCCTAGAGCCAGAAAAATGACCAAATAAAGCGAATTCATAATTCCAGCTAAGCTTGTCATGTTTCAAAGTGGTTGAGAATGAAGGCAGAAGATTACAATTTGTATACATTTCATTCGGGATCATACCGGTGCCTACCCAAAACGGAAGATTTTCTTCGGAATCAACGATTGGTCCTTCCACCCAATACCAAGAAAATAAAGCAAAATGCTGGCGTGTGGAGTACTGGGTGATTGGTTCAATGTTAGTAGATCGACGAGGTCTCATGACTTGAATTGCGCGATGCGTTGGGCGCAAGGTGTTAATGCGACCTACTGGATTGTGCTACTAATATGGACGAGACAGTTGAAGTAAACATCGGAACTCTTGTGGATAGATTTCGAGTCTATAGGCTTTGAGAACAATGATAAAGTCTATATAACTTTGCAAATTTTATGCGTGATCTTCTGTTGCTGTTTTGATATCCCTCATCCGCTCCCAATTGTTTAGACATCACATCCCAGCGGACCTCACCCCCTTCAACCGACTCGGATTGTCGAACAGCGGTAAGAGGTCCGATCCCTGACGGCTTCGCCTTCCAAAACTCAGCAGGAACGTCGCTTGTGCACATATGGTCATCATTTACCTCGGCCCAAGTCCCAGCCCATTCTGGGGAGATCGGAAAGATTGGGGCTTGTCACCCACAGCAACTCCCCCCAAGAAGCGGCGAGGGTCTTTCCAGCCAACGGTGCAGCGATCACACGGGACATTTCCAGAATGCTCAACAACCTTGGAGTTGGAGTCGAACGAGGCACTTTCTACCATCTTGTCGATCTCGAGGCCGGTGAAGAAACAACGCTCTTCCCGATAAACACAACCAACATCATCAACAGCCCTCCTCCCCCTGAAGACGGGGCTGCCCTTGGTCTTTCTGACATCGAGAGGCAAAAGCTTCTGTCCGAATCCCTTGAACTCTTATGCTTCAAACCGGTGCCCCAAGGGAAGTGTCAAATGATGGAAATTGCCAACATTATCAGGTCCAAGAATTCGGGTCCATTTGAGCTGACATTCGACATTATGTTCGACACTATGGAGGCGTACAATCGGGTCAAAAGCGCCAATAATTTGACCAATGAACTTATCATGTCTCTATGTCACCTGAAACCCGAAGCTATTATCGTCAACATGTTTTTCGAACCTGCGTTGGCATGGAAATGCACGATTCGCAGACCCTGGGAACAGGGGACTGTCGGGGAGCGTGATACCCTGGGCACCCAGCAACATGGACCCCTTCTGACCATTATCGTCCCTGCTGCCTCTGATCTCATTGTCAAGCCTAGTATAATTGATGACGCAGCTCTATCCCTGTCCCTTCAGGATCGCTCCAATTTTTCGGCCACTGACAGCGTTCATTATCTGTGGACGTCTCTGGGCTTGCCCGGCCCATCACTGGAAAAACTTCAGCTCCCTGGCCAGGGTCTTGGTTTGCCCTCTTCCTTCAAAATTGGCCACATTGCGCAGGCTTCAATCGGTCTTTCTGCCTTGCTCGCTGCGCAGATTTTCGCTCTTCGCACCGCTTCTCCGGTGCCCACAGTAACGGTTCCTCTCGAACATGCGGCTATTGAATTCAAATACGAGAGGCTATACACCCTGGCAGGTGAGTCCGCCCCGTCACCATGGGGACCTATCGGTGGCTTGCACAAGACTTCAGATGGTTATGTGCGCGTGCACGACTCCTTCCCTAATCATCGAAAGGGGGCTCTCGCTCTAGTCGGTTGCAAGCCAGATGCCACCCGTGCGCAACTAGAGCAGAAAATCAGAGACTGGTGCTCAGTCGACCTTGAGACGGCCGCTTTCGAAAACCGCCTTGTTATTTCCGCCCTTCGGTCGTACTCTCAGTGGGACGTGCTCCCTCAGGCCCGTCAGATCGCCGATTTCCCGATCACCCTGCGAAAACTCGGTGATGGGCCAATTGGTCTGCCTTCGACGATGCAATCGCAGCCCGATAAGGCGCTCCGCGGCTTACGTGGTCTCGAGTTGTCTCGCGTTATTGCCGCGCCTCTCTCAGGAAAGACGTTGTCTGTTCATGGTGCTGATGTTCTCTGGGTCCCAAGCCCCAACCTTCCCGATCTCCCTACCATGGATCGTGACTTTGGCCGAGGCAAGCGCAAAATTCAGCTTGACCTGAACATCTCATCTGACCAAAATGAACTGTCTGAGCTACTCGAGGACGCTCATGTGTTTGTACAAGGCTTCCGCCCTGGGGGAATCACCCAGCGTGGTTTCTCGCCCGATATTCTATCAAAGCGTTTCCAGCATCGCAACATTATCTGTGCCAATATGTCTGCCTACAGGCCTGATGGTCCCTGGTCAGATAAACGAGGATTTGACTCCCTGATTTAAACATGCTCTTGTATGAACGTATCGGAGGCGGAACACTTTGGTGCTGGAGAGGCGGCTCGTCCCACCCCCTGCCAAGCATTAGACCACGCTGGAGGCTACTGCCTGGCTTCTGGTATCATGGCAGCGCTGTACAAGCAAGCGACAGAAGGTGGGTCCTGGCAGGTCGACGTATCTTTGGCAGGTGTGATGAAATATCTTCGCTCTTTGGGACAATTCGAAGGAAGATCAGGCTTTGAGACACAAGACTTCACATGCACCAAAGACGTACCCGGAGACTACTTGGAAACTCGGGAAACTGGCTTTGGAGAGATGACTGCCATCCGACACTCTGCTTCCATAGAAGGAGTGAATGTTGGCTGGGGTATCATGCCGAAGCCCCTGGGCTCTGACGAAAAGAAATGGCTGTAGGATAATGAAGAGAAACCCAAAAAAAAATTTATCTAGAGATATCAAAGTACGATATTTAACATTACAAACAATATTCAGAAATGGAAGATGCAAGTATGCAACTCATGTAGATATCTCGTAAATTAGCTTGAGAAAAGTTTGCATCAACGTTGCAAACTGTCGAGGTTCATCGATTGGGCGTGAAAGGATTGGAGGTCGATGTGTCGACAACTGAGACTGCAAGAGCCATTCGGAAACAAGCGGCCGAGAGTAAATCTGCGACACCGAGGACTGTGTAATAGAACCCCAGATATGGGGACGAGCGGAGCATGCGGCATCGAAGTACAGGCACATTGCAAATACCATGGATGGCAGCAGGACACTTTCAGATGGAGATCCAGCTGCCTACTTAGCATGATGGGCACTCACACCCTTTGGGAAGAAGGAGTCTCTATGTGAACTCGCACAAATGCAGCGGCGGGCCGGATCATCTTAGCGACTCTACTCCTACGTGACTGCTCATTTCCATAAGGGAGAGCGAGCTGAACGTCGGAGCGAGCGGCATCTCTGTTAATTTGGAAGGGGCAGTGCGTCGGGCTGAAAGTCAAGGCACAGCAGGAGGTGGGGCCAAAGCAAAAGAAAGGGGACGACGATGAGTATAAGGGAGAGAAGCTGATGGGAGGGAGAAAGAGGAAAGAAGGGGACAAGAGGGCAGGTCGTGTCTTCTATGTCAAGGCGAGGGAGGCAAGAGGTGACAAGACGGTGTATTAGGATGCAAGGCCAGGAACGGCAAAAATAACTCGAGCTAGTAAATCACAGGTCCCAATATTACAGCTTAACAGTTCAACTTCATTGCAATCGTCAACGTGATCAGACTTCGGCCCAGTTTCCTCAATAGGCTCGACTAGTCGTATCCATAGCACAAGTAGCCACCCTGGGTATTCATCACATGGGCAATCGTAGTGTTTGGCTTGATGCTGAAAGACGAGAGTTCATAGTGAAGAGTAGCATTCTGCCAGCCACCAGCCGGCTCAACATTAGCAGTCTCGTTCAAGGTAGGGCCGCTGATGTCGAAGAGTCTGTTGGCAGGGTCTTGCTTCTGCCACAGCCACCAAACCCGGTCGATGTACATATGATGCATGAAGAAAATGGGGTCACCGGGAGAGGACTTGATATCAGACATCTAATATACAGTATGGTTAGTAAAGTCGTCAGATGCTGTGTAAATTTTAGGGGGAAATTCCTACCACTCCGCCAATGTAGGTGTGGACGCCCTTGTGGGGAATGTTCGAGATGCAATTCCACCAAGGCGAGTAGGTGTTGTATGAATTGCACATTTCGAGGGCGGTGCTGTTAGCATTTGCAATCGCATTCTCGTTGTCCCATGCGCGACCCAGGCAGTAGTCAGTGTCTTCATCGCCGGGGCCGATATGGAGTGTGTAGTTTGCGAAGCGGCCATCAGTGACACAGTTGTCAGAGCCTGTTCCATTCCCTCCAAAGGCATCGGCTCCCCACATAGAAGACTGCCACATGTTGCCACTATCTGCATCTTTTTGTTCGTTCCACCATCTTGATGAAATAAAAGGGTTAGACTCATGAGAGCAGCCGCGAATTTTGTAGGACCCAAGTACATGACTTACGGAATAGCACCGGTGTAGCCACACTCATCACGAAGAAGGGTCTCGTAGATATGCATGTAGTAGCGATGCCACGGCAGGAATTGACCCTTGATTGAGTGGTAAGCAATAGGTATGCAATTATCATAGAAGGAAACATACGACATGGTGAATGATATCGGCATAGGCGGTGTTGGTCATTCCACGGTGAAGAGCTTGAAGGTCACTGAAACGGCTCGTTGTGGCCGTTAGTCCAGATTTGGCAGGACTGTCCATCAGACATTGGACAGCATCGAGGAACTTGTTCTGTTGCGCCTTGGAGAGATTGCGCCATTCTTTGCGAATGGTCATCTTCTCCTGGGTGCAAGTACCAGTGAAGTAACCGGAGATGCCTGTCTCTTGATTCCCACCACCACGGACATGGGATTTTGCGTGGGAGTGAGAGGGTGTTGTAGCAACCGCGCAAGCGATCACGCTGAACGCTGTGCTCAGAGTCAAAAGACGCATGCTTAAGGGAGAGGAGCTAATGATGGATTGAGAGAGTGTGGCGAAGACAGAAAATTTCCAAACTGTGACTGCGTAAAGAGATGTCAAGATTTTATAACAGTGCGCTTGGTAGAACGGTCTATGACTCGTGGTACAATCGTTTCCCCTATCGGATAGCTAATTTTCTCCGAATGACCCCGGAGATGAACCATGATGAGTGATGAAACGCGTTATGTGGAAAATGGATATCCGGGTGGGACTGAATAGTTCAAAGAACCCAAACAGCACGATTACTGGGGCCTTGCCATCGGGCTTACTACTCCTTGAATAAATCGTAACTACCAGCGCTTACTTAGCCAAAGGTTTTGCGATTTGTGATTAAAATCCTTGAAATGCATACTTGTCTGCCCTCTATGGTAATGCCTCCTTTCATTGTCCAAGAGGGCATGGTGAAAACTTTGAAAAGGCTTAGTTCCAAATTTCGCCACCAAATTTAGCCTCACCGCAGACAATCAAATAAAGCTGACGTGGCAGGGCAATTTATGGCAGCTCAGATTTGAAGCGGGACCCTCGGGCTAGTTGTATTCACTATATCTGGCAATGGTTACTCTTCAGTAAAGCGCAATCCGCAGGCGAGTTTCCGCTCCACCGCTGAACGCTTTACTCCATAGACGATGTCTTGGCATCATCTCCTGTCCAATGGACTCAACGATCTCTAGGTAATCTAGACCAGCCTTACGGGAGGGTAGCAGCCTAGCCGGATAACATTTCATCCTGGATCCCTCCGATTAGTTAGTTCCACCTTTAATCTAGATAGGGTGCCGCTGAGAAAGTGCCAAGACTTCAACACTTAAGGAGACTCGTGGCCTGGAGCCGCTTGGAAAATTCCGACATACCTACCCAGTATGCAGTTGGGGTTGTATTTTTATCGCTATTGCTTTTGATCCAAACTTCGTTGGAATTTTCCGGCGACGCTGATAGTATGGCGGACCAACGTAAGGGTGTATTTTTGATCAAACGTCTGGATATTTCTGATCAACCTCTGTGATCAAGGGATAATCGGATCAGCGCCCGGGATCACCTTCGTTAAGCATTCGGAAAGCTACCGAGATCTGTCAGAAAATGCGAAGAAGCAGGTTCGCATCGGATCTTGTCCATTATGCAGCCTGGCTCCACTTTTGGTTTTTCAACTCACGGAATGACGCGGCCTGTTCTTCTCCCTCCTGTGCTCCCTGTCATCAACTCAAAAGGTTCCTGGTTAAATGTCCAAGATCTTCAGCTGTCTAGTCCCCGAATAATGTGTTTTCCCGTCATGTTGGCCAACACGGTATTCAAATCCGCGTACATGATTTACTTCGCGCCATCCTGACGTATTGGTTATCCTAGGCGACTGCTGGAGTTTGATCACAGATGCATTATTATTAGTTGCATCTAGATAACTTGAGATCCGATATTCTTGCCCCGAAAAAGGCGCTTGAGACTTTGATCGCATACTCGAGCACAAATTGAAGGATAAGATTTCGCAAAGCGACCTTCCAAGGGGCTACCAATAGCTACCAATAGTAGCCCCGGCTATGGATACCGCGGCTTGCTGGTGAAACACCCATCTAGAAAGATATGGTTGTTGGACAAGTTGAGTGTTTTTTCTCATTGGCCAGCAAGTTTGTTCAAGAGAACTTCTTTCCAGGACTGGAGGGGCTCTCCTTAGATCCGACTTCATCGGTGACAACATTGAGCTTGTCAATGTTCTCAAGGGACAAGTGGAGGAAGTCATGCTTGTTCTTCCATGTCACTTGGCTTTCTGCAAACCCTTCACTCTCTGCTGGGCTGGGCGGCGGATCGGTGATCTTGGTGACAAGGTAGGCCGTGGAGGCCTCGGCAACTCCATACATAAGCACGCCGATGAAGGGAGTCTTCAGTACGACCGTAAAAGCAAACGCAAATCCGAACAAGACACCTTCCCTGTCCCGGAACCAGCGGCGCTTTTGTTCAGGCGTAAAGTGAATACGGCGGAAGTACGGCTCAAGCTAAGGATTGTGTTAGATTGCAGCCAATACGGAGTCAAGGATGAACGATAGACTCACAAGTTCTCGCATCAAGCTTCTCGACGCAAAGTAGGTGTGGAGAAATTTGATGATAAACGCCTTGGGAAGGATCAAACCCGCACCGAAGATGACAGCAGCAGGGGCGGTGCCAACATGACTGCGGAACGTGTAGAAACTTGTTGCGGGCATCACGAATCGACCAATGACAGGGGCCAGAGAAAGCAAATAGAGTCCGAGAAGCATTCCCATTCTCTTAGCATAGCGATGAAGAAACATCATGATAGCCTCCGATCTGGGCCGCGGGGATCGAGCGCTGCCCTTGGTCGGGTACATGACCAAGCTAGGGTAGTACATGGCACGCAGAGTATCTGGGTTCTCAGATTTGTGCTTTTGGATGTATGTCGTATCAACCCACTCGATAGATTGCATGAAACTAAACATACCAATTAGCGATGGTAATCGTAATGCATTAATGCATTGAGGCCGGTGAATACCAACATTTCGTCCAGTGTGGGAGTCACATATCCCATCAAAGTCATCAAGAGGAATGGTACCTGGAGCACAGACTTGGACATGAATTCCATGCCCTCCAAGAGCTTATCGTCCCATGTCGCATGGTCCAGACTGATGATCCATGAGAGGATGTACAGGCTAAGCTTTAGCACGATGATCTTCGGATATCATATCAACAACCCATGACCCTGAGGAAATTCGAGCTTCAGGACCTACCGGAATCTGAACAATAAGCTGAATGACTACTCCCACGCCCACAGCGAGAGCTGCTTGACGGAAATGCTCATATTTGAAGAGATCGGGGTTCTGCAAAGCCCGCACGGCTATTTCGTCAAAGTTAGCTTTCGGTACCATGCGAATATTGATTCATCGTGTGGATTCGGCTCTCGTTGAAGACTTCTTGACACGCGAGAAGAGAAGCTGGGCAAGAATTGATCAGGAAACTTTGGGAGAATGATATATATCAATCCTAGAGCCGCCCCAGAAGACTCAACCTGGCGGAGAAAGAGCAGGAGGAACATACTTCCTACAACGGTGAGCTGAAAGCCGCGGATGACCGCATTGGGCTCGAAGTTGGACAGAGTCAAGCCCTTCTCCATGCTGTGTGTTCAGGCTCTTCTGGCGAACTCGTGGAATGAAAAAGATCCGGCTATCAACAATGCAGGCATCCATTTATGCTGGCTGCGTCATGCATGATCACCTGACAATTTGTGCCTGAGGCAGATTTCACATGTCCCCGGGGGCGCAAAGCCGCGCGACGAACATGGGGAGAGATAAGCCGCGATCTTCAGCCCTGAGCGCTTCTCTCTCCACCATGCCCTCCCGATGATCGGGTCTTCTAGATACCACCTCTTGGTCATCTATTACCTTTCCGCAATTTGCCTAGACGATGCCCGGGCCTCTGAGTGAGTCCTCGGGCCCGGTACAGCCCATTCGCCGCGCGGTTACTCTCCCAACGAAGTTAAATTCGCTGGCGCAACGCGGTTCGGCTGCGCCAAATCTCTCAGAAAACGTCATCTTCTATCACCCCTCTGCAAAGATAGTTCATTTCGCACCCAGGGCACTCGTACCTATTCCTTCAAGTTCCGCGCCGTCCGATTTCGACTATCCTGTTGACACGATCGAGACCCTCCCCTGGCGTTCGGCCACCGAACGAACAGTCGCAACTGCACCCCTCAGGCTGGAACGAGGGTTGACCGTGTTTCTGAAATGCGGAAATGTCGTTCATGCGATCTTGAAAAATTCACAATGCTGGTGTGTGGACGGCGTGTCGAAATTCGTGTTGCGCATTCGCCCTCTAACCTACTATCGGATCGAGCTACCGAATGAGACTGCGGAGGATAAGGTGCTAGTGGAGGATCTCAAGGCTGCATTGCCGACTGTGCTTCGATATGAGGTCACACCATGTCCCTTTAAGCGCGCGTTTACCGTCGACTTGCCCGAGGAAGCCACGGCACCGCGGCGCAAGAAGGCATGGAGACCCAAGGAACGCACAGATGGCGTTCCTTTGCTCTCGGCAACCAACCAAGGTTTCCTTTGCGAGGGTAAGATGGACTGGCTAGATTCTGCCAGTACTGGCGATGACACGGATGGCGCTGCCACGGACGACAGTGGGTTGACTCCCCAAAGAACTAGCAGCACGACGTCGGAAGCTGTATCGGGTGGTGGTGAATCGCTAGCTCTTGCCACTGATTACGGTACAACCCTTAGCCCTGAACCATCTAGACGTTCCGTAACGGAAACGCCGCGGACTTTCACTAGCCTGCGAGCGAAGTTCGATGCTACTCCTGTCCTTGAAGAATCATCTGAAGAGCCGGTGACTAAGGATGAGGCTCGGGTCCTTGATGAACTCGTACCTGCCAACGAGGAGCCAGTGGACCAGGAGGCCAACTCAACCAACGAATCTCCTAGCCTAAGAGACCCCTCTGAGCTTGCGGTCGCTTCAGTGCTGGCCGATGTCCCCAAAAGCCAGAGTACTTCGGCTGCTGAAGCAAACTCAGAACTACCAGCAACTTTGCGAGAGGAAAATTTTTCCGCGGATAACTTGAAATGCCGGTCAGCGCTCCCAGCAGCTACGGAGGCAACTGTTGGAGAAAATGTATCAAGTGCTGTTCAAGTCATCCGTTCTGAAGAGGCTGAAGATAAACCCGAGCGCAAAGCTCCAGACTCTCAATATGCCCCTATACAAGTGCGAACTTCAACCTCGGCGGAAACCGTGGCTCTTGAGCGATTTCTGCTGTCACAGGAGCTCGTCTCGGAAAGCGGCTCGCTGGCAGATGAAGATTCTGGTTCAGAGGCAGACCAGGACAGCTCTTTTTCATCTACGCCGGAATCATTCCATTCTGTTGACCTTCCTTCATTTCGGGGAGTATCGTCTTCCCATATAAGTTGTACCGAAACTCACGACGCTACCCCCAGACCTGGAAGTTCAGTTGCTACTTCCGTGGCTGAGCTCTCTGCAAAGCATGGTTCTGTGGCCGTGACACCCGAGAGTAACCTTTCTTCAAGAATCGATACTACCAAAGCCCGCTGCTCGCCGAAGGAGGCTGAAGATAACGCCCCACCGCCGGAACTCAAGATGCCAAAGTACATAGTCCGAGAGGATCCACCGAAGAAGCCGTCATTGGGATTTCCCTCGGGCAACAATTTGGCCGTTACCAGCACTATGTCACCAGTCACAGACTTCCAGCATATGAGCACTGAATTCCGTCGCCGGGCACAGGCAACCAGACAACGAGATGTCTCCCCTATGCCACCATCCTCTACCATTCACCAACCTCCCCCGAACGACCACGCTTCTTCACTCCTTACGAAAGCATTGTCGCTCGTGTTGGTACCACCGATCCACCTTTTTATCATTCTGCTCCACGTTGCAGCTCGTATTGTCATCAGCCCCACTCTGAACTCTGCCCTTGGTGATTCCAATTCAGGATCCCAATCTTCTAATAATGACCCCGTCCCTGAAGATGACTTTAGTTTCCCCTTGGAACGCGAGGCATCTTCCGAATATGAAGACGCCGAGGCGTCCAGGAAACAGGATCCCTGGGATCTTGACTAACCTGACCGACTCTTTTCACTCTAATCTCTACACTGTTTAATCATTTTTACATTCTCTGTGATTTCTTGACGCTACCACTGATTTAATATGTACCCTTTCTTTTGCATGTGACACCACGATTTACCCCCTGTTTTACGTACTCTTGTGTGATGATTATCTTGAAGCTGTTTTCATGGTTCCTATGAGGAGGATAACGTGGGAATGGGGTTTGTTCTCTCCTGGAGCCTTTTTTCTGTATTATAGCGTTGCATATCACCATTCGCAGGAATTCTCTGGCACCGCATGTTACGACAGCTACCTTTTCCTTGATAATATAATCTGTTGAGAAAAGAAATTCCGTCAAAGTCCACAGAATGGAATTTCCGCCGCGGATCGTGAACTGGCCAGTTTTTGAGACTTCTTTTATGAATATCCATGCCTTTACGGATCTCTTCCTACGGTAGACCTAGTGCGCAATATATTTGTTGACACTGTGTGAACAGTATTCGGGTTAAATTTAAGGGTTTGCTTGTATATATATCATGGGAAATTCGCAGAGAGCCGCAGAGGAAGCGGAGTATATATTTCCAGCCTCATCCCCAAAAGGCTCACTCTCGGAATCTACTCTGGCCGTGACTGTCCAGAATATAGGCCAATTATAGTCCACGTATTCAGGCAGTCATTTGGATCTTGGAATGGATGGGTGGTTCATCTAAGCGAGCGTTCAACAGCAAAGGCCTCCCAGCGAGTATCCTCTTGTTTTCCTATTACGGATAGCGTCTCCACGACTTTCTACAAACTGATTGGCCCACTGATCAAGCCACCAATCTCGGTTCCCCCAACACCAACCGGAGTGGAGCTTCTGGTCCAGGGGACATCCAGATCTTGATCAACTGCATTGTAAGTTTAAAGATCTATCCCATTCTCAAGAGTTTTGTTGTTGTCCGAAGCGTTCTGGTCCAAGTGATCGTGATGATCGATACAACTCAGCTTTTGATGATCGGCGCCCTCGCGGCGCTGGGGTACTTTATGTTTAATGGCTTGCGGCACGATCCTCGTGAACCACCGTTTGTGACTAGCGGGATCCCAATACTAGGACACATGTTCGGCATGTTGTGGTATGGAGTCGGACATTGGGGTAATCAAGCGTGAGTACTTTCCTTCTAGATTGTCCGGTATCGTGGAGCAGCAGATATTAATTCCATGATATCAACAGCAAGAAGCACCCCGAGCATCCCATAATTAGCCTGGATATGCTCTTCACTAAGTTTTATGTGATCACTTCGCCAGATTTGATGCAGGCTGTGCAGCGCAATGCCAAAACTCTCAGCTTCGAGCCGCTGCTTCTATTTGGTGCCCGGAATATTTCCGGCATCTCGAATCCAAAGGCTCTGGATATCCTCAGGGAGACGGATGCTGGAGGTCAGGGTCTGGGCACCAAGATTATGCACGCCATGACCCCGACACTCGTGGGGAGACCTTTGGACCAGATGAATATTCAGATGATACGTTTGATCCAGCCATTCATTGAGAATATGGGCGAGACACCCACTTTTGACCTGTACGAGTGGTGTAAAGATGCCACCATGGCCGCCAGTACGGAAGCTACGTACGGCCCAATGAACCCTTACAAGGATAAGGACATACAAGATGCGTGGTGGTAAGTAGAACCGTGCACTTACAGAGACCCATTCTGATACTAAACTTGATTCAGGGATTTTGAAACTGGCCTTGGTGCCCTTATCGCTAATACGCTACCATGGCTCACTGCTCGAAAGGCATGGCAGGGTCGCCGGAAAGTTGCCGATGCAATTTTGAAATACATGCAAGAGGGCGGCCCAGCCCAGGGATCTGAACTCACGGCTGTGCGATGGAAAGAATGCATGGCAGGTGGCCTCAGTATCGAGGATTACTCCAAGCTCGAAGTCGGTATGCTAATTGCATTCGTTTCGAACACTGTGCCGGCCATGTTCTGGTGCCTCTTCGACCTATACGATCGACCAAAGCTTCTTGACGAACTACGAAAGGAGATCGAGGAGAACGCCATTGTCGTGGCTGCCGATAGGACACACAGCATTAACTTGACTGCCATTCGGGAGCAGTGCCCTCTCTTGCTTTCCACCTTCCAGGAGATTCTTCGCACCCGCTCCAATTCCTCCCCAACGCGTCTTGTGACGAAAGACACGCTTCTTGCAGATAAGTACCTTCTTAAGGCTGGAAATACGGTCAGCATGCCATCGAATCCAATGGCACGGCGCCAGGAAGTCTGGGGTGATACCTCTGAGTCATTCGATGAGCGTCGTTTCATGAACTCTGGAGAGAAAAAGGACTCTCGGCGTCCGGGTGGATTCCTGACATTTGGTCTATCACCAACCATCTGCCCCGGCCGCCACTTTGCTAGCTCTGAGATCTTGCTCCTGGTGGCCATGGTCATTCTTCGGTACGACATCGTACCCGTTGGTGGTGTATGGAAAGAGCCGAGCAAGGACACTTCGAGTATGGTCTCAATCATGGGCCCCATTAAGGAGAAGTTCCTGGTCAATTCGAGCCCAAGGAAGGAATACACAGGTACCAAGTGGGGATTCCATGTGGAGGAAGGAAAAGGGCAGTTCCCACTGGTCATAGGGTAGATGTTAGTATGTTCTATGGCAATGAGGGGTTTACTTGAGGAGATATAAACACGCGAACACGATGTCCACCGATAGCATGGGCGAATCGGACTTGTAAAGCACAAGTATATGGGGAAGTGATTTTATGTACACCTGAAAATAATCTCGTAACAGGGTCATAACACAAAGGGTTTGAAACAAGTGGCCACCACTAAAACGCCAGGGAAATGCAAGATGAACGGGAGCCATATTCGCGGATATCACACCACACGCAGCCGTCAAGCACCGTCGTGAATAAAGCAGAGAACAGGAGAAAATCTATGCCTTTGCAGCCTTTGCAGCTCCACCCTTGCCCTTTGCCTTACGCTTGCTGCGGTCCCGCTTCTTCAAGCCAGTCATACCGGCCTTGCAAATATCGGCATAACGAGTGTAGAATGCTTCCAGGTCACTAGCATTCACAACTGTAGAGAACTTGATCTTGTCCTTTGATGAAGCCTTTTTGGTGATCTTGCCATTCTTGCTTTCAGACTTAGGGTTCGGGGCATTGGTGTTGCCGTCGGTGGCACGGATAAGGATGGATGGCGGGGCTGTAGAGACGCCGTCGATGAGAGGCTTCTGGGAGAGGAACACCGAGCCGCGAGCCTTTTGAGAAGTTTTGGAGAGAAGGTCGGCGAGAGAGGTGAAGAACTGGTGGTAATCAATATCAGCATTGTCATGGGTTACTGCGGGAGGTGGTCTTGTGGCCGAATGTGTGGAATTTAGCTCCCGAGAGTATGAAAAGACTCACCTCCTCGTTGCTCAAGTGTGGTGCCATTTTTGAAATTATTTGTAATTGCAGGGCACGCAAAAATTGACCGATCGTGCCAGCTGAAGCTCCGTAGTCGCAATGCAATCTGCCAGCAACGTCCAAGAGTCTCTCGTGGGGGAAACTCCGCTGTGGGTGGGTCGCCGCCTTGTGTTTTGTCTGGCAGAAAATGCGGCAGTTGGAAAAAAGTTCGCTCACCGCCATGCTTTCGGCCTCTTTCTCGATCGAACGGCGCAATCAATCGTAGGTAACAGCAACCATGCCACGTCCCCAGCACAATACAACCTCCCTCCCGCGTGATTTACGCACAGAACTAGGTATTAGGGATACCTATGGTGAGAAGAAGCGCAAGCTCAATGGGCCTGCGAACCGGAAAGAACGCCGCCAAGCAGAGCGGAACAATAAGAAGTCGGGGAGACCTGCTGCAGCACCAGTGAAGAAAACTTTCCAACGACGGCCGCAGCAAAAAAGGGAGGAACCGGTCGAGGAGGATGATTTCGACTTGGATGAGGAATCGTCCAGCGACGAAACGCTTGTTGCGCCGGACAACAAGCCATCTTCAAGCCAAAAGCTTCAGTCAGACTCCAAGTCAGCCGTGACACTCAAACCGAAGCGGGCGCTCGAAATGAGCGATGAAAATGAGGATGATAGTTCCGACTATGAAGGGCAATCCGAAGAAGACGAGAGCGACCAAGATAATGGTGACAAGAGCATCCCACAGGGTGCTCATATTTCAGAAACTGTCAAGTCTAAGCTAGCTCAAGACGACGCCGAAATTGCTGCACTGGAGAAGAAGCTCGGTCTCAAGAAGGGAAAGAAGCTTCCAAAGGCATTTGCTGAGGATGGATTGGACGATCTGATGGGAGACTTGGGGGAGGCGTCAGAAGATGATAGCAAGAAGCGGAAGCGTGAAGCGGATGAATGGCTCCAAAGCAAGAGACAAAAGGCATTGCAGCGCCAGGCTCAAGTTTCGGAAGAGGAAGAAGATGAGGATTTTGATAGTGAAGATGACATGGACAATTTGGACGAGGAAGTCTTTGGTTCAGACGGGGAAGATGAGGATACCGAGGACAGTGAATTCGACGGGTTTGACAAGGAAGAGGAGGCACCGCCAAAGAAACGAGAAAATCCATATGTGGCACCTGTGCCCAAGTTGGAAACAGCACCGACTCAAAAATACATTCCGCCATCATTGCGAGCTCGCGGAGATCCCGAAAGTGAAGCCCTTACTCGATTGCGCCGACAGGCCCAGGGACATCTAAACAAGCTGTCCGAGGCCAACTTGGTGTCTATCCTTGCGGAATTCGAGAAGCTATATCGGGACCATCCGCGTCAAAATGTTACCTCTACTTTGATCACCTTGCTAATGGGTCTCATTGGTGAACGATCTGTTCTCAATGATACTTTCATCGTCCTGCATGCCGGTTTCATTGCTGCGGTATACAAGATCATGGGTATGGACTTTGGCGCTGAGATTGTCCAGAAAATCGTCGAGGCAATGGATGCGGGTGGTGATGAACGTGGCAAGTTTGAGGGCAAGGAGTACATCAACCTCGTTTCCCTCTTGTGCCAGCTGTACAATTTCCATGTCATTGGACACCCTTTGATGTTCGACTACATTCGTCTCTTCTTGCAAGAGATCAATGAGACAAATACCGAGCTTCTGCTCAAGATTATTCGGAGTACGTGAACTCCCACATTTTGTTGGGTTTTGACTTATCTAACGTGTCAATAGATGCCGGTCCTCAACTACGTCAGGATGACCCATCCGCCCTCAAGGACATCGTCCTGCTGATCCAACCTGCCATTTCCAAGGCTGGAGAGGGAAACCTCTCAGTCCGTACCAAATTTATGATCGAAACTATTACCGATCTCAAAAATAACCGGGTCAGATCCGGAATTGGCGCCAGCGTGACCTCGGAGCACATCACCAAAATGCGCAAGATCTTGGGCTCTTTGAATAACTCCCGAGTGATTCGTGCATCGGAGCCTATCAACATCACGCGTTCGGATATTCACGACTCTTCCAAGAAGGGCAAATGGTGGCTTGTCGGCGCCAGCTGGAGGGAGGATCCTCTTGTCTCTGCTCGCCAGGAGCTGTCCGACATGCAGGCGAAGGACGCTGATGCCATGGAGGATGACAGTGAAGCTGAGCCGGATTTGGCACACCTGGCCAGAGTCCACCGTATGAACACGGATGTGCGTCGCTCAATCTTCGTCGCTATCATGTCTGCGACAGACTTCCAAGATGCCCACGTTCGCCTTATCAAGCTCCGGCTCAAGCGTGCGCAAGAATTTGAGATTCCCCGTGTTCTCTTGCATTGTGCGATGGAAGAAGATGCTCACAATCCTTATTACACTCTGATTGCACGCCGTCTTTGCGGAGAGTCGGGCCGTCGTCTCAAAATGTCATTTATGTTTGCCCTCTGGAACATCTTTAAGCGGATGGGTGAACAAGGTGATGACGAGGGAGAGACAGAGTTTGATGCCGACGACGAGGAGACCGGTGTCTCCATGAAGGCTGTGGTCAATCTGGCCAAGATGTACGGGATGCTCATCGCAGACGGCACTTTATCGCTAAGTGTCTTGAAGAACCTCAACTTCGCTTATCTCCAACCCAAGACCAAGACATTCGTCGAGCTTTTGATCATCAGTATTATCCAACAGTCGCAGAAGACCAAGAAAAAGAAGAAGAGCAAGTCCCCCTCGGACGATGCCAAGGACGAAGAGTCTCTCATGCAGATCTTCTTGCGTGTCCAAGAAGCACCTCAAGCTGCCAAGGGATTGATCTATTTCATTCGCAAGGTTGTCGCAAAGACTGACCTTGTCACTGAGAAAGAGCAGAAGCTGGTGCGTTGGGGTTGCAATGTGGCCGTGGATGCTCTCAAGGCTGTCAAAGATTAATGACTGTGGGTGGATATGGAGGCATTGTGATTTGATTCTCATCTAAAATATACCCCTTTTTATAGACATACATGTCAATAGCTGCATTCAAATGAACATATCGACCAGCAATTTTCGTTGCACATAGCTCATGTCGGCATAAGGCGTAGATGTGATAAAGCTGTTACATGGCTTCCTCGACGAGGTCCCATTCCATAGCAATCAACCATTGTTGTGCTTTACTAGGTTCACCACCTTGAGGTACCTCTGTCTGAAACTCGTTGGCAGCAGCCAGGGCCTGGTGCTCTTCAAATGTGACATTCCAAGCTAGGCCGCGGTGGATTCCCAATAACTCCCTTTCGTGGATATAGCCCGATCCCGGCCCCCGGGTCTCTGATGGTGGTCCATGCGAAGGAGGCTTGGATCGCGACGGGCCCATGATCAATATATTAAGAATTTTCTTCTCATCATCTTCAGTCCCCGTAATGGCTACCTTCTCAGCTCGAACAAACGAGAGCGCCCCAGAGCTACTCAGCACGGCCGATCTTACCTGGAGCACGCGAGCAGCCACAAGATATCGCCCAAAATCAGTTGAACTATGCCCCGCCGTTGCAACTGTCTGGGTTATGGCACTCAAAGGCTCATGCTTAGATCCCATCTCAAGAATCCAACTGCGTACCTCGGCGGCCATACCGCCGGGCGCATAACCCACCCCGGAGCGATTCTTGCCACGCCGGTGGAGCGTCCTTGAGGAGGGTGAGAATGGTGCTGGTATATCATCTAAAGTAGCATCAGGCGATGGTGAGCGAGGAAGCACAAAAGCAGGCCTGCGGCGCTCTTGCGGGGAGGTTTGCTGGGTTGCGGATGGTGTCTCTGCTCGGAACGCAGGCTGACTGCTGCGCGGCTTGTGGGTCGATAGTACAAATCGTGGGCGACTGCGAAATGGCGTTTGTGTGCTCCCAGGAGTTGCGATTGGTGGCACCCATGGCTTAATGGACGTGGTTGGGGTTGCTAGGGTGCTCAGGTCCTGTGCCGTTGGACGCTGTAAAGGCCGAGCAGCGGGTGTCTCGAGAGGATCGACTGTCGAACCTCTCAGCTCGGGAACAGACGAATATCTTTGCTCCAGGGTATTTGCCAAGGTTTGGTCCGGTCCTTGAGTCCATCCTGCAGAGAGCCGCTGTCGTTTGTTTCCATCTCTTGTTGGCGCGAAAAGCGCGTCAAACTCAGCGTCCAGTGGCCCTGGTGTTCCTGGGTCAACAGATGGAGAGCTAGCGATAGAGTCATCGGCCAACTCATTGACCCCGTTGTCACGGCTGTCTGCATTGCCCAACCACTCGTCTTCGTCCGAGTCTTCGATCACATCCCGCTGCCGGCGCGGTTGAGGGCCCGCCTGTCTTAGTTGAGCCGTGGTGCGCGTGACGGGCGCAGTCGATGGTGGGGCGTCATCGTCGACAATCTCAGAATCACTTTTTCCCTTCTGCGGTGTTGCTTGCGATAAGAGGAACCGAGGCGAATTGGCGAATTGTGGTCCGGCACTTCGGCGCGTCGGTGGATGGCCGCGGGATAGGCGGAAGGGAGAAGGGGTCTGCGGTTGAAGTATGAGCTTAGCCGAGTATATCGGGTTGATCAATTAGCTTACCACCGGCGGAGGCATCTATTTAGATTCAGATAGCATTAGGAGAACGCGTTGCGCGTCTCGGGCGCATGGAAATGGCTGGAGGTTCGTATTGGGGAGTTGGAGAATTGGAGATTGCGATTGCGGGGAACCGTCACCTGGAGAAAGTCTGCAACTAGATATACCCCAAAGACTAACATTTTTTGGTACCATGAAGAATTATAACAGTAATGACCAACATTTATTCCTTAAAAAGATAGTAGTAATAGCAATTTTACTTGATGGGTGAAGATTGAACGTCTCATGTGCGTAATCTTATGAACTATGTTTCAACACAGCATGTATCGCTCGATCATTGAAGTAAGCTAGCCCTGTACTTATTTTCTATCGCGTTTCTCTCTATAGGATTCCAACAGATTTCACCATGGCGAAAACTATCAGCTGTCTAAAACTTGCTCCGAAACTTGCTCTTGCAAATCCTTTGTCTTTGTCTTCTTCGACTTGATGAAGAAAGTGGCAAGAATCGTAATGGACGCTGTACAAGTGTAAAAGATCCACATATTCCGCAACCCCAGGACATATTGCTTCCTGTTTGCAGCGCCTGAACTACCATTGTCAATAACAGTGGTCAGACTACCGCTGCCAATGGTCTGTTGAATCACGACTGTCCCGATCACAATCGAAATCGAAGTGGACAGGTTTCGAAGAAAAGTAAACGCGGACATCGCTGCCGATATATCACTCTGTCGCAGATGACTCTGTAACGCAATCATAGGGCTCTGGAAAAGTAGACCGGCCCCGACGCCGGCAACGACTTCAAAGACGATAATCCTTGGCCATGAAATGCTCGTACCAAAATCAATGAATAGACCAGTTCCCAATGTGAACAAGCTGGTTCCTAGGAATATCATGGCAAGGTAATTCCCCGTCTTTCTGACGAAGAAACCTCCACAGAAGGTCGAAATTGACATTGGGATGATCAAGGCGAATAGAGTGACTCCAGAGATAAGAGGTCTAAAGCCTAGGACCACTTGATAATACAAGGGTAGGAAGAAGTCGAATGAGATGAACACGAAAGCATGAAGACATGCAACGGTAAATGAAGCGAGGGAGGTGCTCTTCTGGAAGATTCGAACGGGAATCAGTGGCTTTTTGGCAAACTTGGCCTCCCAGACCATGAACAAAACCATAATTAGGGCACCAAAAACAATCAAGAGAATCACGGTGGCAGAATTCCATGGACGAAGACCACTGGAGCCAGTTTCGAGGCCGTAAAGAAAGCAAATTGTCCCTCCAATGATCAGCAGGAAGCCCATCCAGTCTATACTGTTCAACCCATCAGTCAGTGACTCCTTCTCAATCTCAACATTGAGATTGAAATAGAGCAAAACCAGAACGATTCCGTCAAAAGGTAGATTGATATAGACTGCTTAATCATTAGCATTCTTGTACGACTATTAATCAAGACACGAATTAGGAAAAGAACTCACAGCACCATCTCCAACCGATGCCATCGGTAAATGCACCACCGAGAACTGGCCCAATAGCACTGGCCATTGCAAAAGCAATACCGGTGATACCATAGTATTTAGCACGTTCGGCGAGGGCAAATATATCACCAATGATAACAGTCACGAGGACTATCGATCCACCACCACCTAATCCCTGGACGACTCTGCCAGCAAGCAGCGAGACGCTAGAGCTTGCCAATGCGCTCACGAGACTGCCTACCATAAAGATAATCACAGCAGCCATGATAGCAGGCTTCCTGCCAAAAATATCGGAAAGCTTGACCCAGACTGGAGTAGACGCGGTTGTAGCCAGGGTATACCCACTTCCAATCCACGCGTATTCTCGCGATGTCACATGAAGATGCGCTGCGATGCTCGGAAGGGCTGTCGAAATGATAGTGATGTCAAGCGCGCCCAGGAATAGAGATAAGCATAGTGATAAAACAATCAGTCGTCGCTGCCATACTCGCATCGGAGGGGGCGCGAAGGAAGTTTGCGTATCAAGTCGTTCAACATCGTTTGATGTGCCTTTTTCTTCGGCCGCAGGCTCTAAGTTATCTGCCATGGTATCTTTGATTGAGAGAAAGTATTAAAATTTCTCCCTTCGATAAACTTTGCGGAGATCATTTTAAACGATACAACAGCTCAGTACTTCCCCACTCGGGACCACTTGCCGTATGCCAAGATGGCTCGGGTCTGCCACACAAGCAAAGTCCGGGGAAGCGATAATGTCCGAGGAAGCATTAAATCCGGGGATTCCTGTTTCTGGAATGGTGAGATGCATTAGATGGGTCGATCCCTGCACATCGGATCCTTAGTCGACTAGGGATTTAGGGTTGAAGCCTGAGGCTGTTATTTAGGTCTCGGTATGTTGTAGATCTCCACGACTGTTCAGGCACACATTCTCGTTGTTTCCCCACAATTCTTACAATCTCTCATTCGGAGAGACAGTCCCTGGCAGCGCTTGCTTCAGACACCCCGATGTTAAAGGCTTAGAGTCATTTCTCTCGATACCAGCGATATCTTATGAAACTTGCGCAACTACCAGGTTTCATTAGCCTGAATCGGGGCATCAAGATGTGCCATACTACATGATGAATAGGTCCAGACTTTCTGCGGCTGCCATGAGGCAAATGATTGGCATAATGAATATTAATGGCTTGGTAGGGAAGTCACCCGTCTAATCTAAAAAACAACCTGTTTGTACGATGTTGCTGAGAGACAAATTATGCTTGACTTTTTCGTCCTAAAGCTTGAAAACTCACAAAATTTCAGACTACTGATATGGAGTCGATAATATGTAAGTCGTGGAGTCGGTAGAGGCCTTGGCTTTACTGATCAGGGCCTCTACTGATCGGATACCAAGTCTAAAGACCAACATCAAAAACGGACCTGAATTGGTGGCGTGGGGAATTTGAAAATCTACACTGGTCTGATTTTATGGAATGATCCATGCCTTACACATGCTTTGAGACGCTTTCTCGTTATAGTATAGGTATGTACAGGTCACAAATGGAGAAATCGGCCTGCTATATAAAGACAAGCCTATGAATGAACTTGAACGAAATCTAGAACTTGACCTTGAACACAAGGGCTTGATTATCTAGATCATAGCCTGACGCGTCCTTGTAAGAGAACTTACCAAAGTTCATGTGGCCTAGGTAAAGCGTTAGTAACATGTAGCTATCACGGCATTGGAATAACTTACCATCCTGAGTGATGAAGTCATTATCACTGAGACTGAACAGGAAATACTCCTGCTCTCCGCGCTTGTGGTGATTGCCATTCTTGGACGGGTTCACAGGGACAAGAGCCAGACTCTCCCATTTCTCGTTCAGCAAGTATTGATCCTGGGATCCTCCATTGTGAAGACGGAACTTGGCCAGCTCCGAGTTGACATTGAAGTCCAGGAATGAGCAGTATTCTGCGGGAGTAATGCCGTCCTTGAGGACGCCTTTCGACGAAGCAATAGCACCAGTAGCGGTGTCGTAATCACTCTGGCCCTTGAAATCAGTGATAGACTGATTCTTCAACACGGAGAAAATATCCGCCTGTCTATACACAGACCGCGACTGGTCTTGTCCATGGCCAAAGCCAGAGTCGCGGGACAGGATCAGGAAGTCGCCATTTGGAAGCTGATGGATTTCCGACTGCGAGGCAACCTTATTGGCTTTGCTCGTATCATCTGAAGTGTAGTCATAGTACTTTGGCAGTATCACTACCCACTCGTGAATATAGCGGGGCGTCTTGCCAGAGATATCGTACGCAAGCAGACGAGCTGGGGCGCGGTATTGCTTCTTTGGCCCACCCTCCTGGTCAAGCGAGCTCTGAATCAGCGTATAGAGGGTCTTGCCATCGGGAGAGACAGTCAGACCCTCAAAGCCCTGGTTGTTATCTCGACCAGAGTCGGTGTCCTCGGGGATAGGCACCTCAGCCGGGTCGTACAGGGGTGGAGAGTTAGCACTAAAGCTGAGAGTATTGTTCCGGCGAGGCAGGTAGGCCTGCGGAGGCTGAATTGCAACCTCCATGCGACCCGAAGCACTGAACTTGTAGACGTACGGGCCGTACTCGTCAGACACCCAGAAACCACCGTCCTTCGCGAGGGCCAGACCCTCTGCGTCAATGGAGATTCTCTTGCCACCCTTGCCGGCACCGCCGAAGCCATCGCCCGTGTAGGTCGCCGCTGGCAGGGGCGGGAAGCCGGGGAAGGAAGCATTACCGGTAGCATCGGCGTCCAGGCCAGTGGTGGGATTACCGTCGGGCCCGGTCAAGAGAACAGTATCGAGATACTTCAAGTGCAGATTGGGGTCGGAAGGGTTCGTGGCCGAAGCATGGGGGGCCAACTTAAGCGTTATGGCAAACTTGTGAATACGCGATTGGAAGTTGAGAGTTCCATTGGTGTTCCTATGATGATTGTCAATTTTTGAGACTATTGATTTGAAGATTATAGGGCAAGAGTCCTTACCATCCACGATCCGGGATCGTATAGATTGTTCCCGAGTAAACATCAGCGTCCGACTTGCGCCATGATGATTGATCGATAGCAACGGAGCTGCCAATGCCACCAATGGTGTCACCGTACTTGTCCGTCGCGTTGGATGGAATGAAACCATACCCAGCTAGCCCGGTATACTTGTAGGTAGTCCCGGAGCAAGTAGTCTGGTTAACAACATTGTTCGCAGCCCTTGCGACCGCAGCCAGCAGGGCAATCGCCAGAGTTGACTTCATAACGTCCAAGCAACTAGATGCGGATTACTTTTCTCCAGGCCGTTCGCAATAAAGCAGCTCAGACGCTGCTTTTTCTAGCTTATCGGCACCATGCGACTCCGAAAACGCATGCTAGCCGGCTGTGTAATTTCCAAGACGCTAGGCCGGGACTAGAGCATGGAGCACTCAACGTGCAAGGAGTGACGAACTTCATTCGCTGATTGATGCATCCCATGCCAAGCAGGATCGTGGAGAGTCGGCTATCAATCTTCCAAACTGATTAATTGCAGATGCTAGCACCGCTTCTGGTTGGTGCGGGTAGTCGGTGGTGTGGAGAGGAAGACGATGCGACTGCAGGGGGAAAGTGCCCGAGTGCCAATCCCTGCCTTCATCGGCCTGCGTTGCCTCCACGGATACGCCAAGGGAACTATACGCCAAGGGAACTATGCCCAGTCGATTCCAGTGAGCGACTTGAAATGGAGAATTGTCACTCGTGTTATTCCTGATCGAATCAAATACGAGGCCAGTAATTACTCGATGATCGATAATTTTTCGGAAAATTTCCAAGAAATTGCGTGAACTACAGTTGCTTTTACAAAGAGCTGGGCTTGAGTTGGATGATTGAAGTCAAAGAAAACTCCTCAATGAGGTGGGAAAACCTGATCGAGAGCAATTCAAAGTGGCCCATTCGAACGGAACTTGCCATCTCTTCCAGGAAACATTTGAAAACTCAAGCAGTCGTCTCTTCAGCACCCCACGTCGTCGGCACGCCGGTATACTTCTTCGCATCCAAACCAAGATCCAGGAAGATAGTTGAATCGCCTGTCGGAAATATCAGTCGACCATACAATATCAATGTGTTCGGACTGGTCCAGTCTCTTACCATCTAGTGCCTGGATCCGATCCTCATTTTCATGTTCCATCCTCTCTAGCTCCTCTCCTGGCTCTATCTCGTGTGGCTTCTTTCCCCCCTCAGCCGTGGCGGCTTTGCCCAATGAGTCCTGCGCCTCCCCGATCATTAAGAATTGAGCATTCGGATATTCGATAAACTCGGGCTGTAGAGGCAACCATCGAAGGTCACCAAATTTCTCCATAACCCTGCAGAACAAAGTTAACGGCTGTAAAATCATTCTAAATCTCTGGCTTTTCTGAAGGCCCAGACTTACGACTCGGGGTATTCAGGTTCCTTTGGCAACCTAGCAAATGAGGGACCAGGGTACTTCGGATTCTTGGATTGGACGATGAAGCTCCCACGCTGATGTAGTCCAAAGTTCTCCTGGATTTCTCCAATCTCGTGAGGAATAGTCAGCACGTAGGCTAGGTGAGATGCCCGTCGAGTGGACGTAAGTGCATAGACTCCCTCCGCGTACGGACGAGCCTCTTCAACGTGGCGCTCGCCACGAGTAGAGGTCTGATATGTAGAGCCGGCAACAAAGTTCTCCTGTAGATCTTTCATCGACTGGTTGGTCTTTTCCACGAACCCCATGTCTCGCTCCTTGCCCGATGTGGGAAACTTTTTCTTCGGGAGCAGCAACAGGCGACATCGGGCATCTTTGTCGACTGGACCTTGTCCTGAACCCAGCTCAGCACCTAGCGGCATTGGACGCAGCACGAAGAAGCTGCGAGCGACGTCTTCTACTCCCTCGGGATCCTCGACGTTGACCCGAGGCCGGAAAAAGAAGTAAACTATGCCCTTTTCTAGAACATTGGAAGAGACTTTGTCTTCCCGCTCCTCAGAGTTGCGGATACCAGACTCGACGTTTCGCTCTGATTGAGCGCCGGGTTGGGGGGTTGAGGTCGGAGCTGCAGGAGCTTCCTCTCCCTCCTTGGGAGATTTTGCTGAAACATTGTCGACCTCCGCGTCTGGCTCTACCTTTTCCTCCGATTGCTCCGGTTGTTTTTCTTTGGTCTCCAACTCTGGTTCTGGTGGCTTTTCAACCTTCGGCTCTGGCTTGTTTTCTATCGTCACCTCCTCTTCTTGATGTGACTTTTCTTCCTTTTTCTCTTTCTTGGGCGCTGGTGCCTTTTGCTCCGGGGCTTTGCGTTTTGCGCCCACGCTCGCTTTGCCACCCGTTTCACTTGTTGTAGAAATGGCTTCTTTGGCCTTCTGTGCGGCCCGGCGAGAAGAGGTGCGAGCCATGACGACCGTACAATTCTTTCTGATTGAGTTATAAGCGATCGGGATTGATATCCAGACTTAGAATGCTGTCACTGAGGAAGGAACTTGGAAACAGCAAGCTGGACAACTTCTTGAGGTCAAAACTGCAGCTTGGCCATGAGATACAGATGACGTCATGGCATCCGTCCTCAGCTCGGAACCGCCAGATGCAGCTCTGGGTGAGTTGTTCTTTGTTCTTTGGAATCGCAAAAGAGCGGTTGTCCAAGGCCAATCTCAGTCAATGTCCATCTCGTCGACTAAAGCAGAGTCGTCCGCAGTGTCGGCACTACTGCTCGATTGCCAGTCCGAACTTGAGCTCTGGTTGACTGCGGTATCACGGAAATCATGTAGAGAGGTAGAGTGGGGATCTTCAGGACGTTCCTCTTGTACCTTACTGCGTCTACGGCGTCTCTTCGGACTCAGACCACAGAGAGATAATGCAGGATCGTCTAGCTTGGCCCGGGATTTGGACCGAGGAATGGCCGTGTAGGAGTCTCCGGCGCTAGCTACACCGATTGGCTTTCGCTTCTGACCTCTCTTAGGCACTGGTGAAAGCTTAGCGCTTGGTTTTGTCACGGCCTTGCCATCTGCATGGTCCATATCATCGATGCGATCGATCAGCTCGCGCTGCCATATCTCAAAATAATCTGGGAGGCACGGTAACGCAAGCCTTCGCTGCACGGGAGGCTCTGGGTCGTCATCCGGCTCCTCGATTGCATATGGTCGCAGGACCTTGACCTCCGATATATCTGACATGTCTTCTGGTGGGTTCTCATGTGTTGGTGTGGACGGTCCGGAGTCGTTCACGCTATGACTGCTGCTATCTGTCGCGACACCTGCTCCTTTATCGGCCGACGAGCAGGGGTGACATGAGAAAGGGCTTGCTGGTTCATTCGTTTGATTTGAGGAGATCATCTCGTCCATGCATAGCTCTTTTGTCATATTGTAGCAAGTCGAGTGGGTCAAGTATCTTCCCAATGTGTGATGCTCTAGGCTTAGGTTCCATCACGTCACCAGCTGCAACGAGAGAATGCTAACCATAGAGATGCTGCAAATGGAAAAGAGTCAACACAAACACAACTTGGCGCAAGAAGAGTATTGAGGAAATATGGAGACCATGATTATCAAAAAAAAAAAAAAAAAGAATGCAAGAGTCGCTGGCTTAGGACATGAAGCGAGTATTCCAGACGCTTCTAGCGGGGAAAGGGGAAGCTCCCCAGATCCCCAATTGGCAGTTGACGAACCACCACCACATGTAATACCCACTACCAGAAGCCAAAGCTTTGAAAATAGATCTATCAAGATCGAAATCTTATATGGAGCAATAATACTTGATCTCCAGATCCAATGGTGTGTCTAGATTAAAGTTAACGTATAGTTCTAAGACTTCGTAGTACTTTTGTTCCAGTTGGGGGACCCCTGATGGCTCACCGCCCACAGGTTGATTGGCCACCGCCTTTCGCTTCCACAATTGAGTCCACGTTTAGTTTACCTCCTCTGCTCTCCATGCACAGGCATCCACGACCACTGCGCCTTGCCCTTCTCTCCTCTTTTTTGTCCCTGGTGGATGCAGTGGTTGCCTCTGTTACCTATTCTTCTTTCGTGTGCGGAGCTTGCTGCTGTTTGGTGCGGCTCCGGCCAACTCTGTTAAGATGCAGTCCTCTCCAAACATGCTCACCAAGGTACGCCCCTCGATCACCGCTTCATTCAGCTCCCCATCTTTCCAGGCTTGGATCGCACCACTTTGACTCAATTGGACTTGCTAATAACCATCCACCACACAGTTTGAGTCAAAATCCTCCAGAGCCAAGGGAATCGCATTCCACCCTAAACGGTACGTCGGTCCCGCGGGGACATAACAACACGTTGGAGCATCGGCACTGACCTCAAGAATATCATCAGACCATGGATTCTCGTCTCCCTCCACTCCTCCACTATCCAGCTTTGGGACTACCGCATGGGAACTCTCATTGATCGCTTCGAAGAACACGATGGCCCCGTTCGAGGAATCGATTTCCACCCGACCCAGCCCCTGTTTGTCTCCGGTGGTGATGATTACAAGATCAAGGTCTGGAACTACCAGACTCGGAGGTGTCTGTTCACATTGAATGGCCATTTGGACTACGTGCGCACAGTCTTCTTCCACCCCGAGCTCCCATGGATTCTCTCTGCGTCCGATGACCAGACCATTCGAATTTGGAACTGGCAGAATCGCTCTTTGAGTAAGTTGCAAGGTGTTCGGCATAGCGTTAGGCTTGGCAATTGCTAACGGCTGGTGTGTCTCGCAGTCTGTACTATGACCGGCCACAACCACTATGTGATGTGCGCGCAGTTCCATCCTACCGAAGACCTGATCGCCTCCGCCTCCCTGGACCAGTCTGTCCGCATCTGGGACATCTCCGGTCTGCGGAAGAAGCACTCCGCCCCAACCTCGGTGTCATTTGAGGACCAAATGGCTCGCGCTAACCCGAACCAAGCTGACATGTTCGGCAATACCGATGCCATCGTCAAGTTTGTGCTGGAGGGGCACGACCGAGGTGTGAACTGGGTGTCGTTCCACCCAACGTTGCCATTGATCGTCTCCGCTGGTGACGACCGGCTGATCAAGCTCTGGCGCATGAGTGGTTGGTTCTTTATCACAGCTCCTTGGTGATAGGTCATGCTAATTGATTATGAAATTCAGATACCAAGGCCTGGGAAGTCGATACCTGCCGCGGCCACTTCCAAAATGCTTCCGCTTGTCTTTTCCACCCCCACCAAGACCTCATCCTCTCCGTCGGCGAAGATAAGACGATCCGCGTGTGGGATCTTAATAAGCGGACTTCCGTCCAGTCTTTCAAGCGCGACCAGGACCGATTCTGGGTCATTGCTGCCCACCCGGAGATGAACCTGTTCGCCGCTGGTCACGACACTGGTGTGATGGTCTTCAAGTTAGAGCGCGAGCGCCCCGCGTCTGCCGTTTACCAGAACCAGCTTTTCTATATTACGAAGGAGAAGCACGTCAAGTCATACGATTTCGGCAAGAACGTCGAGTCTCCTCCCATGTTGTCGCTGCGCAAGCTCGGCTCTCCCTGGGTTCCTCCTCGCACTCTTTCTTACAACCCTGCCGAGCGCGCCATTCTGGTCACCTCGCCCACCGACAGCGGAACCTACGAGTTGATTCACCTTCCTCGCGACGCCACTGGTGCCGTCGAGCCCACCGACGTCAAGCGTGGCCAAGCCACCTCCGCAGTCTTCGTTGCCCGCAATCGCTTTGCGGTCTTCAACCCCTCCAGCCAGCAGGTCGACATCAAGGATCTTAGCAACTCCACAACAAAGACCATCAAACCCCCAGCCGGCACCACGGACATCTACTTCGGCGGCACTGGCTGCCTGCTCTTCATTACCCCCACCACCGTCACCCTCTTCGATATTCAACAGAAGAAGCAGTTGGCCGAGCTTGCTGTCAGTGGCGTGAAGTATGTTGTCTGGTCGAATGATGGTCTCTACTGTGCGCTGCTTAGCAAGCACAACGTCACGATTGTTACCAAGACCCTGGAACAAGTCAGCACGCTGCACGAGACCATTCGTATCAAGAGCGCGACTTGGGATGACTCTGGTGTGCTTATCTACTCGACCCTTAATCACGTCAAGTATTCGCTACTCAATGGGTACGTTACTACAATTCTCTTGTCTCAAACAACGGCCATACTAATCGATCAATCTTCACAGTGACAATGGCATTATTCGCACCCTCGACCAAACCGTCTACCTCGTCCGCGTCAAGGGCCGCAACGTGTACTGCCTCGACCGCAATGCTCAGCCTCAGATCCTCGCTATCGACCCCACCGAATACCGATTCAAGCTGGCACTGGTCAAGCGGAACTACGATGAGATGCTCCAGATCATCAAGACCTCGAGCTTGGTAGGCCAGAGCATCATCTCGTATCTGCAGAAGAAGGGCTATCCCGAGATTGCGCTGCAGTTCGTCCAGGATCCGCAGACCCGTTTCGACTTGGCCCTGGAGTGTGGCAATCTGGAGGTTGCTATCGAGATGGCTCGCGAGTTGGATCGCCCCAACTTCTGGAACCGACTGGGAGCTGAGGCCTTGGCTCACGGTAACCACCAGACTGTCGAGATGACCTACCAGAAGCAGCGGAACTTTGAGAAGCTCTCCTTCCTCTATCTCGCGACCGGCGATCAAGAGAAGCTTGCTCGCATGGCCAAGATTGCTGAGCACCGAGGAGATTTCACTTCTCGCTTCCAGAACGCCATCTACCGTGGTGACGTTGAGGATCGTATCCAGATGTTCAAGGAAGTCGATTTGTGTACGTGTTTCAAGGTCCTTTTCCCTGTCAGTACTATTGATATGCTAACTTTCTCATAGACCCTCTGGCTTATCTGACCGCAAAGTCGCATGGCTTGACCGAGGAGGCTGAGTCAATTCTGGAGGCCTGTGGTCTTACCGAGGATCAGATCGCCCTGCCCTCTCTCGAGGACCCCCTCAAGGTTCCGCACCCCATCGTTCCTACCTTCAAGTCCAATTGGCCCACCAAGGCTGCTGGTCACTCTTCGTTTGAGAAGGCCCTCCTCGGCGAGGTCGGTGCTGGCGACGAAGAGGCTGCTGCTGATGACTTTGAGATTGAGGAACACGAGACGGAGGCTGTTCTCGCCAAGGACAGCCTAGAGGATGAAGAGGAAGATGCCTCTGGCTGGGACATGGGAGATGATGTCAATGTTGAGGAGGACGTTGAATTTGTCAACGTTGAGAGTACCGAGGCTGGTGCAGGCAGCTCCGAGGCTGACCTGTGGGCTCGCAACTCGCCTTTGGCGGCTGATCACGCTGCCGCCGGCTCCTTTGACACTGCTATGCAACTTCTGAACCGTCAGGTCGGTGCTGTTCAGTTTGCTCCCCTCAAGGACCGCTTCCTTGAGATCTATAAGGGCTCCAAGACTTACCTCCCGGCCTCTACTGGTCTCCCGCCTCTGGTCAACTATGTGCGAAGAACCACCGAGGAGACCGATAGTCGCAAGGTCCTCCCCATCATCCCTCGTGATCTCGAGACTATCGCTAGCGTTGACCTCCAAGAAGGTTACGCCGCCATGCGCTCTAACAAACTGGAGGACGGTGTAAAGGTTTTCAAGCGTATTCTGCACACGCTGCTTGTTAACACTGTTGCATCCGAAAGTGAGGTTGAGCAAGCAAAGAAGATCATCACCACTGCCCGGGAATACATCCTTGCCATGACGATCGAGCTTGAGCGCCGATCTCTCTCTACCGACACTCCCGAGGGTCTCAAGCGTAGCCTGGAGTTGTCTGCATACTTCACCATCCCCAAACTGGAAGTTGCTCACCGACAATTGGCCCTGATGGCAGCCATGAAGCTCGCCTTTGCCAACAAGAACTACAACTCTGCCCTGGGCTTTGCCAACCGGATGCTGGCCAACGGCGGCTCTGCCAAGCTTTTGGATCAGGTAAGATCTCTTACAACCATTGATATAAGTCGATTATGCTTTTACTAACTCGGGCGTCTACAGGCCAAGAAGATCAAGGCTCAGTGCGAGCGCAACCCTCAGGATGCGATTGATATCGAATTCGACCAGTTCGCCGAATTCGACATCTGCGCTGCCTCCTTCACTCCCATCTTCAGTGGCTCTCCTTGTGTGACGGACCCCTTCACTGGTGCCAAGTACCACGAGCAATACAAGGGCAGCGTCTGCCGGATATCCGAGGTAACCGAGATTGGCGCGCCAGCCAGTGGCCTGCGCCTCTTCGTCCCGGCTCAATATTAGGTTGATCGTTCTGCATATGACGAAGTTTGACGGTTTCTTCCCATCCTTTTTCTTCCTTCCCTTTTGACATGAAGTTATAAAATGGGGCATATTATTTTCATTTTCCTCTTCCCTCTTTGTTGTTTTTCTCCTGCGTTGAGACGAAGTCGTGTGTTTGGCGGCGCTTTTTCTTTCGGGAGAACGAAATTCCCCGGCTCTTCACACCCTGTCTAGATCTTCCTGTACTCGAGATTCTAATTGCTTAGCGGTCTTAGTTTGTATGTGAATTTGATCCAAAACGGACTCTCCCACGTATAGAAACTAGAGCTAGTCTGGCGGATATAGTTAAATGAAGCCTCGCGTGGACTCATCAAGATGTTCCATCGTTCAATAGCAATACAAGAAGGGAGAAGTCTATAATAATCGGGAGCGGAGAAGGCACGATCCCAAACTGCGCTCTACATCAACCATGATCTTACAGGTACCCGGACAGAGTATATCATCACCCTCCTCTTCAATCACACCGGCCATCCTTCCACCCAGTCCTCCACCTCTCCTCCCAAAGGCGACAATCAAACTCCTTCTTCCCCAACTTCCGATTCACCTCATTATGCGCCTCACACATCCACCACCCAAACTCCTTCCGCCCACCCAATTTGGGCTGATTCCGCCCACTCGGATGTGCCATCCAAGTCCTGAAATCGTCCGCACACACCCAGCATGGATATAGCTTGGAGAAGAACTTCAGGAACCCCTGCATGTCTTCTTGGTGTTGCGCAGAGGCCTTGTCGGGGTATGTAGCCGCCATCGTGTGCAGGAGGGTCCAGGTTGAGCGGCCGAGTTGTTCAACGTCGGGTGGACAGTCGGATGGGACTTCGGTGGGTTGAGGGGTGGACTGTGAGGTTGTTGCTGGGGTGGAGCTTGTGGTCGAGGTTGATGATGAAGCAGAGGAGGGGGAGGTTTGCGATTGTTGCTTTGTGAGGGCGCGCCATGAGGCGATTGATGTACAGGTTCGGCAGCTGGAATAGCAGGTTAGGAATGGGTTATAGGGAGGTTGGTCAGGCTAGGATACGACACTCACGGCTTGCCATCCTTATCGAGGACTACGCCCTTGGGTAATGGGGCTTTGGAGTCACCATCTTGCGATTCTTTGGTGGATTTGGGAGGGGTTTGGTTAAAGGCGTGTGGCAGGGTGTGGAATTGCGCATCCAACTGCTCCGGTGGGACCTCGGCCATGATTTGAGACTGGATCAGAAGGGTTATTGGAGAGGGTGTGAGGGTTGGGTTGGGAGGAAAAGTGGCGGAAGAGGCTCGCGGGTTCTTGTTGATTTCTAATGCGGAGACTTTGTCGGAGGCGGAGCTTTCGGAGGTCGCTGATCTGCGGCAGCTTAATTAAGCCCCGAAACTATCATTCCACAGGCAAAAAGAGTGGAAGCTCTAAAATTAGAAGGCAGTGAACTATGATTTTTTTTTTTTCTGAAAATATCAAATTGCAGATGTGAAACTTCACCTCATTTGAAATAAGAGACTACATACTTCGCATACAGGCGAGTAACAGTCTAGGAGCACGTGCCAGCTTCATAGATAGAGATATCCAGCCAAGTTCGATTGGCGGTTTCAGGCACCATATCTACCCCCCTTTGCTATACTCCTCATGGTGGACAACCTCTGTCGGGAGAGAGAATGTGTACCTGTTCTCCAGCGCAGAAGATGGAAAATACAGTCCAGCGTGCAAAATGCAGAGCCTCTGTAACATAAACCTCCAACTCAAGCAATATTCAGAGAAGATACTAGGATCAAGACAGTGAGAAACGAGAGCTGAGCTAACCGAGGGCGACCATCAGGTTACGATGAACGGCCTCAAGCAAATAGTGCTCGAAAGTCAATGATACCATGTTTTGTCCTTGACTAAAAGTCATCTCAAGACTTCAACTCCACATTGCAGCGAAGTAGAAGATCTCGAATGGGGTGGAAATTTACCATCCTGGCCAGTCCAAGAACATTGACACCAGTGCCAGGATCAGCAATCTTTGGATTGGCACCAGCCTTGAGCAGAATCTCCGCTACCTCATAGTTATGCCGCCAACAAGCAGCAAACAAAGGCGTAGCTCCGACACGACCACCTGGAGCATTGACGTCTATACCGGGATCGGACGCCAGAATAGCCTTGACAATGGGGGCCATGCCAAACGAGGCGGCATAGTACAGAGGGTCCGTATTTTCAATGATGCAATGATTCACCCCAGGAATCAAAGCTTCCATCCAGACACCGTAATTACCCCGACGGGGGAGATCTTTGGTAGCAAAGAATCTGTTGACCAATTGTCGCTCGGATTCTCCAAACTTGCAATGAGTGCTGTGGGTGGGCCAGAAGTATGTTGCGTAGAATAGGAACGAGCGTACTTTAGTTCGCCTTTTCCACTCACCATATCCGTGTTTAAAGTTATCCAGGCAAAGATATGTCAGACACTTTCGCATGATTGTGGCATCGGCGGTCGAAGCGTCCAAGGCGAACTGGCTCACGCGAGACGTACGGATCCATTCCGAAGTCAGAAATTCCTTGACGGATGAATGAGCGAGATTGACGTGTCCGACTTGGTCTACGGAGATAAGCCCTTGACAAAGGTGGAGCAGAATGTCCCGAGGAACGAGCAACATGTCCTCGTCTAGGACCGTGTCGGTTTCGTCGAGAACCACGACCTCATTCAAACTTTTCAGGGTCAGGGGCTGTTTCGCAAAGCTGAGCCAGAAGAGAGCTTCGCGAACGAATGGTATGTCTTCCGGGTTAATGTGTTCCAGTGTATTTGCGTACATCTCCCTAAGAGTCCCGGGAAGATTGGAAAGGGAAGCTCGCATTGCCTTGGCGGTTCTCTGAGCACAAAGGTTGTCCAATGAGAGTTGAACCCATCGAAATCTATAGGAGTGTCAGAAGAAATACAAGGAAATCGTGGTAGAGTACTGACGAGCCATCTGCGTCTTTGAGCAGGGTCTCTGAAATTTCAGCCTGCAATTTTGGAGTTAAATTCCGCAAGGCATTATCGTGTTCTAGGCGGTACTGAATGAACGTCTCGATGTCCTCTTTCATCGTTCCAGCCCTGATGTTCAAAAAGTTAGCTTCTTTAGAAGAAGCTCTCGTCGATGTTGTTGTAACCAGGATACGAATGTTCGGAGACAGCCGCGCCAGTTTCAACAAAGAATCTTCGATACGATCCGTCTCGGAGCTCTCATTCAGAGCGTCAACGAGAATGACAAATCGGGACATTCCAGTAGAGTGTTTGATGATTGCGTCTTCAAGAGCCGAGATATCAACCGGAAGTCTGTGGGTTTGAGACTTGGGAATCTTATCATAGAGTGATCGGATATTTCCCAGTATCGCCGGGTTCGACCTGGCAAGTTGTGCAACCAAGGAGCCTAGGACGTTGACGGGAGCCTGAGAGGCAGTATTGCTGATTGTGCAATAGAAATAGGCAAAGCATAGACTGGGATCGCCCGAAGCCATCGAAGCCAACTCATCAACAGTCTGAGCACTAGAAGAATGTTAGCCAAGTATGAAATCATGAAAGATCCATTACAAACTGACAAAAGTGTCGTCTTTCCTGTTCCAGCTATATGAGGGACTACGTCAACTCTGAGAACTATTTCTGAGAGCATAGGGGGGACCAGTCATACATTTACCAACAAGAAAGAGGATATTCTTCCCACCTAACGGATTTCGAAGCCAAGCTTTCAAATGCGACTTGGTGAACCATCGCCCCGTTCCAATACGTCGTCCATTAGATGCTCGAAGGTGCGAATCAGCCGGGCTCACCGGCGCAATCCACTTGAAAAGCGCCTCATTGTCTCGTTGCACTCTTTCCTGCTCTCGAATGCGCAAATCTTCCTTCAAGTTCCTCGTCAAGCTAGTTATCTCTTGATGGAGATCTTTCTCTGCCGCCGCGGTATCTGCCGTGATCACCAATATCAACCACGATTTGACCCTCTCGAGTCGCACGAGATGCGCATTGATTTGATCTTGTGTGAATGGCCATTCTAATTTTTGCTTCAACTTTTTGAATTTCGTCGCAGGCTCTTCCAGTTCTTGAAGCAGGGTTTGGAGGAACTCGTTCGCCGTGAATAGGACTCGTGACATTACGTCGCGGTCGAATTCGCCCGAGGACTGCTCTGACTCGGTCTCTTTCTCTGATGTCGGTGTATTGTCACCTATACCAGTGGAGATGTGCTCTAGAATGCCCTTGAGAGCAAATAATTCCTCACTCAGCTTGCGCATGTCGGACTTGGCGCCCTGCACGGCTTTGGCATAATCGATCACACGAGACAGCACATGGCTAACTTCTATGATCAGCCCAGTTATAGAGATGGGATCCATTGCGGCGAGTTTAGTGACCAAATGTCGACGGGATCTGACAATCCCAGATGAAACACTTCCGGGAAAAGGGAGCCAAGGGTATTGAAAGAGACTCTACAGTCCTTCAGCTGACAGCCTTAAAAGGATGCCATGGCTCGGCGGGGTAGTTGTGGGCGAAGCTTATGGTATCCACTTCGTATAGATCGCCCTGCCGAGCATCTTCTCGTTCTACCTGTGACTGGTGTAGTGCCAGCTGAAGACTCGAGACGTGCCAGCACATCAATGCTAAGCTTCTTGACTTTGTATCAAGCTCATAGCTGTATCAATATCTAACCGTAAGAGGTGTGCAACTCTTAAGTGTGTACTTGGGGTCAACCAGATTTGCTCTGCTTGCCTGTAGATATACAACCGCACCGGACTTGATCTTGGTGGTTAGATGACGAACCTAATTTTGCAAACTGTAGCAGTTAGTTTCACAACCATTCATTTACTTATATTTCAATCCAATGATCCTTGGTTTTCGTCCGTCATACGATGGTGCTGAGAGTCGTTGCAAAAGCAAGTATAGATGAGATGTTTAGGGATGCCTATGCCTGTGGCGGGCGGTCAGGCGTTAGCCGTGGCTTCTACGCTTGGGGAGTCGCGACTCCATCCTCAATCACTGACGACGCGTTCTTGATACGTCTAAAGTGATAGCCTCCTAAATTTCGCTTTTTAGAAAAGACGTTTATCTTATTGACGCGCTCCTACCACCATCTACCACCTTATAACGCCTTCAAACCGAGCGATCCACGCGCGCGACCCGCCCGCCAGACCGACGCCGCAGTATAGCCATGGCGCCGAAATATACACTATCGGACTCGGAATCAGAGGCGGAGGCTGCGGTTCCCTCCGATCAGGCATTGGAAAAGGCACTGCGGAAGGAAGTCGCGACGAAATACAAGGCGAAAAATTTCGAAGAACTCACCGTGAAACGCGTGCGTCGCGCCGTTGAAGAGAGATTGAGTCTTGAGGAGGGATACTTGAAGAATACGGGCGACTGGAAAGCGAAAAGCGAGGAGATTATTAAAGATGAATTTGTGAGGCTTTGCCTGGCATTCAATACGGGTTGATCTGAATTCATTGCTGATTTGAGTGTGCGACACAGGAAATACTGCGAAAGAGTGCGCCCGAGCCAGAGTCCGACCCAGAGCCAGAGCCAGCCGTGTCGCGCCCTCTAGAACCGAGTCAGAAATTTACAAACAAGCGACACAAGGTCGAAAGCACGCAGAAGCCCAGAAAGCGCCAAAAGACACAAACGCCAGTTTCGGACGACGAGGACGAGCTATCGGAACTCCCTGATGCCGAGAGTGAAGACGAGGTTGCAAAACCCAAGAAGGGCGCACGACGAATGACAAAGACCACCGAGGTTAAGAAACCCAAAGAACCTTCACCAGAGGCACTCGAAATATCCGATGGTGAAGCGGAGGCAGCGATTGTGACCAAAGATGACTCTGAGAGCGAAATGTCCATTGTGCTAGACGAGGAGCCTAAGCCCAAGGCCACGCGAAAGCGGAAAAGCAACGAGGGTACTTCAAAGAAGGTTGCCCCCAAGAAAGAAAAGAAAGCCGCCAAAGGCAAGGACGAGGACCTTGACCCGGATCAAGCAGAGATCAAGCGGTTACAAGGGTGGCTGGTCAAATGTGGCATCCGCAAGATGTGGTGGCGGGAGCTACAGCCATATGAAACTTCAAAGGCGAAGATCAAGCATCTCAAACAGATGCTGGAAGATGCGGGGATGACGGGACGATACTCCGTCGAAAAGGCTCGGCAAATCCGAGATGAGCGGGAGCTCAAGGCGGATCTTGAGCAGATTCAGCAAGGTGCGAAGAAATGGGGGACGGGCAGTGGAGACGGAGGAACTGATGAACCTGCACCGTCGCGCCGCGCGGCTCGTGGACGTCAAGCGCTGGCGTTTTTGGAAAGCGAGGGAGAAGAGAGCGATTAATATTATTATACGCGACCTCCGGTGGTTTGACCGGGTCTCTGTGTCAGTCTCGGTATCGCAGTCCTCTTATAATGGCAAGATATCCTTTTTCATGCCCTTTGTAGTCGTTATACTTGAAGCGTAGGAAGCAGAATGTACTCCGCTCATCGGGAGGCCTTGTGACCACTCATGCGCTGGGCGGCAAGACTGAAGACAGCAACGGATGAGATGAAAAGGACGAGATTGTAGAACTGCTGCTCGTTAGGAATTGTGTTGAGCTTGGATATCAGAGATGGAGGCCCATACCGCTGTTCGGGAGTACTCGTTCTCCTCGACCTCCGTTCGGGCCTCGACGAAGAGGCGACGCAAGTTGGGGAGATTAGCCTGCAGATGCAATTAGACTCGGCCTCCACGTGCATGGGTGTCGGTCTCGGATATGGGGTACTCACCATCGTTACTCGCGCGGAGTCGGTACGTTGTTAAAGCAGTCGAGGTTAAAGGGGGAAGTTGGGTGGTCGTGAGCCAGCGAGTTGGTCCAAAGCATAAAGCGGACCGGGAGGGTCCAGAGCCCGCCATTTGTGGACAACTTTTGATCGCCCAAACACCCTTTCTCTCACTACCTCCCATCTTCCGCCTCTCCTCAACTCTCGATCACCCACCGATTCCCTGTTTTCGCCGTTTAGCTCGCCAAAGGAGAAGGGAATGGTCTAACGGTTGTCTCCGATCGTTGTCTCCCTCCCTAAATCCCGTGTCGCGCGACCGTGACAGCTCTCGGTTCCCCCGCAGTCGCCCGACTGACTCGACTTACGTCCACTTTCTTCCCCGATTGACATTGGCGGAGGCACGACTCGGTCGTTGCTGAAGCTCATCATCCTCCGGCATGGCGATGAATAAGATCCGCGGTGCCTTTGCGGTGCCCCGGAAAGGAGAGACATTTGAACTGCGAGCTGGCCTGGTGTATGACCCCCTCCGCACTCTGAGAACAGATGGTCATTTGGCCGAGTCGAAGAATTGATGATGCTAACTACGAAGATAGATCTCAGTATGCCTACGAACGGTATGTCGGTGTTCGCGAAGCTCGCAGCCATTGCGATCGATGGGAGTAGGGAGTTACGTGGCGAGGCTGACGGTTCAACAGGAAGGAGTCTATTCAGAAGACGATCATGGCCATGACCCTGGGAAAGGATGTTTCGGCTCTTTTTCCCGATGTTTTGAAGAATATCGCTACTGCGGACCTGGAGCAGAAGAAGCTCGTCTACCTTTACCTCATGTGAGTATTTCTGCGACTCTGGTGGAGAGGCGCATGGGCTGACCAGGTGGATTTTCTTCAGGAACTACGCCAAATCCCATCCAGATCTTTGCATTCTCGCCGTCAATACCTTCGTCCAAGACTCGGAAGACCCGAACCCGCTTATTCGAGCCCTGGCCATTCGCACGATGGGCTGCATTCGCGTGGACAAGATGGTGGACTATATGGAGGAACCTCTGCGCAAGACTCTTCGTGACGAGTCGCCCTACGTGCGCAAGACCGCTGCCATCTGTGTTGCCAAATTGTTCGACCTGAACCCCTCCATGTGCCTCGAGAACGGATTCTTGGAGATGCTACAGGAGATGATCGGTGACCCCAACCCCATGGTAGTTGCCAACTCAGTGACTGCGCTATCCGAAATTCACCACACGGCCCCCGAGACACAAGCTCTGCAGGTGACTGCTAATACGCTACGGAAAATGCTCATGGCTTTGAACGAGTGCACGGAGTGGGGCCGGGTTACCATCCTCTCAACGCTCGCAGAGTATCGGGCAGCCGATGTGAAGGAGTCGGAGCATATTTGTGAACGTGTTGCGCCTCAGTTCCAGCATGTCAACGCCAGTGTGGTTCTTGCGGCTGTCAAGGTCGTCTTTTTGCACATGAAGTATGTCGGACCAGAGTTAGCCAAGACCTATCTTAAGAAGATGGCTCCCCCACTAGGTATGTCATAAACTTCCATTCTCCAGGGTAGCCGGTTTTCAAGTTGCTAATCAGGCTACAAGTGACCTTGGTGTCTTCGGCGCCGGAAGTGCAATATGTGGCTTTGCGCAATATCGACCTTTTGCTACAGAAGCAACCTGACATTCTGAACAAGGAACTAAGGGTGTTCTTCTGCAAGTATAACGACCCGCCTTATGTCAAGTTCCAAAAGCTGGAGATTATGGTTCGGATAGCGAACGATCGTAACGTGGATCAGCTTCTGGCCGAGTTGAAGGAATACGCCCTTGAAGTGGACATGGACTTTGTCCGTCGCGCCGTTAAAGCGATTGGTCAGGTTGCCATTAAGATTGAGAGTGCCAGCGAGAAATGCGTCAACACCTTGTTGGATCTGATCAACACCAAGGTGAACTACGTCGTTCAGGAGGCTATCGTTGTGATTAAGGATATTTTCCGCAAATACCCTGGTTACGAGGGTATTATTCCCACTCTGTGCCAGTGCATTGACGAGTTGGACGAGCCTAATGCCCGTGCTGCCCTTATCTGGATTGTGGGTGAGTATGCGGAGAAGATCAGCAATGCTGGTGACATTCTCGGTGGCTTCGTGGATGGCTTCAATGAGGAGTTTGCGCAGACCCAATTGCAGATTCTGACTGCCGTGGTCAAGCTCTTCCTGAAGCGGCCCGAGAAGGCTCAGGGTCTCGTCCAGCGAGTGCTGCAGGCTGCCACCGCCGAGAATGATAATCCGGATGTCCGTGATCGAGCCTATATCTACTGGCGTTTGCTTTCCAACACCAGCGACCAGAACGCTACGAAGAGCATTGTCCTCTCGGACAAGCCCCCCATCGTCACCACCATCAGCTCATTACCGCCCACTCTCTTGGAGCAACTCCTCCAGGAGCTCTCCACCCTTTCTTCCGTGTACCACAAGCCCCCAGAGCAATTCGTTGGACAAGGTCGCTTCGGCGCCGATGCTGTTCAGCGGGCCGCTATTGAGTAAGTCAATCACCATTAATCACGGAGGCCCTTTAAACTAATCTTTTTATTACAGGGAACAACTCCAAAACGCCCGCGAGAACCCCTTGGCGGCCGCAGCCGCAGTCAGCGGCACCGCACCTGCGCAGGCGCAAAACAACGTCGAGAATCTGCTGGACATCGATTTCGACGGCGGTGCCCCGGCCTCGGCCCATAAGGAGCCATCTGGCGAGATGTCCGGCTTGGAAGGTCTGGCAGGTACTCCCGTCCGAGTGCAATCTCCCGCAGCTGGTGCTCCCACACCGCAGGCCAGCAACAACCTTGACGATCTCCTGGGAGTCTTTGGTGATTCTGGGCCTTCCCAACCCTCGTCTAGCGGGGCCAATGGCGGTGCTGCAGCTGACTTGATGAACGGTTTCTCCGGTCTCGACCTCTCTGGCAACGCTTCCCCTCCCCCACAGAGCCAACCCCAGAAATCCAGCCAAGATATCATGGATCTCCTTTAAGGGCGAGTGCTATGTTATGGTATGCGTTCCCGGCCACTTGCTTGAGGCTGGCTGTTTTTTAATAACCAGGTGTTTCGCTAGCGAGAATCTGATCAGAACGAGATAGAACGGCTTCCTTATTTCTTTTATGTGTCTAATTTTTTTTCTCTGTCCCTGCATTGTTCCCCTGCCGGACTTTCAAAAGGCTTATTTGCATGTACATCTTTTTCTTCTACTGTTGAAAATCCGTGGTTTCCACTACAATCTGCCATTTTCCGTGTAGGTTTGCCACCTTCCCGAAGGGTACATTAGGCTCCATCGTGACCTCTCTATTGGGGGTGAAGCAATATCCACCCTTTGACTGTGGGCTCGGCATGAGCTTTCCGGCACTCGGCGTGTCAGCAGCATGCGTCTTTTCAGAGCCAGTGGGAGATCAACTCGTTAGGGGCGACACGATAACGATGGGTCTTCATTGACCGAGGAAAATCCGAAGGTCACGAATTCACAATTCTCGCAGTACTCCAATTGCGAAGACGCATGATACTGTGCTTATCATTCAGGTCATTCATGTGAATTGCTCAATCGCTCAGGGGATCGGAGATAGACTCCAGATTACAGCAGTCTGTAATAGAACTTAAAATTCCCGAGGCAGGATCGACATTAAGCTTCCAAATACTGGCACAACTTCCCGATCCGAGCGGGAAACCCGTGCCTGCTTACCAATTCTTCTCCATACCGTGCCGAAGTTTTCCAGATTCTCCAACCAGAACGACCAGCACGAGTGAAAACTCTGGGCCAGTCCCGCTGCTTGTTCCTGGAACCACCCTTGAGAATGACATAAATGGGAGGTGGCCCCGATGAGTGGGCAATGCTTCCCCTGCACGCTTGCTCGAAGTTTACAACTCCCTGCTTTATACATCGCCATGGCTGAGACCGACTACAAATTCGAAGGCTGGATGGGCCTGGATCCCAGCTCCGGCCAGGGTAACATGGTTTGGCAAGAGTTTGAGCCTAAGAGGTGGGAGGAGACCGATGTCGATATCAAGATTTCTCATTGTGGTATCTGTGGTTCGGACCTGCACACTCTGCGCAGTGGCTGGGTGAGTATACATAATCCAATATGTTTGCTTTTTCTTCGGATGGAGTTTTCTAACTTCCTTGATAGAGACCTACTCTTTATCCTTGCTGTGTTGGCCACGAGCTCGTTGGCACCGTAGTCCGTGTGGGATCCGAGGTGACCAACGGCATCAAGCTCGGCGATCGTGTTGGTGTCGGTGCCCAGAGTGATTCTTGCCAGGGCCGCCAGGGTGACTGTGAGGAGTGTGCTATGGGCTCCGAGCAGTACTGCTCTAAGAAACTCACTGGTACCTACAACAGCACTCACCAGAATGGTGACAAGTCCTACGGTGGCTATGCGTTATACAACCGCGTCCCCGCACACTTTGCTATCAAGATTCCCGATGGCATCTCCTCGGCTGCGGCTGCGCCTATGCTGTGTGGTGGTGTGACACTGTATAGCCCTCTGAAGCATAATGGCTGTGGTCCCGGCAAGCGTGTTGGTATCATCGGTGTGGGTGGTCTCGGCCACTTCGGTGTGATGTTTGCCAAGGCTATGGGTGCCGACAAGGTCGTTGCGATTTCTCGCAAGACTGCTAAGAGCGAGGATGCGATCAAGATGGGCGCTGACCTGTATATTGCCACTGAGGATGAGCCTGATTGGGCTACCA